AGAGTTTTGAAAAACACCGGGAGACATGAGCCAGCTGATGATGACTACCTAACTACCTACCTACCTAGTAGGTGACATGAAAAAGGAGATGACAAGCCCTAAAAGCTGATGACTTGCTTCGGGGTAACTCAGACGTCGGTAGCCACACAGCTGAAGCGCCTTCAACCGCTGTTAAACGTGAACCTGTTGACAGGCCACGAAATCCTATGTAGGACACTGCGGCAAAATTTTTCATTGCAATCTAGTCAGAATCTCATGATATCACATCGGTAAAGTAACCTCTACCAATGCATTAATTACCGCGCGCGCATTTTCAAAAGCCGCCATACTAGTAGATATTATTTACTATCCCGCGTACAGCATCCACTGGGGAACAGCGATGTCATCGCGGCCAGCTACATGCTCCGCTTTCTTCCGACAATTCCATTCGGCGGCACTCGGCATCTTATTGGGTTCGGGTTCCCACTAGTAGTCCATCAAAGTCGCAGGATACGTGTCGGCCAGCTGCGACAGAGTTTAAGAGAACAAGTGGATTTAAGCGGCCTGCTACAGATAGTAGTCATAATAGTCAGAGTAGAAAGTTCATGATTCCATCGCCGTAAAGAAATGGAGGCGTTTGAAGCTACGTCAGTCCGGTGCCGTGGTAGTTCAACATCCGAAGCCCAAGTCTCTCCCAACGCAACGCAGCGACTCATGAGTGAAACCTCACAGCCACATGGCCTTGATCGTTTCCCTAGCGCCGAGATAGGCTTCCGGTAGGCATCATCTAACATGGTTCCTGACCCTGATGCCATGCCAATATACCTACATATATCGAATACATCACATGCGCCGCGCTTATCCAAACCCGGATGCTTTCAGCTCCACAAGACTGTAAGACTGCGAGATACTCTAGAAAGCTGCGAACTATTTCACTCGTGGTAGTTGTGATGGCCGTGATGGTGTGTACGGTAGAGCATTGTACAGGACATCACGGTATGTATATCGTGTTTTTAATTGGTATTAAGGCATTGTTGCGGTCCCGCCTCATCTAGCTGCTTTCGACTAAGCAGCTAAGAAGATCATCCAATAAGAGACGGCAAACACGAGTAATTACTACTAAGTATATCCTGCACCGCCCACCTACAAACCCACGTCCACGGCTTCGAGATGGAGGGGTGCTCTCGTTTACATGTCATTCATTGCAGTAGTTGTAGTTTACTTCCCTATTTGCTGGGTCTATAATACGTTTATACACTCGTATAGAATAATTGCATGAGGCAATATCTAAGGGGAAGGTGGCCAAATCTCCGAGACATCTCTTCAACATTTATCACGAACGATGTGAAACCTTCGTGTGCTAGCTGGAGGTGTCTTGCTTTTTCCAATCTACCTACCGCCACTGCACGTAGACAGAAAGATCCCTGTAGCATCGGCTTTAACGAAGAGGGCTCAGTTTGACCTGGCAGGCCTGGTATCTTTCGCAATCGCCTTTCGCCGTCCCCGCATTACAAACGCCTTTTTACTGCCAGGATTCCCATTTCTAACTAGGCACTAGGTCCGGAGGGTTGAACATCCAGCACCGCCATCGTCGCAGACCTGGTAATTGCGCGTTCAACGCATCGAGTTTCCCAACATCCCCATCACGAGGGGACTCCAAAGTTTTCGATATCCAAGCAAAGTAAAAAAAAGAGGGATAATAGCAACCCGCAACTCTAAGCCCGTCGCCCGTTACGTGCTCACCTAACTCGTCACGCGCGTGAGGCTTGGACCCCAACGAATCTTTCCCTCATTCAGCTGTAATATTCCAATCCGATCAGCCAAACTGGGAAAGGGAGGGGTGCGCGACCCAAGCTTCGGGAGCTACGGGCATGGGCTCAACCCTCCCAGGGGCCAGAACCCAGAAAATAATGTTTGATTTTCCGGCCACTGACGGACGCCGTATTGGTAGATTATTACTTCGGGTAGATTATATTGGATCGTTACGGGGGCCGATCTAGATACGAAGGGACCTTCGTACGGGGATTTATTTGTCGCCCTCGCGGAAGCCTACGTGTACGGGGTATGGGTTGTAAGTTGTAGGTACAGCACAGGAGATAATAGAGGTAGGTATGCGCTGTAGGTCCTATCTGCTTACCGTCGCCCTTTGGACGGGCTGGACGGGTGATCGGGTCAGCGGTATGACAATGCATAGTATACATCGAAAAGCGCATAGGTAACGGGAACAGGGCACATGATTGATGGATACTCTGAGCTTCGTCTTCTATTGGTATTCCGAACCCCGTGAAGCCGTAACCCCTCGTCCCGCCATATGCAGGATGGATCAGTCCCCGGACAACTATCACTAAAGTCACGTTATTTAGGCTTGGATGTTCTAGGTGTTCTGGAAGAATTATCACGATTCGAGAACCAACAAGCGGAAGACTTCGTCCCTGCGAATTTCACATCCCGATCATTGTGATTTCCCCCGCTTTGTCATATGTACGGCAGTCTATAGCGCGTGTTGTTATGTATGTGTCATGTACGTAGCAGTACTGTAGTAAGCCCGCCCTGCCCGTGGATGTACAGATTGTATTCTCATGTACAATAATAATTACAGTCCCGCATGCATACGGCTGTAGATCCGAGGCAAAATGACCGACGATGATTTCCCAGGTAGGAAGGGTATCCCCAGGCAGCAACGAATTTTCTAGCTACTGGTGCTACTGGCGTTTGGGGAATCTAGAATCGTCGATTGTCTAACGGATCTCCAGCATCTATGAACGAACATGAAACATAGTAGATGAGAGCTACGGTATCACAAGAGCCCACCTGCCTTACATGTCAGCCTCGATGTTCATCAAGGGGTAGTATATTCATTTACAAAAAGGAGGGTTGATCATTTGAACGCCTTATACGGAATCCCGCCATATCGCTCGCGAACTATGTACAGAGTAGATGTGCATCAAAAACAGCCCTGGAGAACTAGCCTTTGCTATGGCATGACCATCGTCGCCATCATGATCATATCGCGTTACCTGCAAGATAGAATTAAGCTTCTCATCCTCTCCTGATGATTAGTTCGAGATTGAATTATCTAGTGCATTTACACAACGCAGCAAAGGATCGCTAGCCGCATACATACGTTTATGCTGTATTAGATAAAGGGAAAAGGTAAGGGCATGTAGTAATCGTGAGAGGGTCGTATGTTCCCTGGGAAAAAAAGCAAAACACAATACCACAAGCACTAGAAAATGATGAGGTACCCATCAGCTCTGCTAACTTCCCTTAAGGCTAGGCTATACCACCTACCAACTGACTAGGGACTCATAGCCTGCTTTGCTAAAATGCCAGCGCTCGCGTCATCTTCCCTTAGTGAAGTAGGCTACTGTGTTCCTGTCGCCGTTCAAACCCCAGATCACAGATCGCCAAGGCGTCGTCGGTCGGCTACGTAAGCGACATTCCTCCTCTCTACCAGACACCGCCTTCTCCCATCTTTAGCCTTGCCTGCTTTTCGGAATCCTCTCGGCGTCAATATCCATTCTCCAGCGACCGAACTTCGGAGCCTGCTCATACTCATACTCACCTCGCTCATGTCATCGTCAAAGTGGCAATCAATAAACCCATCTTACTCACAAGCACCAACCCATCCAAACACTGCGCATTCAATCATGTAATCAACCCACTTACCTAAGCACACCCAACCCAACTCACCCTGCGCCACCGAATCACATCCCCCCAAAACGTAAGCCGTTCCGGCCCCCACCCGCTGAATCAGCCGCGCGCGTGTCCCTACCTAGAACCTACATAGGTACCAGATAATACCTACCTAGTATGTATGTACATACATACATACCCGCACGCACATGATCGCAGCAACATGCGGGGAACACGTCTGCTTTGTCATTAGACCCGCGGTTCCGCGGCGCGCCGCGTGGGTGCGATGCGGTTTGGCCCCCAAGGCGCGGCGGAGCGGCGGGGCGCGTTGACCTAGGTGAGGGAGGGAGGGAGGGAGGGTCTGGTGGGTAGCTGTGTGTGGCACGTGAGATGGGAGGAGCGGGTTTACGGGTTGGATGCTGAGATGAGGTGGATGGATAGATAGGCAGCTAGCTGGGTGCGTGGGATCTATTGACTACCTAATAGATGGATCTGGGTTTGTGGGGGAGGTCTCTTGGCTGTCGGGTTTAATGGTGGCATCGTGATTCTTGCTTAGAGTATCTTAAAGCGTATTACCATACGCCGACGCGAGACCTAGCGCGGAGACGAGGGCGTTGGGTTGGTGTGGTGGAGGAATGATGATGGGGCTTGCTGCCTGCTGGTGGCTCTTTTCTTCGTGATGTTTGCCGCTCTAATCCTGGAATAAGCTCTTGAAGCGCTCGGGACGGTACCTGCGGCGATAGCTAGGGGTAAATGGTGAGTACTAAGTCATGGTTTGAAGCCAAAACCTGGTTCACGCCGAAGAGGGTCATGACACAAGTCGGCGATGAGTCACCGACGTCATACCCAACTGGACAGGGTCCGGTTCGCGGGATCCGAATAGGCATACATGTGTAGGTACGCGTTCTCGGAGTTATGAGTAACATGGTCAACGTGAGAAACCGTGATGAGTACCTAGAATATGGAATTGAAATTTAGGTAGGTAAAGTCTTTCAGTATCATGTGGTTATTGATTGCTGGAACATGAAACGGACTACTAGTAACGCCGACGTATATGCTGGGAGTCATCATGGCGAATACAACGGCGGCCTTCGCAACGGCTGCTTAGATGAAGATGGTGTGAAGATGGAATAGCTTGGAATCCCCAATATTCAAGTCACGCCGTCGGGTAATATGTTGAGTCATAAAGGATTGCAGCATGCCGTTCAAGTTGGTAACCATACTCGACGTAAAATCCAGGAGGCGGCTAGGGTTATTCATCCGTAATTCCACATCAATGAATCATTCCCGGGTTTTTCAAGCCAGTCACAGCTCAGAAACGAACTTGGAAAGTATACAAATCAGAAAACAATGTCCTATCATACTACGTAACGTTTTGAGGTAATTTAGACAGCGACAGCAGGTCTCCACTCGTAGTGGTGAGCCCCTTTTGAAGGCTTCCCGGGGTCTTCTCCCCTCACATTCGGTCTGTCGTAAGCATGTGCACCGAAGAAGTCCATCTCGGCCTCCATGAACTGAGTCGCCAGCATTCCACCACCGACATACTTGAGATACTCTAGACTTGCACTGATTGCGGGGACATAGTTGTCCCATTCGATAGCCTTCAAGGTAATCAACTTCAGCGCATCGAAGTTGCTCCGTAGTTCGGATGCGACCTCGTCGATGAGCTTCATGTTCATGATCGGTTCCTTCGCGTTTAGTAGGATAGGTTCGAGCATGTCTGCAATATGGTCTTCTTGGATAATGCACCCGGCCCTCCAGATTTGGATACACTTTCCTAGGTTGATATCCCAGTGTTCATCCCTAGAAGCACGAGCGATGAGTTCAAGGCCTTGGCAGTACGAGCAGAGGAAGGATGCGTAGACGGCTCTGCGTAAGTTCTCGATGAGGTTTTCTTTGTCCATCGAATCCACGCGTTGCGGTTTCGGGACTTGTAGTTTGTCAACGACTTTCAGTCTCTGCGCCCTATTCCCACTAGCTACACGGAAGAAGTGGCCAGCTGTAATAGTAGGCGCCGATACGTGTCGATCTGCGGCATCCTTAACTGTCCAGAATAGAGTGCCCTCTGAGTTATCGTCGTCTTGCACTACTTTGTCGAGAACATCATCCAACACATATCCACTTTCTCCCTTCCCTTCACCATGCATATCGCCTTGTGGCGTCTTTTTCGTTTGGCAGATCTCTGAGCCAATCTGGATCAAGTACGTATTCCTCAACTCTCCCTCAGAATTCCACCTCCCAAAGATCCTTCCAATCTCGTCGTATGGGAGTCCGAGAGACTTATGGAGGAAGTTCCAGGCCTCACAGACGGCTGAAAGCATACCATTTTCAATCCCGTTATGCACCATTTTGACATAATGGCCAGCGCCACGGGGTCCCATGTACTGGACACACGGCTTGCCATCGACGGCAGACTTAGCCGAGAACTTCTCTAACAACGGAAGCACAAACTCAATGGCTTCCCGATCTCCCCCGGGCGACATGCTCGGACCGCGCCTGGCGGATTGATAACCGCCGCTGACACCCATGCCGATCCACTTAACACCTCTTTTTTCCAACTCCTTCTGGCGCCTCTCCGTATTGCGATAATTCTCATTTCCTCCATCAAGGACAATATCGCCTTCCTTCAAATCATCGCTGATCTTCTCCAAGACCGCATCGGCGGGCCACCCGTGGGTGACGGAGAAGATGAATATCTTGCGCGGCTGGGAGTCGAGGCTTTTGGTGAACTCGTGGATATCTTTAAAGTAGTCGAATTTGCCCTTCATGGTTTTTGTCTGCCCTGCAATCTTTCGCGCTGCATCGACGTTCTTTTCGGAGACGTCCCAGAGCGATACGTCGAGGCCGTTCTCTGAGAAGCCGAAGGACATCATGGTGCCCATGTTCCCTGCTCCTACAATGCCTATTCGATTGATCTGACTGATGTTTGGGTATGGTGCCATCGTGTAAGAGTTGATATTGGTAGGATAATCGATATTGCGATCTGTGTAGGTGAATTTAGAAGTTTCTTGATATTCAGATATTTGGGCAATAATTGTTGTATTTGTTATGCTTGGTGTCTTCAAACTTCACAATTGATATTGTTATTGTATATCATCATTAGCACAAATTGAATCATGTTTAATAAGGTTTGGATATTATCTGTTCTATTTTTGACGCAAGCATGTTGTCATTGATCCGAAATATGATGGAATGATCTGACGTCGTGGTGATGCAAGACAGTAAGTAACCAAGTACCCACCCCCTTTTTAACCCCTTTTTACATGACACTGAAGCATTCTGAGCGATGCATGGTATGAAATCACGTTCAATTCCTTCAAATCTTAGACATCACCAAATAAAAAGCTACTTTGGGGGCTCTAACGGCAAACAAACAACTTTCCTTAACTATAATCTATCGAACTAAATAAAACGAGAGGACAGCCCATTGCAGTACAGCGCTATACCCATCGCAACGAACAAATTTCACACCCTGAGGCTCTGTCTATACCCTCCCCCCTGTGCCAACAGTCCAGCTATATACATCCCCTAAAGTGGATTACCAGCACTGGATGGAGCTGGCAGCATCGTTCCAACCGTTCGGCATGTTCTGCTTGCCACCAGCGGAGGAGTCCCAGTGGTCACCCGAGCAAGAGTAGTTCCTAAACCACAGTTAGCTTAATTCATGCCATGGCTCCCCTTCTAGAGACCGCTCATCTAGTATCTTACTTGAAGAATCTGCAAGTGTGACCGTCGTGCACCGCGAAAGAGCTGACGTGGTCGTTCTCGGCGCCGTTGATTTGGTCTGAAAGAAAGGGTATTAGTCAAATCTCTGTAGATGCGGTACTGCTGGACTAAGACTGACAGCATTGGTTGTTGGGGGCGTTCAGGACCCAATGGGTGCCCGCGAAGTTCCAGTCGCTCCAGAGGTCGACCGTGATGTCGCGGGCCTGGATGGTGCCGGCTTGGGCGAATGTCGCGAGGGCGGCGATGGCGCTGATGAGGGTGAAAGTCTGCATTTTGAATGATAGTGATTTGGAGGTGGATTGGAAATTGGTTAGTCTCGTTGTGAGTGTCTTGGTTCTTGTGATGGTATTGAGGCGTGATGATTTGGTTTGAGATGGAATTGAACCGGATATGAACCGTCTTTTATATTGAAAGAATGTGTTCTGTTTGATGCTGAACATACCTTTGGCTTCGGAGATCATATACGCCCAGAAAATAGATTTTTAACCTATTCTGGCTTCATAGCACGAATAGACAGGACACATTTCGCATGTATGAACGAATGTGCGATTCAATAAAAAGTAGAATAGGTATCTAAACATGTAATCCGTTTGCTGTCAAGCGCCCGAACGCGATCCTCTCTAATGGAAAATCTTTGAGGCAGAGTGGATGAATTTCATATGTTTGGATACCTACATTCTGTTTATTTTCTTGCCTTACCTGGAAATATGGTGCGCAAATACCTATGCTGAAGATCTCAGCTGATGTAAGACCGCACCGCCCGACGAAAGATCTTCAACCTGTAACCTCCATCTAGTTAACGAGCTGAATTGAAGAGAAGGACTATCACGAGTTACATAATTTCAAACGTAATATAGAAATATGCCAAGATTCTATGAATAACTAGGTAGACAGTGAACTTGCGGTTGGCTAACAGAACTCTTCTATCACTCGAAAGGCCATTGGATTATCGCCCTTCGAAGTTGTCATTACAAGGGTCGATGTTGCGATTGAAATAAATTCTTGGTAATTGACGTAGGTAGATAATAATTGAAGGCTCCGCCTGGAGAATTATAGATAAGAAAACCCCGACATATACAAAGGGGCGACTTCAAATCAAGCTCAACCCAAAGTTGTGTTCCTTCGAAAAACCTCTTTCATCAAACGTAGGTGACGATATTTCGGATAAATAATTGATACCATTGTGGATATTTAAGTCGTGGTTAGTGTAAGTAGATTGAATTTTGTTGATATTGGACACTAGGGGTTGTGGTGAATAAAAGGGGTATCACGTGACTAAGAGCATTCAATTCCCTCAAGGATAAAGAATTCCCAAATATCAGTTTGTCAATTCAAAAAGTTCATAGAAGAAGTGAAGTAAAAAAGAAACCCCCTCCTACCATGCCTCCCGTTTTTGTCCTGACCTCAAATCCATCGATCCTTATCGATCTGGTAACTCGACCGGTCCCCTGTGGCAGCTTGAAGCCGATATTGGTCCAAATGTATTTAGCCCATTATTGCCAGTAAGTTCCGACAGTTCCCTCGCAGGCCGACGCATAGGCTGAGAGTCCTCGGCTGGCTGTAGTTCGTGTATGATTGCACGCCCTCCTTTGGGACGTCTCGTTGGCCAATATTTCCAAAGAAGAAATCCTCCTGCGATTGCTAGGATACCAGCTACGGCGGCGCCGGCCCCAATTCCTATTTTTGCGGTTGGCGGAAGATTGTTGAAGCTCGGGCTCACAGTTGTCGACGTAATAGCTGACGACATCGTAGTCGTAGTTCTAGGCGTGCTCTCATGGCTTGTCGTGATCCCGAGGCTAGTCATGATCTGGATGCTAGTTTCAATTGTGCCTATAATCGGGATTGGGGTCGGGATCGTGGATTTAGTTTCGATTGAGCGCTGGGTCTCGCTTACAAGGTCGGCCATACGCCATCTGATAGCGATGCCATAAGCATTGAGGGTGTTCCCTCCGGCCGTCGATGTGGTCAGCGGGCCTCTGCCTGGAGAACTTGTGGTGTATTGATATATGATCGAACGTGCCATACTCTGGCGGCACAGGTCTGTCGTGATCCAAGAGAAGCCTTTGGTTTGGGCTTGGCAGCTATATCCGCTGTGATTATTGAATTACATTGTGGTATGTTAGCTTCTATCTGACCTATACCTATTTTGTAGGTAGGCAATTGATGTGGGTAGGTAGGTAGATGTACCTAGGGCAGCACGTCGCTGTCTTTTCGAGCTCTTTTGTATCGGAGCACGCAATTGTATACCCAAAAGGACACCCACCCGGCGATATAAATGCGCCCTTACTCGGACTCCAGGACGTGGGAAAACATGCCGCTGTGCTTGTCGTCGGGCCGAGATGGAACTGGCGACAGGCGACCGTTGATCCGTTGCTGTAGTGGCAATGCATTTCTTGGTGGACGACATAGTATATATCTTGCGTACAGAATGGCTCGGGGCTGAACGGGGTCGCTAAAGTTGGAGTCTGCAAGACAGAAGATGAAGACGTGGACGAAGTGCTCATAGTGGCTAGTGTGCTTGACAATTACGAGCTAATGTGTATTGATCTACCTGGCGAGCACCGAGGAAGGAGACGTGTATTAAAATTATCCATCCCCATCCTGAGGGGAAAGGGTAAGTAGGTCAATAACTCAAATGGCGATTTCTTCGGTGATTTAAGGGGCGTGATAGAGCGGTCCAGGAAGGTCGACCAGTGAGGTGTGTGGTTTCATGAGGCTTAAGAAGTTAACTTTGAGCGAGTAGTATATTTGTCAATCAAGGTGTTATTAGGGGCTCTATGCGTTAATGGATACGAAATCTTCACTGAACTGAACGGCCTGAAGATTGCTTCATGGGAAGTAAATGGCACCTTGGCGAAAAAAAAGCGATGACGAACACTTCCTCACTTACCTCGCTTAGGCAGTTGAAAGTATCATAATGGAGTTTCAGAGTGCTGACTCTGTTGCGGCGTTGAAATTGTATTCTGATAAGACAGAACCAACCAATTGCTAGCCCCCAAGCAACGACTCATGTCACGTCCCAAATAATAAAAATAAATGTGTTTCAGAGCAGTCTATTTTGTTGCCTGCAAGGCTTGAGACTACGGACGATACTCGTGTGAAGCAACCAAGCGAAATGGATCCAGCACGCGTTATGATGAGGTCAAGTGTCCGAATCAGATAATCTCTGGCCTTCTCTGACAGTGTACCGCGTCACCCGTTCCAAGCCAAACATAATGTACAGAGCCGTGATGCCAAGCGAATCATTTGCTTTTCGGAAAGAACCCCCCTTCTGACTGAGACTACGGGGCTCAACGCATTTAATGAATCCTCCGAATCGTTTCTCAGAATAATCCCTGTGCAAAGACTAAAGAAATCAACCGATATCGATGTCGTAACTTAAGACGTCATGTAGGTGCTGGTGTCAATGCCATCCTTGGGGAACTCGCTATTGAATAAGTTAGTAAAATGACCTAGTAAATGGAAGTTAAGTTCAGCTTACGGAACGGGAACCTCGAATCGCTTCTCGACAGCCTTCAAAACCTCCTGGTCTGCATCGGTGCTCATGAATGATATTGCTAGACCTTTGGTACCGAAACGACCGGCACGACCGACACGGTGGAGGTAGGAATCAGCATCAGCAGGCAGATCATAGTTGATGGCCAAGTTGATACGCTCAATATCGATACCACGACCGAACACGTCAGTGGCGACACAGATGCGCTTGTTGAACTCCTTGAACTCCTTGTAGCGTTTGATACTAGAATATGTTAGATATAAAGATGTATCGAATATATGAATTTGTACATACCGCTCTTCTTGGCTAACACCGGAGTGCACCGCGATGGATGGGAAGTTGCATTCACGAAGTAGCTTGTCAAGTTCGGTAGCACGAATAGTGCTCTTGACGAAGATGATGACTTGGTTGAATTGCAACTCATCGAGAAGCTCGTTGAGCTTGCGATTTTTCTCTCGCTCCTCAAGCTTGATGAAGTATTGCTGAAGTCCATGAAGGGTCAACTTCGTGTCTTCGTCAACATAGTGCTCGGTAGGGTTCTGCATGAACTTCTTGCAGATCGGCTTGACCTCGTCGGAGAGAGTGGCAGAAAACATCATGACCTGCTTTTGCTGCGGAGTAGCTCGGAAAATATCTTGCACATCTCGTCGCATGTCTATTTAGGTCAGCTATGAATTTAAATTAGGTTAACCGATGTAGAAGCTTACCAATTGCGTCAAGCATCTTGTCACATTCATCAAGAACGAAGATCCGGACGCTTGTGAGTCGGAGATACTTGTCTCGCACAAGCGCATTGAGACGACCAGGAGTACCAACAATTATGTGAGGGTGCGTCTCCTTGTTCTTCAGAACCTCCGCATCCTTCTGGATGGGAGTGCCACCGTAGAACACGCCAGTCTTGATGTCGGGCATGTATTTGCTAAAGCGGTTGTACTCATTGCGAATTTGGAAAGCCAACTCGCGAGTATGGCACATGACTAGGACGGAGCACTCGCCAGCGACGGGCTCGACTTGTTGAAGAGTGGTCAAAACGAAGACGGCGGTTTTGCCGAGACCGGATTTCGCTTGGCAGATAATATCACCTCCGAGGAGAGCCTGAGGAATACAGGTTTGTTGGACTAGGAATCGATCGAATGTTAGATAGGTTTTCCAAGAGTGATGAGGGACGCGAAGGTAGGAATTCGACAAGGTCCGTCCATCATCGCAGCATTATATATTTTCTCCTGTTTTCAACTTCCAATCCATATTCGCGGCCTCTTCGACGGTTCCATCGATGGATGGATAGAAATGGCGTGCTCGTTGCAGCACCAATTTTCCGGGACGTACGCGTTGGCTCGAAGCCAAGTCTACTCGTCCGTTGTCGAGAATAGACAACTAGGATTCACCATCCTAACATATATCCAAGGCCTCTAACATCGCTTATGGCCTTACCAGGCCACAGAGACAGAGGTAATAAATACCAGTCTCATAAGCTTATAGGACATCCCGACATGTCTTGTCCTAAAACATCCTCCGCACACCGACAACGATATGCATATATATAGCATAGGCGAATGGTTTTACACGCGCCGACACTTTTGCCTTGCTTCTCCGACATTTGCTTTTTTTGCTTTATTTGCTTGCGATGAACTTGCGATATGGACGGACGCTTGAAGAAGGAGGGATGGATAACTTTTGAAAAGCTGCAACGTGTAAGATGTAGACTAACCCTCCGAAGGATGTTCGAATCCGCAATCGGCTATGGCGCGTAGGAGCTCGGGCTTCAACAGGAAATCACGGAAGCCGGTGGCGTGAATGCCAACGTAAGAACCCTTCTTGTCGACGCTATTTCCGGAGGCGGCTGCGTCGGTCTTCTTGCCGTTGGTTGTGGAGGCCTCATTGGTGCCTAACTCCTCATCGGAGTAGTCGATGAGATCCTCTTCGGTAGACATGATGATGAGTTAATGAAGATTGAGGTTGTCGTTAAGTTTCCTGGCTCGCGACGAGCGCGAATCAATTAAATGGGTGATTAAAAATATGCCGCAAGGCAAGAATGAAACGAAAAGAAGCGGAAACGCGGTGGCGATGGTCGATAAAAGTGTGGGAGAGTGGTTGTTGTTGACGAGGCTCTCGAGCTTAAATGTGGTTGAGAGGGAGAAGAAGGGAAGGTGTTGTTAAGAAAGGTTGGAAGTGGATGGTCAGAAAAATAGAATTGACCGTGCATGAGCTGATGGAATGCGCGACCGATTTTTAGAGCTAGTCCTGAACTGGGTTATTACGGGACAACTGGGCAGTGCATTGTGTCATTGGTTGGTTGGGCACACTGGCCAAGTGCAACTTGGAAGTGACTATCGGTTGTATCCAGGTCACCTTGTACCAGAAACGGTTCCCCAGATTTTCTCACTTTCCACTGTGCTACTTCCGGATTATATAATCATGATTCGGTACCTTAATACTTGTGCAGGTACTACGCAATTCTTTCCTACAATAAAGTTACTAGATTCTTAAAACAACAAAGCGAATCTAAGTCAAGCAAATCTGAGACATGGGGAAATCCAAGGGACCTGGAAATGTGCCGAACCGGCCAACATATTCTCGAATATCCTATTTATACCAGGCAGCGGCTTATTTGGCAAGTCATGCTGAGACGAAAGGTCCTGAGCCTGAAGGTACTGAGCGTGATGGAGCAACACTAGAAAAGCAAGTGTCTCATGCTCATGCTCAACGCAACAAACATTCACTGTCGCGGCGTCTCATCACTGATCTTCGATCTACATCTTTGAAGAGTCAAATACGCCTATCTCCTTCTATGAAGCATACAATTTGTAAATTCTGCGATAGCTTACTAATCGAGGGGGAGACAAGCAACACCATAGTTGAAAACAAAAGCAAGGGCTGCAAGAAACCATGGGCCGATGTACTTGTTGTCAAATGCCATACCTGTGGAGGAGTGAAGCGTTTTCCAGTTCAAGCCCCTCGCCAGAAGCGGCGACCAATACGCGAGAAGGAATCGGAAGAGAAGCAAAGGCAACAGGCTGACGCCACCACCGATGCAGACTGATGTTATCGCATCTACTCCAACGACTATCGCAGCGGTGCTACTAGCTTTCGTGATTGGGAAAAGGCGGGTTTCCTAGCTACTCGAAGCCTTCTCACGGATGGTGACCTCGCTCCAGATGCGCGTTCATTTTCGAAGTTTGAGAAAGCCTCACCGAACCATCTCGCAGGCCTAGAGCCAATTAGGACTCGAATATTCACGTCTCGATTTCAACTGGCAGTCTACTTTGCCTAGTACAGATATCGTGGATGTATATTCTCATGATAAGTACTTGGTATCGTCACACAACCGATTGTGGCTCATCGATTCACACAGTAGATGATTGGCTTCGCCTGTAGAGATTAAGCAGGCTGTTGCTAAGCATTGGAGCGACATACAAAAATTTTACTTTTACAATACCACCCTACAAGGACCTTGTTCCTGGAGGAAATGGTCTCTATCGGACAAGTCAATTCCATCACCGACAGCTTACGAGCCGAGAATGCGAATGCCTTGGTTCATGCCAACCTTGAGATTGTACCGCCGACTACAGCTGGGATCATTCAAGCCTGGGGGAATTGGCAAGCCCGTCTTGCTACCGCACCGATATGTCTGGCGAAGAGCCATAAGGCTATTTTCAAGCCTGAAGAGACGTGCTGGAGTTGCCTCGAAATTTTCTTCGGGTTGTCGGTTAATACAGCACTAGAATGGGTACCCCCTCGTCGCGATTTGGATTCTCTCACTTACGCAATAAATTCTACTTGAACCTCCCGTTGATAACATTATCCGATTATAAAACACGTATATTTAACTGGCATATTCGGATTGTGGTATAAATATTAGCTCTACCTCGCTTCGATTACATAGATGGCGTCTCCTGGATCTGAATTATGACCCCTACAAAAACCATAAGCACAGCAGCATACGCTAATGTTCCCGCAAAGACTTGGTCGCCTTTATCGACAACAAATGCCAGGAACAGCCCGAAGATCGTTACAGCAACCGTAGTAGTTCCTAGGTCGAAGATTAGATCCCTCTCGAGAGCCAGAAGCCACATCGGTCCAATTAAGAATGCAGACCCCAGTAATGCTAGGAAGAGTCGCGTCACGAGAGCTCGCCTCAATAGATTTTGGACACCTGCATTTCGCGTCCCTGCGATTGGAATGGGCTTTCCATCGATAGGAACTACCTCCCAAGGACCAGTCGGTAATGCAAGCTCTTGATCTATAGCTTTGAAATCGTCAACACCTCTAGACGCATTCATCATTGCTGCTTCTAGGTGCACATCATCTTGATTTCGCTCGGATGAAGCGATGAAGATATCATATTTTTTTCTTGTGGCATCGGTCATGTATTCATAATCTCGAACGGCTTGTACTTGATTATTTTATTAGCAACAGCATACCTACCTGTAGGCAGGTCGTTACCCACTGTATGTCTTCAGCATTTTGTCCATTTTCTCTAGACTCCCTGGCGTACGGGTGTCATTCCACTGCCCCGCGTTCTCTAACGTCTCGCCAAATTTCAAATCCACGCCAATATTGATCAGGTCGATCTGCAGCGCTCTCAAGTACATTCTTTGCATCTCGGCGAAATTTACGCGATACCCCAACTTGCTGCGCTCAATTGGTGCTGCGTGCCCAAACAACCTAATGAAAAAATCGACTGCAGCCCACCTCGGGGAGACTAGTGTAACGAGGTTCTCATGATGTTGCTCATACGCCATTTTCCAAGACTCAAGACCGGCTACTCCAATCGTCGACGCCGTCGGGTTTTGCGCAACACCGTTGGGGACATTATGATTTCCCACGTTCATTTTCCCGACTTAAAAGCATTCAGGCGTAGATATGGTGATGGTAGTAATCATCGGAGTAGCATAGAGGGCTATGTAACGTATTTACATACCTAGTAATTATTTAGTCGAAGGGAAGAATGCTACGTCAGGTAGGCTAGCGGTAGCTGACTGATGACGTGTTACGATGCACCAACAGAGGAAGCGCATATAAGAGGCTTATGATTTTTTCGCCCACCTCGCTTCAATAAAATTTAGAAATACTTAGCCAAAGCAAGATCATCGTATCTAACAGTTTGGGAATACCTATCGCACATTGCGTCTCATTCTAGGAGAAAACGCTTCATCCAGTTACCACTACAACCTCAATGTCAATCAATTTGACAATAAAGCAAGAGAATCAAAGATGGCTCTGCGTCTCATATACAGATAATACCGTCAAGTCATTGGCAACACATCATCTAAAACGTATCAATGTTTGCCAGGCGTCGCGGCGCAGATCAGAAAAATTGCAATATATAGAACAACCCAACAACAGTTTTCTAGTCCGACACGATAACGACGGCGTCGAGAGAATAGTCCGAGAGACAAAGACATATTGGGTGATCAAGACTCCAGATATCGAAAAGGCGAGGCTTTTTGTCAAGAATTTCCTTATCACTGGGGAGGCGAATCTAGAGTCCTCTAATGTGATAGTGCCTGAGAAGTATGATGAAGCCGACTGGAAGAGTCTATTAAATGGGGGATCAGAGACTCGAGTGGCAAGTTCAAGCCTTCGTAAAGGATCTTTTCTGAGTTAACAGAGGGCTTCCTATTATTACCTAATATTGCCTTACCCATGGACGGAGCAGTCCAAGTTAAACTATTCAAACTATACCTAGGGGATCTTATTTTTCTTTACTTAGAGCAATGTTTCATGGGTAGCCTCCAGTCATGTCCTGGTTGCCTCCATCACCCCGATGAGTCACCATACCGAAATTGCAGTGGAGCTAAGGTGACTATCGAATTATTCAAGAAAAAAAATAAAGCTAGAAAACACCAGTTCAATAACAATCATACATCTCGCCTTTACTTACACACTCCGCGTAACGCGATGGGAAAAAAATCAAAGCGGCGCCCTGTCCCTAGATGGTCTGACGGAAAGGGACAACATGAGGATCCGAACGGGCCAATATTTTTCTTCAGACCCAAAGAAGCCTACGGCGAGTTCTGCCAATGGTATCCAGCCCGCTTCGCAGTCAGCACGACCGAGATATCGAGCCTAATCGGCCATCCGATCGACGAGGACGACCCGGGAGGCTGTCAGCAGATCTCCTTCAACTGCGCCGAGCAGTTCATGATGTACTGCAAAGCGGGCCGGTTCCACGACTCCGAAATGCAGAAGCTCATACTGGAAACAGACGATCCGAAAGACCAGAAGGCGCTGGGGAGGTTGACTAGAGAGTTCCGCGAGACAAGCTGGAGCGAGGTCAAGAGCCGGGTCGTGGTCGCTGGGAACATGGCGAAGTTTGGTCAGAATCCAAATCTGAAGGGTGTCTTATTGGGTACTGGCGATCGGCTGCTAGCTGAGGCGTCTTCCCACGACCGTGTATGGGGCATTGGATACACTGTCAAGCAAGCCATGGCGGGCCAGACGAATAGGGAGAGTTGGGGGGAGAATAGGCTAGGCAAGGCGCTGATGGAAGTGAGGATGCGTTTGCGGGAGGAGCAGGGCGACGATATAAGTCTCGAAGAGGATCAAGGTTAACACTGACGATACTACCTAGGTAGGTTCTGGAATATTATCTTGGAACTTGGAAATCCGAGTGCAGACTGAGGATCAGCGACTTAAGCATGACGCCAAGCGCCACTACAGCGAAGCCATAGAATGAGAGCTGGTCCGTATCCTGCAAGAGTTCTTCAATGATGGAAATCCGACCCCCATAACGCCTTAAGCCCCTTATCAGGAAGATGGGGTGGCCTAGCAGCTACTTGGAAAGCTCAATGCCCGGGATACCGCATGTGTACTCGACGCCATGCCGGATGTTTCACACGGCATATTGCAGAGTGCATATATTAATGAATATACGCCAGCTTTCAGCTCTAATGCAGGTTAGCCACAAATGATGTCAAGAACCGAGACCAATACGCAGCCACAGGCCTTTTGAGAGAGGTGTTAAACTTCTTCCAGCTAAGTGTTCAGCTGAAACGCAAGTGCTGCGGTGTGCTATAGGTTCAATTGAATCGTGGATTAATTAATGGGCACCTACATTCAGATACTTGTATACATAAAGTACCTATGTAAGTAGGCTATACGTACCTAATGCATGATGCATGTAAGTGCTTGGTGTACGCAATATAGAACCGTCTTAGGTAACGCAGAGTAGGTCTTTATATGCCGTCACGTACATACTTCGTTCCATACCTACCTATTGAGCACTAATAAGAATGAAAATCATTGCAGAGTTAGTATATTCAATGGATATTTCTCATGGAAAGTTGATGCAATTCGCTGAAGGTGTTCGTTTCATATATGCATCCAAGTACTACTAAGTAAGCACCTTTATTGATCTGCAACGGGTCGTTCCGTGACCTCTCTTTCCAGCATTTCCGGCCTATACTCCGAAGAAAGCTTGACAGTATGCCCGTTACAATTACCATGGACTGATAAGAAGTGCTTCAGATTTTGCCCTTTATAAAGTAGGTTCCATTCCCTTACACTCCTTGGTATGTGCCGACCTCTTTGCTGCCAACTACATATAATCTCAACATATAGTTTCACTAGCTGTTGCTGCTTCTAAGAGACATACCATGATGAAGGGGCACCATCATATAAATGGTGCTCATACTAATGGAAACAATGGTGTCAATCCCCCGACTAATGGAATAAACGGAGTGGGTTCTGCTACCCAGAACTCTGGTGATAATATCCAAGAACCCATTGCTATAATTGGCATGGCATGTCGTTTGCCAGGACACTGTAGTACGGATAAACAGTTTTGGGACTTCATGATGGAAGAAGGGGTAGCTAAGAACGAGCCTCCCGAGACACGCTTCCGTCTTGCCGGACACTATGATGGGTCTCAAAAGCCCTACACCATGAAAACTCCGGGAGCGATGTTCATGGAAGATGTCGACCCAGCAGACTTCGATGCTCAGTTCTTCAATGTCAATCACGCGGAAGCTAGCTCTATGGACCCGCAGCATAGGAATCTGTTGGAGGTGACTTACGAATGTCTAGAAAACGCTGGTATACCACTGGAGAAGCTCAGCGGTCAGCGCGTCGGATGTGTCGTGGGTACAAATTCTAGTGGTGAGGGATATCCAACTTATTTCTCCCTCTACCACCTGGAGTCTCTAATAGTACTTAGACTATTACGATATGTCATGCCGAGACCCCGAAAACCGTATGATATCGCCGACTATGGGTCCCAACCGAGCATTCCTTAGCAATCGTATCAGCCATTTTCTCAACGTTCATGGTCCGAGGTAAGTAAATTGCTTCACCTATCACCTTAATTCTTTACGTACTCACGTGAAGTTCTAATCGTATTTTCTAGCATTTCCATGGACACAGCCTGTTCAAGCACACTGACAGCCTTGGACATGGCTTGTCTTTACCTTCAGCGTAACCAAGTAGACGCTATGTTGGTCGGTGGTACAAACATGTACTTCAGTCCAGAAAGGAACCAAGACATGAGCTCAATGCGTCACACAGCTTCCGCTACGGGGCAATGTCACGTATTTGACAGCTCGGCGGATGGCTACGTTACGGCCGAGGCAATCAACACGGTCTTTCTAAAACGGTTGAAAGATGCCGTCGAGGCCGGAGACCCTATTCGGGCTATCATTCGTGGAACCTCGACGAACAGTGCTGGAAAGACTCCGGGTATAGCCATGCCTAACGCCGAAGCGCAGGCGGCGGCTATAAGGGCCGCATACGCTAACGCCGGTATCTCCGAATCAAATTTCTTCGACACAGGATATCTCGAGTGCCATGGGACGGGCACACGTGTCGGAGATCCTATCGAGGTCGAGGCAGTGGCTTCCGTATTTGCGCAGGATAGGTCTCCTGAACAGCCCCTTATCATCGGCTCCGTAAGTATTTCTTTCTAACACATTACCTACATTTTGGAATTGATAATAGGTATCTAACCTTAACGTTGGTCTCTGGAATAGGCAAAGAGTAATGTTGGTCACTCAGAAGGCGCAGCAGGTCTTTCGGGCTTGATCAAGGCTGTGCTGGCAATTGAAAACAAGACAATTCCCGGAACGGCCAATTTCACGACCCCTAACCCAAGGATCGACCTGGAGAAATCCCGGGTAAGAGTTACTGGTAGTTCGATTACATGGCCGCGATATGCCAAACTTCGTGCTAGCATCAATTCATTTGGCTTCGGAGGTGCGAATGCTCATGCGGTCATCGAGTCGCCCGAATATCTACTAGGTAAATCGGCATCAAGGTACCGATCGTCATATCTTAAGCGAGATAGCATGCGGAATAACATTTCCGACAATGGAGCCAGCTCACTACCGCGATTAAATAATTCCTCGAAGCCGATGCTTATCGTCTTGTCGGCAAATGACGAAGAATCTCTCAAGGGATCTATCCAAGCACTCTCAGCTCACCTGGTCAAGCAGGACGTTTGTGTAACCTTAGAGGATTTGGCATACACCCTTTCAGAGCGCCGAACCAGACTTCATCACACAGCGTATAGTATACAGACAGATACTCAAGTATCACCAGATTCCTTTGTCATAGGAAAACGGCCTGGCCACGAGGTGAAAGTTGGCTTCGTGTTCACCGGTCAGGGCAGCCAATGGTCAGCTATGGGAAAGGCTTTATTGCATTCATTCCCCCGAGCTAGGGAGATTGTGGAGTCCCTGGATGCCGTGTTAGCGGCACTACCGGAGCCTCCCCCATGGTCCTTGGTCTCGGAGCTGACTGAAGAGCGTGACCCTGCTGTCCTTCGGGAGCCCGAATTTTCTCAGCCTCTTGTGACGGCGCTGCAACTAGCATACCTCGGTGTCCTTTCGGACTGGGGAATCGCTCCTGTGGCAGTAGTCGGACACTCATCCGGCGAGATTGCCGCCGCCGTCGCCGCCGGCTATCTCACAGCCGAAGAAGGGATTAAAACCGCGTTCTTCCGGGGCCAAGCTGCCAAACAGCTGCCCCCAAAACAGCCCCTTGGAATGCTTGCCGTAGGAATAAGCGCAGAAAAGCTTGAAGAATATATAGATGCCCGCGGGGACTCCGTTCAGGTCGCTTGCTTCAACAGTCCGCGAAGCCTTACACTTTCCGGAACCGTACCGGCTTTGGAACGGGTAAAGGAAAAACTGCAAAGCGATAAACACTTCGCGCGTATGCTGCAAGTTGACTTCGCCTACCATTCCAGGTATATGGAAGCGATTGGGAATCGCTATGCGGAGATGCTACAAAGACACTGCCAATTTACCACTGAGAAAAGTGGGCCCACAACAATGTTCTCTTCAGTGTATGGTGCCCAGATGAAGGGACCTGCAGATGCGGCATATTGGGTGCAGAACATGACCTCGGAAGTTCGCTTTGACCAAGCAGTCTCATCTATGCTTGAATCTGAGGATGCGCCAAATTTCTTCGTTGAGATAGGTCCTTCAAATACCCTGGCTGGCCCCATGGCACAGATTTTCGAGAGCGTCTCGCATATCGGATCACAGCCATCTTACGTTTCTGCCGCTAAGAGGGGGCCAGAGACATTGACATCTCTGTATAGCGTGGCAGGGAGGCTCTTCGGGGCTGGAGGTACTGTAAATCTAGCCTCCGTTAATGAGTACAGCTCCAAGAACGAGCCACCAACAACCCTCATTGATCTGCCGAATTATTCCTGGAATCATTCGAAGAAATATTGGCATGAGAACTTGTCTAGTAAAGACTGGCGATATAGGCCATTTATTAGACATGATCTCCTCGGTACCAAAATTCTGGGGACTTCGTGGCATTCGCCGATATGGAAAAACATACTAAGGCTTGGCGACCACCCCTGGCTCGCGGACCACAAAGTCAGTCAAGAGGTGATATTCCCGGGTACAGGTTATTTAACCATGGCTATTGAGGCGATTTACCAAGCCACATATATGACAACTTGGATGAAGGAAGAGCCGAAGACTTATAGGTATCGGCTGAGGGATATCAAGTACCCTAGGGCCCTGGTACTGGAAGAGAGCGAAGATGCGATGATAATGCTCAGTCTGACGGCGGTTCCCGGTTCCAGTATCTGGCACAAATTCAACATATCTTCGCTGAAGAATGATAGCTGGAACGACCATGCCTCTGGTTTCATCTGCATAGAAACCGACTTCTTGGAGTCTAGAGCTCCGAAAGGTGCAATCTCTCCCCTGAAATACCCCACGTCAGCTCAAATATGGTATAAACGTATGCGAGAAGGCGGATTCGACCTTGGGCCATCTTTCCAGAAGCATCTGGCGTTGGAATACACGGCAGGCCATCGCACTGCACGATCCATAGTATCGCTAGAGCCCCCGTCTTCTCTCTGGCCGCAATCCGCCTACCCCCTACACCCTGCCTGTATGGATGGTTGTTTTCAGACGGTTACCTCGTCGATGTGGGAAGGTGATCATAGCAGTATCAACGCTGCTTTGGTTCCCTTCCAGATTGACAGCGTTATCTTGCCTTCTAATTCTCGATTGCCCAAAGAAGCATTTTCTATGGCTCGATCTGACTATGTTGGGGTCGGGAGAAGGAATCGAGCGAAGAACTACTCTTCCTCATGCACCATTTACCACCCGGAAGATGGAAGTATGCTGCTAGAGATGAAGGGACTGCGTTACACTGAGTTGGACTACAAAGATGCAATTATGTCCCACACCTACACGCAGATGACATGGGATGCGGATATCACGTTCCTTTCAGAATCCAACTTCAAGTACCTTATAAATGAGGTCATATCGTCGTCTGGCAATGGTGTTGGTGAGAAGACATCGTTCATCGCTCAAAGATTCATCGACATGGCCGCACACAAGAACCCCAATCTCAGTATTCTTGAGATCAATCTAGACCCAGCAGACACTTCAAGCTTGTGGCTAGAAAGGAGCACATCAGTACGCGCAGCGTACTCTCAATACATATTCGTATCAGGAAATGCAGACTCTGTTACTGCAGCGCAAGAGGCATACGCTAATGTGTCGCATGCTGAGTTTATCGTAGTCGACTTCACTGACTCTAAAGCAAGATTGAACAAAACATTCAATCTAGCTATTGTCAAGGTCCCGTCGACTCCATTTTTGGGATTTGAAGCGGCGTTAAGATCTGTTCGAGAGTGTCTTGATGAAAAAGGACTTGCTTTGGTTCTCGATTCCGGTGAGAACCTGAGTTCACTCGAAACTGATGTTGAGAAGTCCGGATTTGGCGCGATATTCAGTTCAGACTCGCTAGCATTGGCCTATGCAGAAGCGCCCGTAAAAGACCAACCGCTACAAGACCTCTATATATTCAAATTTATTGACCATGATACAGTCGTATTAGAGGCTAATTTTTCCAGGTCGTCTTGGAATATGATTTCGACTGATAGCCCCTCGCAAATTCCACCAGGAGGCAAAGTCCTCGTCATTGATGAACTAAAAAATTCCATTATGCCAAACCTCAACCACCAGCAATGGAGCGCGCTTCAAGAATTAATCGAGAAAAGGTGCGACATACTCTGGGTCACCACAGGCGCCCAAGTGTCAACAATCGACCCTACCAAGGCCATCATCAGCGGCCTATTCAGGGTCATCAGAAGCGAAGAGCCACTTCTGAATCTCATCAACTTGGACGTCGAACACACCTCAGGAGACAACACAATCCGAGCCATCGACACATGTCTGAAGATGTTCAACGACATCAAAACCAAGCCAAGAAAAGAGAACGAATTCGTCGAGCGCAATGGGATAATTCATATTAGTCGCGTGTTTTCCGATACGCTTCTGAACAAGGCCAAAGAGGAGGAGTTTACGGGGAGACCGGCCGAAGTAACAGATCTCCATGCGTCGGAATCGACTATTAGGCTTAGGGCGGAGCGCACTGGGAATATTGATTCCCTCCAGTATAGTCAAGTAGCCCCGGAGCCGCTGCCTTTGGAGGATGATTGTGTTGAGATAGAGGTGGTTGCCTCGGGCGTCAACCTCAAAGAGATCTTGGTTACGATGGGTATCGTCCCAGAGGATGAGCATCTCCTTGGTGGTGAAGGTAGCGGGGTGATTACTCGTGTAGCCCCCGGCGTAACGACGGCTCTCAAACCAGGAATGCGAGTTGCATTCTTTGGGAAGGGGTCTTTCGGAAACCGAGTCCAGACAAAGGCGCAAGCTGTGCATGTGATTCCTGATTTCATGAGCTTCGAGGAGGCAGCTACCATCCCATGCGTCTTTATGACTTCAATGTACTCGCTTTTCCGGCTTGCGCGAGTCAAAAGGGGAGACCGTGTCCTTATACACTCTGCTACAGGCGGTGTTGGTATATCAGCTATTCAGCTCTGCCACTATGTTGGCGCTATAGTAAGTGTCTTTCGAACCTTTCCGTCGCATCCCATCCCGCCGTAGTCAGCTGCCAAGATCCTAACATCCAAGCAGGTATACGCAACAGTAGGAACCCAAGAAAAGCGCGAATTCCTACAATCGAAATTTGGAATTCCCGACGAGCGCATCTTCTCTTCGCGCACGACCGCCTTTGGGAACCAGATTCTAGACCACACCGATGGAAAAGGAGTTGACATCATCCTGAATTCGCTAACCGGGAACTTGCTAGATGAATCATGGCGCATCATCGCGGACGGCGGCACGATGGTCGAGATTGGGAAAAAGGACATCCTAGACCGAAACACGTTATCCATGGAGCCGTTCGGCCGCAACGCCTCGTTCCGCGCCTTCGATCTAGCGCATAAAGAGATTACCGACGATACAATCGAAAGGTACTTTCATTCCCATCCAGAGGATCGAATAGCATCAGCGGGTAGCTAACATAATAGCAGCCTTCTCTCGGAGGTTTTCAAGCTGATGGAAGAAGGCCATCTAAAGCCCATCTCGCCCATGCATCTGTTCTCGTTTACAAACATCCCTGACGCCTTCCGGCTTATCCGCAGCGGCAAGCACATAGGAAAACTAGTCATCAGCGACGGTCAGGCCGGTAGCGTAAAAGTGCCTGTACGTCCTGCCCCTCGCCGTATGAACCTCCGAAGCGATGTGTGTTATCTAGTCGTCGGAGGGCTCAGGGGTCTTTGCGCCAGCCTGGCAACTTATCTGGCCAAAAACGGGGCCCGCTATCTCGCCGTACTATCTAGAAGGGGGCACGACGATGATAAATCCCGGAAGGTGATCAGCGATATCCGTGCTCTAGGATGCCATATCGATCTAGTTATAGGAGATATAACTTCGGTGGAGGATGTGAGGAAGGCCTTTCAAAGTACTCGTGTCCCTATTGGCGGCATTATCCAAGGCGCTATGGTTCTTCGCGTAAGTAATCTATATATTGACCATCACTATTGCTCTGAAAAGAGTCCTAATAAGTCATATAGGACCGTATCTTTGCCTCGATGACTGTAGAAGAATACCACACAGCCCTGGCTTGTAAAGTGCAAGGAACATGGAACCTGCACAACGTTTCGATAGAACAAAACCTCAACCTGGACTTCTTCGTCATGCTCGCCAGTATCTCCGGACTGTGTGGCAGCAAAGGCCAAGCGAACTACGCAGCAGGGAACACATTCCTCAACGCATTCGCATCGTACCGACAAGGTCTCGGTCTACGGGCGTGTTCGATAGATCTAGGAGTCATCGAGGACGTCGGGTACATAGCCGAGCACCAGAAGCTGCAGGAGCGGTACGACGCCGCGTTCTGGGACGCGATCAACGAGCAGGTGCTGCAGAAGATCCTCAACTTCTCGATCCAGCAACAGCATGTCGCCCCGATCAACGCACAGAGCGCAACTCACATGATCACGGGGATCCGCGTACCGCAGCCGGAAGACTCGCCTCTGCTCCGCGACGCCAGGTTTGCGGGATTGCACCTGGCAGGCGATGCAAACAGCCGGAATGCCAGCCGCGACAGTCCCAAAGATGTGCAGGCTATTCTCGGCATGTTGCGGTCGAAGGCCGAGGCGAGGTCTGTTTTGGAGCTTACGATTGACGTTCTGAGTAAATACTTCATCAAGAACTTGAGATTGACCGAGTCGCTCGATGCCACCAGACCCTTGTCGATTTGGGGCATCGATTCGCTTGCAGCGGTTGAGTTCCGCAATTTTGTGAAGATGGAGTTGGGGGTTGAGTTGACGACGTTGGAGGTCGTGAATGCGAGCTCGTTGGTTGCGGTTTGTGAGAAGATTATCTCGCGTATTCCGCTGAATGCGATTCAATGATTTGTATATTGGATAGATGATCAGAGTCTCTGTTTGGAGAGGGAAATTTGGTTGGTAGGTAGTAGGTACCTGGTACCTCCTATAGTGCGTTCAAACCCTCGTTTGTGGAGATAGGGGGCGGGGTAAATAGGGATAGGGGTAGCCTTACTCCTCACCCTAACCCTGAATACGAAAACATCGTGAATAATATTCGCCAGTATCGTTGATCAGTATATTGACACTTGATATTTCATTTACGCGGGAAGTGACCAAGGACTCGGATCTCGGAGAGCACGTTAAGAGCGGGGAGCTCGGTGCTAAATGATTTTATGTAGATCTTGCGCCTTGACGGCGTGTCTTAGACATGCATGCCAGCCATATAAGAAATAACGGCTGGGACGACGCCTCTGCTATCGCCTCCTCACGATCTTGGAGCATATCGGCAGAGTGTGTCGGCTTTTCTAAAAGTCTTGATGCCACAGCGGACATTTGATTAACTCCCCGTCTCCGACTGAGGCTTGCAGCTAGACTGGTGGGCTCTTGGAAGGTTGCCATGTCTTGATGTGCATTTTCAACTGTATCCCCCTTTATGCACGAGTGTCATACTCCTGCAAGATCTATGCCGGCTATGACGCTTATGACGGATATTTTATCCATATTTCCGGTCGTTGATTTCATATTACGAATACTTGTCGATCTGAATAGAAACGTTGGGAGTTTTCGTACAGCGCAGCTAATCAGGTGAGGACACGTTAGATGTCAGCATAGGTTTGAACATCTCAAGTCCTCATTTATATAGGTACCTAGGTAACGTTGGGAAAAGAAACGAGTTGTTGCTCTTTGTTTCTTGTATCTCTCATGTATTAACTTTGGTGTTTTTGTACTCGCCTTCTGTTCTAGTAAATCAGTCTCAATGGTTTCCAATCATGAGCGTGTCGCTCGCTGGCAGGTACGTATACCCTTTGGGGAGTTTGATATCAACCCCATTGAGATAGGACCATTCCGGGCGAGTCTTGGCCCTTCTGATACTTTTGATTAATCGTGTCTGAGTTATAGGATGATTTGATGCCGCATATTATCGATCGACTGGCACGTGAGACTCCCGATGCCGTGTACGGACTCTGGCCCATAGCTCCGGACTCATACGAAGCTGGGTTCCGTACTGTCACCTATGCACAGCTAGCAAATGTGATTAACGGCCTAGCTTGGTGGCTTATTCAGGAGCTCGGTCCCAGTGAACGTAATGAAGTCCTGACCTATGTCGGCCCCAACGATGTACGGCTTACTGCACTTCTCTTCGCCGCAATCAAGGCCGGTTATGTGGTAAATCTTCCCTGTATAGAACATGTCCTGGCTTATAAATCTCTAAGAGGTCGATAGCTATTCCTTACATCACCGCGTAACTCCGCGGCAGCACACCGTGGGTTGTTTGATGCGCTTAACTGTCGGAATCTTGTCACAACGGACCCGAGACCTCCATCGATTCTCCCTATACTCGAGGCCGTAAACCCGCGTCAGCTCATTACACCAAGCGTAGAAGAGCTTCTAGAGAAATCTAGCCCGCATTTCATTCTTGACAAGACGTTCGACCAGACTCGCTGGGATCCGTTCTTTATTGTGTATGTATGCTGTGGAAGTACCGTAGTTAGGAATATAGTGCATCTTCTAACACCTTCGAAGACATACGTCCGGGTCGACTGGGTTACCAAAGCCTCTGATATGGACCCATGAAAGTGTAACTCGACATCAAAAGTTTACCAGCCGCGATCCACCCGATGGTGTGACCTCGATTGACCAGATCACTCGTGGCAAGAGGGTGATAGCAACACTACCTCCTTTTCATGTATGTTAACCAGATTTCAACTTGTCTTATTTGGCATCCAAATTGACTGTGATAGGGAGCCGGCCTAGGACAATATTTGTTTTATGCCGTACCATTTGGTAATATTTTGATCGCACCAGTGACTACTGGAATTGTGACTGCCCAGGGGCTCGTAGATGCCCTAAAGCATGCACCGGCAGATATAGCCGTTCTAGCACCATCGGTGGTAGCTGAACTAGCTCAGAACCCCGAGTTGCTTGAATACTGCGCCAGTCAACTCGAATTGATTATTTTTATCGGGGGGGACCTCCCTCAGGCAATGGGAGACCGCGTCGCGGAAAAGATTCGACTGAGTTGTCAATGGGGGGCGTCTGAAGTTGGAATCCCACAGCAATTGATACCAGCCGAGCCGGGTCGCTCGGATTGGCATTATACCCGCTTCCATCCATGCACCGGTGCGGTATTTGAAGAAGTTGCCGATGGGACGTATGAATTAGTTATACGACGCGACGAAGCCCTCGCCGACACGCAGCCAGCGTTTAGCATACGAGGGCAAGAAAAGCTTGAGAAAGAATACCGCACTAAGGATTTATTTGAGCGCTACCCAACAGTTGCCGACGCATGGCGTTGGCGTGCTCGCGCAGACGACATCATAGTTTTCCTGAACGGAGAGAAAACGAACCCAGTGTCGATGGAGCAGCATATAGTGGCTAGGAACCCCGAGCTAAGCGGCGTTCTAGTTGTCGGTTCTCAAAGATTCCAGGCGGTTCTCCTGATCGAGCCGGTCTCCCAAACCACCCCCTTAACAACGGCTGATCAAGCAGCCCTGATAGAACGCATCTGGCCTAGTGTGGAGGAGGCAAATAGGGCCGCGCCAGCCCACGCGCGTGTAGAGAAGACGATGATTCTCGTGACCACGGCAGATCGGCCACTAATGCGTGCAGGAAAGGGTACCATCCAGCGGGCGGCAAGCCTCGCTCAATATGCAGCCGATATCGACAAGCTCTACGCGGATGTAGATGTGATTCCGGAAGACGAAGGGGCCGACGGGTCCGTACAGATAGACACCTTTGATTCGGTCAAGGCCCGTATCCGGGAGGGTATTTCTACCATCATGGACTGGCCAGACATAGACGACTCAACGGGATTCTTCGAGCGCGGAATGGACTCCTTACAAGCCCTAAGACTCACTCGCGCATTACGGCGAGCCCTCCGTCGCCCCAACATTGCATTATCCACGGTGTACCAAAACTCCACCATAGCGCAACTCGCCTCAGCCCTCGTAGACCGAAATGCCGAGCCTAACGAGAGGCTCATGATGGAGCCAATACTAGCCACCTACCGCGCCCTAATCCACCAAATCCCCGCGCCAACCTCCTTAACTTCAAAAACAGACAAAGAAATCGACGTCCTCCTAACAGGCTCCACCGGAACCCTAGGAACCCACATCCTAGCCGCCCTCCTCGCCCGTCCGGGAATAGGCCACATCTTCTGCCTAAACCGCAGCCAAGACGGCGGCCGCAGCGTGCAAACCTTGCGATTCACCAACGCCGGACTTCCATCTTCAGCCCTCGAAACCCGCGTGACATTCATCAAAGCAGACCTAGCCCACCCCACATTAGGTCTAGACACCCCAACCTACTCAACCCTCCGCTCCCGCGTAACCCTCATAATCCACAACGCCTGGCCCGTAAACTTCAACCTGCCCCTCTCCGCATTCCGCCCACATCTCTCCGGGCTCGTGAATCTGCTCATACTCGCCGCTAACGCGGCCCCGCGTACCGTCCACACCGTCTTCATCTCCTCCGTCGGCGCCGTCGGCGCGCGTCCGGGATCCGCTCCGGAGGCTGTGCTGAAAGACAACAACGACGGCTTCGATGCCCCGGCTGGCAACGGGTATTCCCGGAGTAAGTTCCTCGCGGAGCTTTTGTGCGATGAGGCGGCGAGACATTTACGGGTTCCGGTTACGGTGGTCAGGGTTGGACAGGTTGCGGGTGCGGTGCGCGGGGCTGGGGTGTGGAATCGCGCGGAGTGGTTCCCGAGTTTGGTGCTGAGTTCGTTGGCGTTTGGATGCTTGCCGGAGAGCTTGGGGCCGTTGTTTTCGGAGGTCGATTGGGTGCCCGTGGATTTGGCGGCGGATGTTGTGGTTGAGCTTGCGGGTGGGGATGGGGATGGGGTTGGTGCTTCGGTGTTTAATCTGAGGAATCCTAAGACGGCTTCTTGGGATGTGTTGGTGCCGGCGATTAGGGAGGTTGCGCGGGAGAGACTTGGGCGGAGATTGGATGTGGTTTCATCGTCGGCTTGGTTGGGTCGTTTGCGGGAGGCTGCGGCTAATGCTGATGCTGATGGTGACTTGATAAGCACGGCTACGTCTAACCCGGCTATTAAGTTGGTGTCTTTTTACTCTAACGACTTATGGGCTGACGAGGGTGCTGGATCGAAGCTAATGTCGGTTGAGCGCGCTCTAAGGGCTAGTTCGACGCTTCGTGATATGTCACCCGTAGGTGTCGAGTGGATGCGGAAATGGGTTCACGAATGGATTTCGGCGAAAACGCAAGATGGGGAAGTCCGATAGTGGGGATAATTAGCTGCTACGCTGCCGTAAGTCTTGTTGGTTTCGAGGTCTTGAGTAGGTATCAGATTTTGGGAAGAGAGGCATCTTTGGTCGGAAACGAAGCGTATTGAAATCTCGAAAGTCTCTTTTACATACCGAATTCCTATTCAAGTTTATCTTACAGTTAATGGAGTCATCTTTAGACTAATGATGAGAACAAGATGAATTTTGGAAGTTGGGAACGCTATGGCTCTCTATGTACACGTGCGTTAAAATCCTTCGCAGCCACAGCGCCAGCCAGAGGGGAACGCCCCCTACTTAAAACCATTCTAGTGGCATCTGAGCGCTGCATAGAATTCGTCATGCTTGACAAAGCTCGACAATTTCCATGACTTAAAAAGAGAACCTTGACTCTACGTTCAATGGGTTGTTCTCGTAATATTCGTATAAATTCTTCGAGAATACTGAGATTCTCACGGCAATCCACGAGTTCGAATCCGCAAATAACGCATACGAGCCCTGGTTCAATGACGGATAGAAGAGCTTTCAGTGTTTCTAGCGCTGTCGGAATGCTCTGCATTGTACCGTCTAGCCGCCGTAGTTTATCCCCCACGAGATCTTCTACGGAGTCGAAGATTTCTGGGACAATAGTGGCAAGTTGAGAAATAATCGAGTATATCATGGAGACAATACCAGCATCTTTCATCGATATCGCCTGGGACTCAAACACATATCTTGTTTTGGCGAAGAAGCTGATGCACGAAATACTAAGATCCTCGGATATCGCCCGGATTCGACACCCGATAGTTGGGAGAGCTTGACCAAATGCTTCGTACGCTGGTCCTTCCACCCACAGCAAGCTCGAATCTTGTGACTGTGCCCAATTCTGAATGTCAACGGCAACGTCGTTCGGAATGAGCGGTATATCAGTTAGCATAGAGTCTGAAGGCATGCTTTCTTGTCCGTGCTCGACGAATGGTCCAAGCGATTGTTTAAGCCACTCTAAATCTTTTCTCGTCATCGTGACGGCCGCATTGCCTATGATGCTAGTATTAGCTGAACCGCGTTCCGTTAGTTCTTGTGCAAACTCCGGATCTTCATACTAGACTTCCTCGCTATGCCGCGCACAGCATCGTTCACCGTTCCCATCAAGGATCTCATTCTCGAATCATTCAAATCTTTAAAGTTTCAGCAAGACATTCTCGGGTCTTAGTTCATCTCTTACCATGTTGGGCGTTCGCCATCAGCGTCGTGCACATTTGTTCTCCGATCATCCTGGCAAATTTCATTAACTTTTCATCCAAGACTCCTTCGAATTCGTCGAGGCGCATATCTATACGGTTATATGTCTCGATAAACCCGGTCTTCTGTTCCAAATGTATGTCTTGGACCATTTGGTCGCTGGCCAACCTCATTTCATCACGGACTCGCTGGACTAGACCTTGGATTCTTTTGACTCTGGATTCGACGTTTTTATCGTAAAATTTGTTATCGAACGCCTTTTTAAATCTATTCCAAGAGGAACTATACCACTTCATCGTATGGCAGAGGAAAGCGAAGACTTCCCGGTACAGGAGGATTACGTGCCCCTTCATCTCAGTTGTGTTGCACATTCGCGTACCTCTCCGAACGAAATTCAGGTCTCTGCTAATCTCTTGGAGAGCTCGCGAGAAACCCTCGGCGATTGACTCGTGGTTGACCGATGCCTGTTGATGATAATCTGAGCCTAGGCCACAAAATACTGATACATGGAATTTCTTACCTTCACGATCGATGTGATAACACCTGTAATAAGGCTTGTATACTTGTCGCCATTCGGGATGATGCTGAAGAGATATTTATGCTCGTCCATAGTCTCGAGGAATGAGAATAAATGCACTTTAGCTCGCCCAAAGCCTTTCTCTTTTTTCTTGTCCCACTGGGTTTGAGCTTGGAGAACTGCGGTCCATAGAGTCTCGACGGTTGGAATCTGGTCTCCAGGAATCCCCAAGTCGCCAATATCAAGTCTCAAGCTTTCCCAAAGTTCAGTAGTTTCTTTTGCTTCTGCTCTCAGGATTGCCACGGTAGAATCACTGTTCTTTCACGGTCATTTCAGAGTTATCAACAATGACTTTTCTGTGACGAATACGGAGAATGCGGATAGATGAGACACTTACGATTCAGGAACATCGAAACGAAGCCAACGCCTCCAGGCTGTAGGCATACGCTCAGCTTCTTGGAGCGCCGTCTCGTGTACAGCCACGGCTTTCTCTAGCGCATTCTCTGGCATATTATTTGCTAGCTGATCACTGTATCGCCTTACAAGCCCCACCACTACGGGATCAGAATGTTCTTCTGTCATTGTCTGTTTAGAAACTCATTGCCATGTTAGTTTCTACAATTTCAGGCGAGTCCTTTTCCTGAACTAGCTCTGAACCGCCTACTCTTTTTATAATCATTCGATATTGGGCGATGTAACCACACGCATAACGCTGGCGCTTTTCATCGTCGTCATCTTCCCCCTCACCACCTGAAGGTTTCACAACGTCGAATTTGGGGGCTAGAACCAGTCTTCCGCCCCAATAGCTGCTCTAGGATCAATATGTGGCGTAGAACTTCCAGGAAGCTTGGTACGTAGCAGCGCGATTTAAAAGCCGGGCGGTAGGAACCTACCTCCTATTCTATTGTCTACCTAGGTATTCATACCTATAGAGTATGGAATAACCTATTGCAGATGATCGCCCTCTTATCATTAACATGGAATCTATATTCACAACTCTCGGCGAAGCGTCGAAATACCCACCAGAGGAACAGAATAATGATCCTTACCCCAAACCCTCGCCCCAATTGAATAGTTCAGTCGATAATTCCGAAGATTCATTCAATTCAGAGGGTGAACACTTATCAAAAAGAACGCAGAATAGGGTGTACAAGTCCACCATAACACAGCACCTACCGATTCATGAGGCCTTATGTCCCGTCACAGGAGCCAATCATTCGCATCTGCTTCAATTCGACATTCATATTTGCCCCAGGTGTTACAAGAATATCTATGACGACCTTGAAGAGGACGACAAATCAGAAAAAGGCACGAAATCCACTGACAAGATACCGACAACGGCCCCCTCTGGGGAGACTATGGAGGGCAATATAAAATTCGAAGTAGAATATTTAGATCAGATCAGCAAGATTCGAGATGATGTTAGCTGGTTCAGACGTAAAGCTTCAAAGGAAATGTCCGAAAGCGAAGATGATAATGAAGTTGAAAATCGAAACTTGAGCGAAAGCGGTCTCACAATTTCCACCCAACCCAAAGATCACATTAGCGAGCCAGGTCCAGTTGAAACCGCCGGCGAGCTTCTTGGCGTGCGAGGGATGAGTACGGCTGAAGCTCGTAACATAACAAACTTCCCTCACGAGATTGAGTTCCAGGACGAAGGGGGGAATTTCTTGCACCGTAGACCTTGGGACGGGCCCTTTGACCTGGCTAAGGCGCGCCAAGGGATTAAAGTCCACCCAAGAAAGACGATTGTCAAAATCAAAACGATTTTGGTGATTGACCACCCAGATGATGATGATCGGTCTGATGGGAAACGTATCAGGATCGTAAGGGAAGGCTTAATGAACGACCCACGAGTTCAATTCAAATCTATCAAACAACAAATGACTATAAGGTCAAAAGCAATCATCGAGGCACTCCAAAAGATCGTCACGTATTATCCCAGAACGAACGTGAACGTAGACACGTTGGTATTGAAGTCCCCGTTCTGTATCCTAGCTCACCATCTGACGGAGCTCGAGACGTTCAAAAATACATTTGATGGAAAAGAGAATGCAGTAAATACGGAAGAGAGGCCCGCTTCTACTCTTTCCCTTAATCCAACTCAGCCTTCGGCGGATAGGTGCACAAGGATCGCTTTCGATCATATCGGCCAACTTCTTCGCTTCCTTAGGAGTGATATTTACGGCAACGAGATTGATATTGAAAGGGCCCGACACTCTAAAACTCCCCCGATGTGCACATTTCCCCTAATGTGGTTACTATATAAACCAGGGACTACAGTTTACATTACTGAGGAGAGTATTGAAGCGGGTGCTTATGTTGTTGCAGAATGTGAGGTCGACCCCGAACTTCTACAGACCGACAAGCTATCGAGGTCCTATAGGTTGGCGCTATGGAATCTCAACTCTGATGGAATGTATGTTCGTCGATCCAGAAAAACCAAAGTGGTTGGATATTTCGACGGCGAACGCCCCATATTAGATCTGCAAGTTATCCCGGCAGATTTCGTCGATGCTTCAGACGGGGGCAAGACACGAAAGAAGTTAATCGAAAGGGGGAGAAAATGGTACGAAATGCTAAAGGGGGGGCAACAATGGCATTACCATGGGCAAACCTACTCCTTTGACAAGAAAGTGGTAAGAAGAGTATAAGTATCCTGGCGGAGATAAATATCGACTAATAGAGGTTTAGATTGACACACGTGTGGTTATAGACATTGACGCATACTTCCAGCACAATAAAATAAACCTCATATCAGAAAACTTCATGATTAATGACATGGGAGATAACCTTGCCATTTGTCCATGTGAGAGGTGTCGCGGCGGACGCCCTCATCCCCCCAGGGGCTTTCCGTGGGCAGAATATGACATAGTTCACCCGCGACATGACGACCTCGAATTTTCAGGCAATCATCCGAATCCAAAACACCGCTACCTGCTTTGTGTAGGAAATATTGGGGGACTCGCATTGAGGACCCGGACTTGGGGTAAGTTATTCATAAAGAAATGCTCACTAGATACCTATGCTCCGTAAATTAACAATTACTCTGAATAGAAAAACTAGACGTGGAGCTGTGTTATCCCCCAACTATCAATACCAAAGCGATAGACACGCTTGTAATGCCAGACGAGCGAAAGAGGATGATCAAAGCAATCGTCCAAAAGTACACGGATCCAAGATTCACGCCTGGCACATCAGTTTCAACTTGGGGAGCAGACTTTATCGAGAAAAAGGGAGAGGGCCAAATCTTTCTCCTCCACGGAGGCCCTGGTGTTGGAAAGACATATGTAAGAATCTCCCCCAAAATACCTATCACAAAATCTCTTGGCTAACCACGAGGTAGACCGCTGGCAAGTAAACATGAACCCATACATATGACCATCACTAAACGTTGATTAGAATGTATCTCTGAATTGATCGGGCGGCCACTGCTTTCTTTGACCTGCGCAGACTTTGGAACTAACGAGGAAGTCATGGAAGACAGGCTATCTAGGTGGTTCAAACTTGCTGAAAAATGGGGTGCTGTAATGCTTCTTGATGAAGCGGACGTTTGGTTGGAAAGACGGATGATTTCCGATTTGAAACGAAACACTCTGGTCGCCGGTTTGTCTCGTGCTATATCTACCCGCTTTGCTTTACAAACTAACATTGTGAAGTCTTCCTTCGATGCCTGGAATATTATCGGGGTATTCTGTTCTTGACCAGCAACCGCGTGGGAACCTTTGACGATGCTTTCATCTCTCGAGTTCACGTCGTAATCAAATACGAAGATTTAGGAGAACCTGAACGCAAGCAGATTTGGAAGCAATTCTTCGACAAACTCGAGAGGGAACGTAAAGATACGATCCTCGTGGAATCCCGGGCGAAGCATTTTGTCATGAACGACTCTGAGATGAAGAAGATACCATGGAATGGGCGAGAGATACGAAATGGTAAGCATAAAAGAATTCAATTCTTTCCGTTCAGCATATCATCTCAACCACCGACAAGACAAAAATACCACAAACTTACTTAGATTTTATAGCTTTCCAAACCGCCGTATCGCTAGCAGAATATCGGTACCACTATGAAGGTGGAAAGGAAGAGAGTGATACTATTGTCTTAGACAAGGTAGATTTCGAGCAAGTTTGCCAGATGTCTATAGACTTCAAGGATTATCTCAAAAGAGTCCACAGAGGTGACGACGAAAATGATAGGGCGATGAGGGAGAGAGCCAGAGCATAATGAGAAGCCCTAAGGCATCCTTGAACGGCGACAATGTATGACCCCGGGAAAACACATTTTCCTTAGGGTATATTTGTTTGAATTATGTGCCCAGGTGGTTCGCGGATCAGGGGCCTAATTTGCTATTCCACCACTCGTTGAGTATAGTTAGCTACCTACCCAATTCCCATTTTTTCATGCCTCAAAAGGAGACAAAAAGTCCCGGACCGGCCGAATCCTCGCTAATCGAGGGATATTGCATATCGAATCCCTTTAGATCCGACTAGTCTGCCGCATCTGACATAGCTCTTGAGATCTACGTGGAGCGGTGACCTTAACATAGTATAGAGTAGTGAGGTTAGCGAATCAGAAATAAGTATTGATGGTAGAATTAGGTACCTATTTATCACCCGGTCTTTAACTCGAAATGCCGGATCACCCAAGTCCTATTGCCTGCCGTCGTAAAACATGCCAGGCATTTCCTCGCTTGAAGCCTCGTCGTCCCAGAAAGGTGAGGTTCTAGGATAGACCGGGAAAGATCGTCGTTACCATGCTTATAAGTTTCCAGTTTTTTCTCAAAGGGGACATTCCATGGTGTTTAGCAAGCCAGGTACCAGGTTCAATCTATGCGGGATTCCAACCTAAGAAAGAATAGCGTGTTATCAGCTGCAAAGACTGCACTAATAATCCTACTCCCGATCTGCGCTGCAACCTACCGCTCGCACAGTGTTGCTATTGGGCTATAGCGCATCCGAAGGATCGATGCGTTTAGGGTGTGTCGTACCAGATTAGTCGCTATATCGTCAAATGCGGACCGCACGATGCCACGAACCATGTAGCTGGGAACGGCGAGTTTCTGTAGTGCTAGTAACGTTCGAAATATCCTGCATAAGTACATGCGGAACTCCTTTTCTTATTCCCTTTTGGTAGCTTGGCAACTGCATCTTGTAAGCAGACTAGAGACACCCTTTCTGATAAGTTTTATACTCTAATATCTTCGCGATGAGGTTAGAAACTCTTGATGGCTATAGTAGCAGCGGTAAGCATCGTGATTTCGGCCGCCAAGAGATGTTACAGGTGTCTTTGGCCTCGTTCTTACGAATATTCCAACTAACCGAAGTGATAGGGGTTGGTATTCATTCCCCTGAGACCATAAAAGGTCTTGGTGGCTCTTCGGTTGTTTCGCTATCAAAGAAACAGCAAGACTTGAACCTATCTCCTCTACTCGCTATACTTGAGAGGTCGGCACATACAACTTCTGGTCTGTGTTTCGTATCAAAGCGCAATGGAGGTGCAGCTACGGAACATCTGACCTATGCTTCTCTATGGACTAGGGCTCAGAATGACGCATGCTCATTGATACGTCTCCGACTCGCTCAGCCAAAACCTGGTTCCAGCAATGTACTACTATACTTCAACACCCACCGCGATAACATTCGCTGGTTCTGGGCGGTACTGGCTGCGGGTGGCGTACCTTGCATAGCGCCACCATTCGTGAGCGATTCAGGGTTGAGAAAAGACCATATCTCACACTTGATAAATTTGTTGGAAAACCCAACTATCTTGACAACCGAAGAACTATCTTCAGTCTTCGAAAATAACAGCAACGCGAGCATCCAAACAATAGAGTCGTTACCAGCAGAGACAGAACTCACATTTAAGGCACCGGCTCCACCTACGGATGATGGCCTTGCGGTGCTTATGCTAACATCCGGGAGCACCGGAAACGCGAAGGCTGTTTGTCTCACCCACGAGCAGATATTAGAAGCAGCCGCTGGAAAGAGTGCTCACAGCAAGACGAATAGCAAAGACGTATTTCTTAACTGGGTTGGCTTAGATCATGCCGTCAACCTCGTAGAAATACACGTCCATGCTATGTCACTAGGGGCAGAGCAAGTCCATGTTCAGGCCAACGATCTCCTCGCCGACCCTCACCTTTTCCCTCGGGTTATAAACCAGCACCAAGTTAGCGTAACTTTTGCCCCAAATTTCTTTCTCGACTTAGTCGCTTCCCAAATACTCGAGAAGGATCCCGAGTTACGAAATCCCGAGAAACTTGATCTTTCGAGTTTTCGCGCCCTTTTTTCAGGGGGGGAGGCTAACGTTGTTAAAACTGCAGTGGGGGTGACCAGGATTTTCCAAGCCTACGGGACTAAAGTCGAATTTATATGCCCTGGTTATGGATTGACTGAGTCATGCGCCGGTGTGACTTGGGGGTTCAATTGCCCTTCATACGACATAAAGTCCGGGGGTGAATTCACATCTGTCGGAGCCCCAATACCAGGAGGTCTCGTCCGAGTCGTGGACCTTGAAGGCGTCCAGGTACCCCCTGGTGAAATAGGAGATCTCCAAATCTCTGGCCCTGTCGTATTCAAGAAATACTACAGAAATCCGGAAGCGACCAAAGAAGCGTTCACCCAAGATGGGTGGTTCATCACCGGAGATCAAGCCCGCGTAGACTCTAATGGCCAACTACATATCGTCGGTCGTGTTAAAGACACAATCAACATCAACGGTGTCAAATACTTCTGCTCAGAAGTTGAGACAGCCATCGAACAAATAAAGTTACCAGGAGTAACTCCTTCTTTGACGATCGTCTTCCCCCATCGCCCCCAGGGTGCTAATACCGAAGAGTACTGCATTGTCTATAACCCCACCGAGGAGGATACCACCGGAGAATCCCGAACACATATTGATGACAACATGAGTCGGATCTCTAGTGTGATTACAAATAAAAAGCCTTTTAGGATAATACCATTACCGGAATCTTCCTTCAACAGAAGCTCACTAGGGAAGGTATCGCGAGCGAAACTTCGAAAGGCCTTCGAAGCAGGGGATTTCCAAGAGGTGGATGAGTTGAATAGATCCTTGATCCACGCCTTCAGGAAGGCGAACCGCGACGCTCCAGCTAATCCCGCCGAAGAGTCGGCACTTAATCTCGCCTGCGACATGCTCGGTTTACAAACAGAAGAAGCGAGCGTGACAGATAACATCTTCCATCTAGGATTCAGCTCCTTAGATATCAACGCCTTCGCCTGCCGGCTGCAGAACACCCTCGGAAGTCGCAACGCGGTAACGCTCACCGAAGTATTGCGAAACCCGACCATCCGTTCCATTTGCGATGGGATAGACGACAGCAAGGATCCGGACGAGTCCTATGATCCCGTAGTCGTACTCCAACCAAACGGAGACAAGACGCCATTCTGGATTATACATCCCGCCTCTGGAAACGTTCTAGTTTTTATCCCCCTGTCGCGATATCTTAGCGACCGACCCGTGTACGGTCTTCGTGCTCGTGGAGTTCGTCTTGGCGAGCGGTTCTTCGGGTCTATCGACGAAATGGCTAGCACATACTTCAATGCTATCAAGCGTACTCAACCCAAAGGTCCATACGCCATTGCTGGATACTCTCTGGGAAGCAGTGTCGCATTCGAAGTTGCGAAACTGCTAATCGCCAACGGTGACGAAGTTCGCTTCGTCGGGGCCCTCGATAGCCCGCCCCATATAGCACCTCTTATTAGCACTCTCACATGGAGTGCAGCTCTGGTTATGGTAAGCTTCTTCCTGGGACTTATTCCGGAGAGGTATTCTAATGAAGTGATACCGCGTCTTTGGAACGAGCCGTCGGATGTTGCCTTGGAATTCATCCTCTCGAACGCAGATCCGGCACGTCTCGACGCGTTACAACTTGACAAGACTGGACTTTCGCGGATCGCGGATATAGCGCATAACTTTGGCCAGGCGGCGCGTAGATATGAGGCTGTGGGGTCGGTGCCGACTATGGATGTCTTTATCGTCGACCCCCTGCTCAGCGTGACGGAGAAAGGTCGTGAAGATTGGTATGATCGGTTTTTATACCAGTGGAAGGATTTCGTGACTGGGGATTTGAAATTCCACCAGAGTTCCGGGAGTCATGCCGATATGTTGAGTCCCAAGCATGTGCGCGATTTTCAACGGATTCTTCAGGATATTCTTGTTGCTCGAGGTCTTTGAAAGCTCTAGGTTTAATTGGAGTAGGGAGAGAAATAGGGGAACTTTTACATATCGCTCTTCTCTAAGCTTTCTCAAGAACGAAGGCCCATAGCCCGTATCCATATCCTTTCCTTCTAGAGGCAGAATGATAATAATCATGATGATTGAAAATCCTATTTCCCATAATTTGATCAGCTAAGACATACCCACCTGGTGGCGTCAATATCCATGCACGATCCCGTCACAGTGCCATAAAATGCTTCACACTATAAGACGTCGACGATCAATTACGCCCAAACGGCCTGCAAACGCCTACTCCTCCCCCCACGATGCCTCAATGATAGCAAGTGCACTTCCCGGCGGTCTAGTAACGCCAATCCACCGAAACCTCGGATCTGCTTTCGCCAGAAGCTCTCTCCACTGCTTCTCATCCCGCTCCTGGGCATTCAACAACTGCATCATCCCAATATCCATATTCCTAAAAAGCCAGTCAGCTCCAACATGCACATCATCTCACGGACCTCCCCACAAACACAAACTCACGTAGCAGCCCGCCTCCCCCGCAAAGAAAGCCGATCGAGGTCCTCAACGCAGTAATCATGTATAACCAACCGTGACCTCTCCCCCATCGCCAACCCCACATTCCGCAGAATCCGAAGCGCATACTTATCGCTCCAATTATGCAGAATCCAGCGCAGGAAATAAACCTCCGCCCCTTTCACCGGCTGCGGTTCGAAGAAATCATGGGCCTGGAAAACAATCCCTCCTTCCCCCTCTCCGTCTCCCTCCCCATCTCCTAATGAACCGTCTACCGGCTCACTACTAGCTCTACAAACAACCCCCTCCAAATCCTGCACCACGAACCTCACCCGCGCACCCCGCACACTCCCCCTCACCGCGCGCGCAAACTGCCCCAGCCCACCCCCCACATCCACAAACACCGACCCGGCCGGCAACTCCGCCAGCATATCCCCGCGCGCGCCCAGGAAATGCGCGGGCGAGTACCCCGGCCCGCTGGAGTACGCCGCCATACCAGCTGCGAAGCGAGCTGCGCGGGCGGGGTCGTTCGCTATGGCATCGTATAACGATTGTCTTGGGGGCGATTGTGAGGCGTCGTCATCGCTAGGTTCGCTAGGTTCGCTAGGTCGGTTAGAGGAATGCGCGAGCGCCCACCCGCTTTCCGACGGTTCGGAGGCGGCGGGGAAGGTCGCTAGCGCGTCTACGGTGCGCGTTGCGGCGGGCCAGCTCTCTTCGCAGGTTGCGGCTATCCAGGCGTTGAAGGAGGGGGTGCGGAGGAGGAGGGAGGCGGGGGTGTGGTGGATTAGGGGGGTGGTGTTTGCTGAGGAGGGGGAAGGGGGGGATTCGCGAAAGATGAGGAGACCGATGGAGTGGCGGAGGATGCGGCGGATTGTTTGTTCGGACTGCCCGCTGGCGGTGGCGATGGCGCCGTAGGTGAGGCCGGAGTCGGGCGGGATTATGTTGGCGATTTGGAAGCGTTGGATGAAGTGGAGGGTTATGAGATTGGCGTGCTGGATGGGTAGGTACCTAGTTAGCTGTGATCTTTGGTGGGGTTGGGCGGAGATGGTGAGGGTAAGGAAGGGGGATCTGTCTACCGAAGCGTGAGTCCTGAGAAGCTCCGCTGGGTCCAGCGAAAGGTTGTAGATCTCAAAGGCACTGTCGAGGATTCGCTCACGAATAGCTACCGCCTCTGCTGAGTCTGAAGCTCCTGTTTGCTTCAGCGCTTGAGCGTCAGCATACAGCTCTGAGGCGATCTCGATAACTCGCGAATCATTCATCGTTGGTAAGTGTTTAACTTGTTTTCGGGCGTTAGAAAACTAACACATGCTGGTACCTACATAGGCAGGTAATCATGGTATATACCAGAGTTCTGGGGAAGATCAATCCGTTTTTAGAAAGAGGGTACTATCAAAATGGCATAGTCCATCGAGCTACACCGAACGAAGAACCCCTACGCCTACGAAAATCGTTAAGATATACCCGATTTACGACTCTAGCGGCGCGTAGGATTATGGATACCTTAATCCTATTACTACCTCTTAGGTAGGTGTTCGCTGATAATCACGGATTTCTGGGTCTACCTAGGTGAGGAATCTTTCCTAGCCTCTATTCTCGCTAGGTGTGGAACGTAACACTAGGCGCGTTGCCGGTAGCCGCGCATTCTATGGTCGCGATATCTTCCAAAATTTTAAATGGTATCTTTCATTACGAGTTATTTAATTATTATATAGCTCGACCTGGGGTATCAAATTGAGTCGTAATAGACGTCGTCACAGCGATTCCCGTAGTAGGAGAACGCTCAATATGTTCCCCCTTTTCAACTCTGGAGATGCTCCCGAGATTTAGGTCTTCCATCGCAAAGTCTTGGTTCTTATCGTTGAGCGCTTCATAGCTGCCCTCATGATTCAACGTAGCAGATCTGGTGAACCTCCTCGAACTTAGAGCCTGTGCGCTCTGGAAGCTCTGGCCGTTTGATCCTATCCCTGACTTCCTCTTCCTCCTTTGTTCGAACAAAGTAGCGATGATGGGTATATTTGCGCAGACAATTCCAAGGGCTTCTTCGATATTACTCCAAAGAAGGAATTCAACAGACGAATCTAGAAGATCTTAGCAACTTCGGCGCCGCTTAGCTCATTAGTGGATACTTACAAGTTACGTCGGCTCTGGGGTTGGTCGCAAATATGAATGCAAACCGTACGAAACCGGCTGCCGTGGCCATGAATCCAATGACGAATAATCCAAGCAGTCGCAGGCGTTTCGGAGTCGTGGTTTGCAGCTTGAGTAGAATGGGCACAGGAAGCAGCAAGACAAAAAGATCTCCGATCGTGTTTAAAATGATCGGGGTGCCGATACTAGCAAGCGCCTTCACACATCTTCCGTTCTCGTCGCCTTCAGGGGGTGTCATTCCAACACCCACGTAAATCTTGTTCCAGTAAAAGTCGATTGGCGCACACTGGAATATGTAGAAAAGGGTCGAGCCAATTGTCCACAGGATAACGTACGCCACGTTAGCCCACCAAGCGATCTTGAACCATCGAGAAACCCAAAAGAGGCGCTTTAAGAAGAAAAGAATGGACAGTTTGATAGTCGAGAAGCAGAATCCGTTCAGCACCGCATAGGCCCAGACAATCTGCAAGATTTGGACGAGTGCTAGTGGGGGCTGAGGGTCGTTGGCTAAGACTCGGTATTGGTGTAGTCCAAACCCCTTTGTCACCGCGGCCAACATAGCTGATATAATTCCATCGCTGAGGAGGACGGCGCACATCATCAAGTAGTCATCGATCTGGAATTTCCTGTGCCGGAGGACCGAAGTGAATATCCGCGCCGCGGACGTCGCATTCGTGAGGACGAGAAAGGTGACCAGTATACCGACGATGAGCGGCTGTAGACTTTCGTCCCAAGTGGCCTTCTCCTCCGCCGTCAACTCCATAGTTGCGATTAGTGTTAGGTTACAGAACAAGATCGCCAAGTTGAACTTGGAGGTCTAAAGAAGCATGACAGGCTGACATCCAACCTATAGCCTTCGCAGGAGACACAGCCTTCGGCAGATGAAGGGGGCTAAAAGGATTGGCACTCGAATCACATTGGTGGCTATGGTTATGCTTATGATCAAAGATTTGCAGCCCTATTGTCTGATGGTTGGTGGGCATCCCCTTTAGGCAGTTTCTAATGATAGTTTTAGGATACGCTATACGCCTCAGCTACGATACAGCCAAAATAGGTTGTTGATCATTTTACGCCGAGTAGAGAGATTGCTAACTACGACCTTCAGGTAGCATTGCTGGATTCGCTATTATGTTTAGCTTTTGGAATTTGGCCGCCAACAGTTCCACTATACGGTAGAATAGAAGCGATTACGTGCGACCTTCCGGCTTAAGTGTACTCGACTGCGGATTTACGGCGCGGGGGCTGAGAGATTGCCGATCAAGACAGGCATCGCTACCGAGCTGAATGGCGTCACGATCAGTGGCGTTTTGGGAGAAAGATCGGCATACTATCCTCTTCTTAGGACCCTTGGAATCCTTAAAAATCCTGTAACCTTCCTTCAATAGAGTATAATCTAGAATTTCTTACGAAGTCGGACTATCTTCGAGAACAAAGATGGCACAATTTCAAAGTCTCAAAACTGGTTTATAGAGTATCAGTCGGGTTTTAAGAAGAGTCAAGTCTCGGATGCTATTCCCGCCGATCAACGCCGCCTTCACTTATCCTCTGCATTGGAACCTAAAGCCACGAGGTCATGTTACCGTCACGTAACCATCCATTGTCGTCGTTTTGTGTCCACACAGTGAGCCCCGGTGGGCGTCGGACTGTGCGCATGCAAGTTGATTCTTAGAGTCGTCTTGCAGGATCCTTCGACGACCTAATCCTCTCAACCCTTGCCCCTTTATCAAATCGTATCAAATCTGGGCATTTCTTGGCCGACCAAAGATGAATATCTTCTTAGAAAAGAACACTCTATAGTTTCTAGTCTCGAAAGTCATTCGTTCTTTCATGTTTCTGGCACGATGAGTCGCTATCTCGTAGCCACTGCTTTGGTCTGGTGTTCGGTAGTTCTGTCGACCCTAGGTCAGACTTTCTCTGGATTCGAGCCGTCCACCTCGAATCCGCTGACCGTAATATGGGGCGCGACTCCTTTGAACTATTCCGGCCAGCTACTGCCGCTTGACTGTAAGCCGATTTGCTTATTGTGCTGCCTTGCTTATTCCCCCCATCGGCTACCATCACCATGAACCAATCACGCTGACGTACCTTCTTAGTCCTCAACGCCCAAAGCTTTCCTACCGTGGGTCTACCGGTAGAGTCCAATTGTAATGGCACTTATATCCTTCTGATGGTGGACCCCGATGCGCTGCAAGGCGATATCGAAACTCAGGTTAGTATTGGTGGCGCTTCCATCATATCCATTCAGAAGTCTAGATATACGCCCTTCCTTCCCTAGAAGTAAGGGATCATCGGCTAATGTCTTACTACGTATAGACCGGTCTGCATGCCATCCGAGGCAATTATACGTGTGATTCAGGACACGTGACAACCTTGGGTAACAGTACTTTCCTTGAGCTGGACACGGAGTCACAGTTTCTGGCGTCGTATATTCCGCCGGCGCCACAAGCGAAGAACCCGGTCGTAACGCATCGTTACACGCTCTTGCTATTCAATCAGCCGGATAATTACACTCTTCCCGACACCCTGACCTATGCCCTACCCCTTGACTTGTCGAATGTCACCAACAGGTTGAACTTCAATGTTACGGAGTTCGTCGACACTTTAGGGGAGTCCATCGTCGCTGGAACCTACTTCGATGTGAATAGTCCTCTAGCCAATTTGACCACAACCCCATCGGCAACTAGTACTGGCGGCGCTTCTTCTACCAGCGAAGCTTCTTCAAGCCCAACTCCTGAAAATGGAGCTAGATCTGCCGGACTATCAGGCACTTCAGTGGGGATGGCAGTAGTTGGGTGTGCCCTAAGTATAGCGTACATCACCACCGGACAATAGCTGCTGGGGGCTAGTGCATCGTCCACTAAAATTCGGTAGCGAAGCGCAAACAAAAACTCGTTACCCGTGAGGACCAAGTCGGGCTCAGGGGTAATTCCTGTAACATTACACATCATTATAATAATTAATAGTTAGATGTATATTACCTCAAACCATAACCTGAGCATATTCGCCTTCCCCTTACATACTGGTAATCTAAGGGTCATCACCTTATCTGCCCTATATTATCCAAACGACTGGTATGGTGCGTGGCACAGCATGAGACATAAATTACCGAAAGGGGATGGGGTAGCGCGGGGTTCATGCAGATGATTGGCGATGACTTTTGGGTGCTTACACCGAGTAATGACCGTGTATCCATAGCACAGAGATCTCTGGCGGGCTAACTTAGTAGGGCAGATACACTCGTAAATGGTTTCCGTATTAGGTACACCTACCTGCTAAGCTTTCGGTGACCTTGCCGAACCCAGCGTGATGAGAAGCGTGCACTTCGTACGCGCAATCGCTCGGGTTTTAATTCTACAATGCGTTAGATACCAGATGCATGATGAATCCGCCTTACTATTATAGCATGCAGTAGGTAGGTATTCTTCGTCTTCATTCCCATCTGCCTAACCCATTATCTAACCCATGATGTTTCTTGGCTGCTGGCTAGTCTCATTGCTTGTCTCGTTTGACAGTTCTTGGCACTTTTAATTCCACCTCCTTCATTACGTCGCTTAATACTACCAATTACAGCATTACCAAATCATCGACGCGATGGCGAATGATTCGTCCCAATGGTTGCAAAAAGACGTCAAAGAAATTGACCCTATATCGCGTCAATTGCTAGAGTCATATTCCGGTCTAGCACCAGAAGAAGTTATACCTCATTGTTTAGCTATTGTAAGGTGATTTTAATCTACACGACAGTCAGAAGTGCTTATAGTCAATGATGATCGTATTAGCGAGATAAAGCATTCGCGCTTTACCCATGGCCATGCATCGGCCAGATGCGTTTTATCCGGTTGAGCCTCGCCTCATACCCTTCGTACGCCAACGCGCTTGAACGTATCCGAAGCAACCCCGACTCCAGGTTTCTTGATGTCGGCTGCTGCTTCGGCCAGGATATTCGTAAACTCTTCATTGATGGAGCGAAGCCAGAGCAGCTAGTTGGCTTAGATCTTGTGCCGGAGTTCAACACTCTAAGCTACGATTTGTTTCGCGACGCGTCCAAGTTGTCATTCGAGTTCCACGCGAGGAACCTTCATGACGACGACGCAGACTGGAGTCCTCTGGAAAACCGCTTTGACGTGCTACACCTGACCAGCCTGCTTCACATTTGGAACTGGGAAGGTCAGGTCAAGGCTGCTCAGCGAATTGCTTCTTTTACGAAACCCGGGGCCATTCTAATTGGTAGCTCTTTAGGCAGTGGTGTCGGTGGAGAATTCCCGAACCTGGAAGGCGATGGCACAAACTTTCGACAGAGCGAGAAAACATTTGAGAAGTTCTGGAAAGAGGTAGGTGAGAAGACAAGTACAAAGTGGGATGTGAAGACAATATTCAAGGCCATGGATTCTACACGCATGAACATGAACCAGAACTGGGCGGAACCAACTATGGGAATCCTCCTCTTCGAGGTTACAAGAGTAGAATAGATAAATCTAGGTACCGACATATATGCTTGATAAATTTACAATATGGACTTCGTTTCGACTCACTAGGTACCTACCTACCTGTAAATAGAACTCCCTTTTACAAACATGAATGCCTTTCCTTATCTTTTCGCTTCATTTAGAAAATATTTCTTTATCATAAGACTTCTAAATTTTTATATTAGTAAACTCTCAATGTGAGAAGAGAAACAAATTGGGAGCAACCCTTCCCTTTTTCTTGAAAAGTCAGTCTTTCATTAAATTGCAAATAATAAACTCGCATATGCTGGAAGGTATCCTACCCCTTAGGTTAACGCCATTTGGTGAGCACTTATAACATCTGCACACCTAATATTTATCGTACCAGAGTGTTAAAAGGGGTAAGCCCCCAAACACAGATTGTCGATATCTCCAAAGTCTCTGTCGTTAGTCAGTAAACTAAAGTTGGAGAGTCGAAGCCTGCCATATTCCGGAAACTTCTAGTACCTATGTTCCTGCCTACCTAGGTACCTATTATACGATAATCTGCGAATTCGGCATTGAGCTAGCTTTCTTACTTACCTATGTTCCAAAGTTGTTATTCCTTTGTACTAGTACATTAGTAGTCATGATACTCTCAACATAGCAGTGATTTATAATGGTAATATCTGCTTGGAACACTCTAACAACGAGGTCTACATACTTACATCCCGCTTAGAAAAACTCACGCTTTTGTATAACTACCCCTATATTCATAACATATACTTGGTATTATCCTTAGGGCAAGAAGGTATAATAGTAATAATGCTATATTCACTAAGAAAAGTGCCCGGCCCAAAACAATCAGACTTTCAAGGTCAATCATAAACTGACAGGATCAACCCCTATTTCATCATCTGCGACTCCTCCATATGAAAACTTAGCAACCCCTTTCTATAGCAACTAATAGTTATTCTCCTCCCCTAAAGTTCACCTTCCGGTCTTACATCCGGGATTGAGCAAGTCGGCTCCGGTGGGCCACAAAGCCCGCCGAGCCCCTGAGCCCCGTATTTACCACCGTCGACATAGTTCACGATCACTTCAGGTTATTCAAGCTACAATTAGTTTAGCCTCTATTCTGCTCCTCTGGCTGATTACAGCTGGCCTGGACACACGGGCTTGTCTATGAAAGCAACTTAGAATTCCCACGCTCAGAAATTAAAATCTTTCCCTTCTTCACCTTTCTTTTCCTCTTTACCCTCCACGCTCCACGCTCCACCTCCTTCACTTACCCACACCTTTCCATATAAGCACTTCTTCTTGCGTGTTTACTACAACATAAACTCGGAATCAACGTAACTATCGGATTTTTTTCTTGCGATTGATCATCAAGTAAGAAGATCGAAGATCTCATTCGTCTTCTTGAAAAATACACTGTAAGTATTTTTTCCCTCGCGTTCGTAGTATTTTTCTACATCTTTCGCGACACGCGTCATGCTCATACCCACGTAGCTCTCAACGCAGAAACTTCTTTAAATCCCCCCAAATCTCTCAATTACCTTACACAACCTGACATCACATCAAGTCAAGATGTCGGCCGGCTCCTCCCCGAGAGCCTTGCTCGTGAACATTCCCTTCGAGGACGTGTTCGCTGAGGCTGATTTTCGTCTGGATCGTGATGTTGTCCCCGAGAACGACGCTCGTGTCGAAGATGAGATGATAGGCGACGAGGATGCGGTTGACGAGGATGCGGTTGACGATGAAATGATTGACGACGAGGACATCGTTGACGATGAGATGATTGACGACGAGGACGTCGTTGTCGATGAGATGATTGACGACGAGGACGCTGTCGACTATGATATTATTGCCGAGGACATGCTAGTTGTCAACCTCCAGCTTGCTGTCCAGGACGAGGCAGCCATTGAGGTCAACCCTCTTGTCGATGGCGATGCCGCGGTCGATTACGAGCTTGCCATCGAGCGCGAGATCTTCCGCGATCATGAGGACATCGATTTGATGGGGTTCGTTCTTCAGGGCATGCCTCGATATCCGGCGATGGAAGCAGTGTTCGATCAGCTTATGCGTCTGCGTATTCATCATCCTGTCTATGAGCCTATGCCAATAGAGGACATGGACAACTTTGAGACCACGCTGGTCCACAACGACCCAGATGCCGATTCCTCTCGCACTGTCCCGATCGTGAACTACATGTTGGACAATGTTCGCGTAGCTTCTCCCTACCCGCCTGCGGCGCCTCTCATGCACCACTTCATTGGCCTTGATCTGTCTTCGAGACTCATGCAACGCATGGCGGTCATCGAGCACATCATCCTCAAGGACATGGGCGACGCAACCTTCCACGTTAACATCGTCATGCTGGTTAGCGAGCCCGGTATCCGTCGCCGCGTGTTTCGCCCCACGGTCCTGGTCCACGCCGAGCTTAACTCGAACATGGTCGATGGCGACCTTTGGGGTCCCCACACCGTCTATCGCGGTAGTCGTTGGTTGTACACGACGGACAAGCTCCGTCGCTACCTCCGCAACAGCGGACTTGGCTACGTCGCCGTCGAGTTCCGCGAGAAGGGTTTTCAGGACAATGAAATCACTCCCTTTGAGCAGCCCGGCTCGGTCCTCGACATTCCGGAGTTCGCTGAGTTCAACGAGCACGAGGGCCTTATGTTCATGGTTCTGGACTACCTCACCGACTACGATGCGAACATCACGCCGCACCTCGAGTCGATGCAGGTCAGTTGGGTGTGCTGGCCCCACAACCGCCACCACGGTGACTACCCGGCCTTGGTCTTCGAGTTCGATCTGGACTTCGACCAGTTCTACTGGCCCGCTCTGGCGCAGGCTACGCGCAACATGCTCGACGTCATCGGTGGATCTTGGGAGGATCTTCCCATCCTCTTCCGCTGGGCTGGTACCACTCGCCTCGGCTGGTAAACGGGTTGGGTAGGCATGACATCGTGATGCTTGGTATCTCGCATCCGGTCATCATCCACAGGATAACGCGACTTGAGGAGTACGTGGTTAAACATTGGTAAAGGCTTGGAAGGAAGGATAAGGAATTTTTCGGAGATGCCCTTATTGGCCCCGTTTCATTAGCTATTGTTATTCAACATGATCCATAGGATGTAGTTGGCAGAATTCCACTCACAGATCCCCTTCCCAATAATGACCTCTTGGATGTAAATAGAACCCTTAATGAGTTCTCGTGCTAGACATGTATATGGGCGATCCCACCCAAGACTCTGATTCCTCATCATAGCAGTAGTATCACCGTGACCAAGGTGTAGGTAGGATATTGTTTCCTGTCCATCACCTCAGCTGGCACCCTGTATTCTCCTTCGATGTCAACATCCTCAATGCGCAATTGGGTGATTCTTCGTATCCATATATGATTACTTACCTACCCATTCTATAGTGATGGCAGTAACGAGGGTCGCCATTGGCGTTCGTAAACAATACAGGTGCGTTACATTGATTCTATTCTAGAGATCTAGCATACTAACAATCCCAACAAGCAGTGTCCTTAATCCCACAAAACAAGCAATCCAAGCGCAAATGACAGAAGATGGGTATATTATAAGATCATTCCAACGACCTCGAATACACCCAAGCTATATCCCAACCTACCAAGGCATCGAGCCAATCCGATCTTAAGCAACAATAAGCAAATACACGACGCATCTCTAAACAAATTCTCTAGCATCATAACTTCATAATCCACCTCGCCTCATCTTCCCACATCTCATTCGTAAACCTCATCGCAGGCTTTCCAGTAAACCCATGTGGTCCATCAAAGCCATGCGGCATACCAGGGTACAAATGAAACTCGACACCCACATCCGCCTTCACCAGCCGCGCCGCATAATCCAGATTCTCGTCCTTGAACAAGTCCAAACTACCAACGCCAATCTGCGTCGGCGGCAATCCGCGAAGATCCACAGCCCTCGCAGGGACCGCATAACACGGTGTGTTCTCCTCGTTCCTATCCTCTAACATCACAAGCTATATTAGCACCACCACCTTTTCCCAAAATTTAATATCAAAACACAGCATGATCACTAACCTTTCTTCAACCCCCCAAGATAATACGTCCACCCCATATCATTCGCCGCAACACTCCAAGTCCAATACTTATTCCTCAGATCGCTCTCAGGGTACCACGTCCTATCATCCAACATCGGGTACCTAAGACACTGCCCGGCAAGCGGCGGGTCCAACCCTCTATCCCTCGCCATCAGCGCGACTCCCGCCGCGACGCCGCCACCGGCGCTTTGGCCCATGATAACGATGCGCGCGGGATCGACGCCGAGCTCTTGCGCGTGGCTTTGCAGCCAGAGGATGGTGGCGTAGACGTCGTCGACGCCGGCGTGGTAGGGGTGTTCGGGCGCGATGCGGTAGTCCGGTGCGAAGACTTGCGTGTGGCTGTTATTCGCCACGGCGGCGATGAAGCCCCGCGAGACGCTGACGGTGCCGGATATCATGCCGCCTCCGAAGACGAATATTACGGCTCTTTTCCCCTTACTCCCCGTGCTCTCTTTACTCTCGTGTTCTACTTCCACATCCTCATATTCTTGTCTAACAGAGAGGGGTAGAAACCGAGTTATTTGTAGGAGAAAGCCGTCGGATGTAGTGGTAGAATGGACGGTCTCCTGCATGCCTTCGGGGTATGGCACGGCCTTCGAAGCGGCGTCGATGAGCGCGTTGGACCAGTCGCGGATGGCGAGGATATCGGTGATCTTGTCGCCGGATTGTCCGGCCGACTTCGCCAGGATCTGCGCGTATTCGGGGTCTACAACGATGCCCATTTTGACAACAAATATTTTCTTCCAACTCTAGTTTGCTGCCTAAGAGTAACAGTTCCTAAGCTGCTAATGTGGCAGGGTCGTATTCTTTAAAAGGATACGAGACATATAAATCCCACAAATCCAGAAGTGTGACTCGACCCTTAAATACCTACCCACGTACGTATGTACCGAGGGTCCGATATATGGACCATGGTAAAGGCATAGATCCTGGGCTACGTCAATTATCATGTGGCCACCCGCTAAGCTCCTAAAGGGACGAGGACCGTCAGATCGGAAGGATCGTCGAGGGCGTAAACGTCAGCTTGGTTGGTCCTCGGCCGATTGAAAGAAGAGAAAAAAAAGGAAATGCCTGCCATCACACTCCTCCCCACGCGGCAGGCAGGCAGCTCGCATGGAATGCCGGACGGAGCGACATTCTGGAAGCTGAGGTTATACACTCTGGGTCGACCAATGACCACGCTTATCACGCTAATTAGCCATCACCGCCGTTTTTAGCGTATCTATCCGTCTTCAGATGTGGCTGCAGCCTGGAGGTTGACTCTCATTGGTCCGATACGTCACTATACTCAAAAAATCATTGATCGTGTGGTATATCACTTCAGAGGCGTTATTCTTTCTTTTTTGAGCCGTCAATAGTCTTGTGTAACCCGACATCGATCTCGTGCCGCGATGGTGTGCGGCGTCGAACTCGCATCCTGGCGTTTTCAGCAGAAACCCCGAGAAATCTCTAACAAATCTCTTTATCTAGAATGTTGTTGGTATGTTCGCCAAGGCAGAAAAGACCAAATTTGCGAGCTGACTCCGGGGAAAGGGAAGATGTTGCGAGAGGTAGAAATATCAGCATAGAGAGCACATGTTAAGAAAGGCTATTTTGCAAAAGAAAGCTCTTCAAACCAACAGCTATCGAGTAAGAGTGTGTGAGAGATGAGGGTGGAAATAATGGACTTGCTCCATATCTCCGAATTCCACCATTCGCTTGCCCGTTTTCAGTGGACCGGTAGCTCAACCGCCATATTTTATCGCCAATAGAGAATTGAGGCTTGTCGGATGGGTCTGTGTAACCCATTCACACCGTTAATTCCGCGTCTATTCCAATATATGACAGCTTGGGGTTGGCTCGCCTACTATGCTATACTACTCGTGTAACATTACGTACGAACTATCATACGATGGGCAGGTAGTTAAGGTGCTTACTATATAGCTGCCAAGGAGTCAATAACGTAGAATCGGCAGTAGAACCCGGGATGAGGAGGTACTATACTCGAAGAATCGATTATCGTGGTTGTATAACGAGATATTTTCTGAACTTCAGAGGCAGTCATCGTCCACGACAACCAACCATAAAACATGTACGCAAATTCTTTTCCATAAGCACTATTTCGGCGACATGCCCATGAAGGGCCCGATGTGCGAAATAACATCCTATATTGACTTCATTGCCATGAATGGTTGCCAGTAGTGTTCCATATCCCTTCCGAGCGAACCGGGGCATATCCAGCTAGGTTACACGAGCAGCTTTGACGTTAGCATCATCAGAGATACTAGAAGATTGAGCAGTCTAACGTGTTGCGACCCCAGAATGTCAGCCCCTGGACTGATCTACATGACTCATTGCACCTCGTAGATATAAGGCTCGTCCAGAAATTGCACGTAACGACCAATAAAGCCTAACCGAGAACGACCCGCAAGCTCATAGAGTGCTGTTATCCCATTAGCACGTGCGTGTTCCGGCCAGAGTCTCAATGCTCCCAAAATGTAAAGTATTCCGATCACGGCATAGCTGAGCTGACCATTCTTTCGTTTACACTCTAGCAATGCGTTGTGGTATACCTCCTGGGTGAATTCCCAATCTTGGTCGGGTCCTAGACTAGCACCGCCTCGAACCAACCAGAACAACTTCTGAAGGTCCGCTTCGCTTCTAGGTGACAAGAGTAATGTGTCCGGGATTCGAGTCTCCGAATTTACCTGGTAGAAGGTGTTGGATGCAAATAACCCCAGATAGGAGTCGACGTTTTTACGCCGATCATCTCCTTCCCACACCTCCAAGTCTCGGAATAGACGGTAGTCGACCCAGAACTCGTCGCTGGATGCTATCTCATCAGTCACATTGTGCTCGCCCATGGTCTCGAGAGCATTCGCTATTGGACGAGGGTGACAGAGATGGAATCGCGAAGTAGTAGTAGCGTAGCCGCAAAGAAGTCGCCGCCTCGCACGTCGGACAACGTAAAGATCCCAGCATTTTAGTATGAAAGAAATGTCGGTCCAGGAAAATTCCAAAAGAGCGGACTGATTCGAATTAGTTTATAATTCGGTAAGAGTGATTGAGTCCATATCGAACTTACCTGGAATTCAGGGTTGCCTTGGGAAATCTCAGGTACGCTGGATATCCAACAAACAGCGCCGCGCCGAGGGGACATGATCCCGAAACATGCATCCCATGTAGGCTCGAAAGCGCAGATGAAAGTCTCTTGCCGAGTAGGCAGTCCCGACAACAGGCGTCCAATGCGAGGACTGGCACGTGTAAGGTTGATATTCCCACTGAGCCAGAATATATGCTCTAGTATCTCTAGTGGCATATGTTCAAGGTAAGATGCAGTTTCTTCGGCGGACTTCTGCGGGCGTGGTCTTGACTTATTTTTGACTCTCTTACGTGGTACGACGGCGACAGGCTCGTCCTTCTGGCGGCGTTTGCCAGGGACCTTCAAAGGTGTTAACTTCATCGGTGATGATAGAACCGTGGATTTGTAGTGAGTTTCCGTGCCAATAAAGATCCAGTTGTATGAGAGAGAGATAAATGAAGTCCGGCGATGTATCAGATTCAATACCTAGGGCCTGTGCAGAACTTCAGTTGTCGACGAGTTTATGGATCTAGGTGAAGGCAATCGGCTCATTATTATAAACGCAAGCCACCACATAATACTGAGGAAGATCCTTCGTACCCCACAATGAATTGTCTTTGGTAAGGTTCATGATTGTTATGAGAAGTGTTATTCATTATAGACCAGTGAAAACACAAACATAGGATTCGTAATGAGAGTGTAGGTAGAATTATTATTAGGTGAAAACGAAGCTTCAAATGTACTTGGTACTTGGCTGCTTGGGTACATGAAAATGGAATATCTTCGGCCTATTGAATTACATCATACTTCGGTACTTCGGTACTTATCCAATCAGCCGGGAATCAAGCGGGCAGGCGTGCTGTATTAGTGGGTCCCATACGATCTCAATCGATCCCTCTTATCGCTCATAGATTATTAGTGCAAAGTCCGAAGTTTGAAGCTTTTACAAACTAATTTTCCGTACTAATTTCTATCTCAAATATATTTCAATTATGAGATATTGCGCCTATCACTATTGTATCGAACATGGCGCATCTCGTGTATAATTCCTAAGCAAATAATGGCATCTTACTCAGTTGAGATTTGCTAACAGAAACGAATATTATCCCCCCACTGTCAAAAGACTTTTCAGGATGGCCTCGCTACACCCACTAGTGCCGTCTCCCAGACTCCTCAGATTCCTTCGCATACAATCAGAAAGCCTTAGCTTCTTCAGCTGGAGCCATGATAGCACAACGAGCCTTGGCCAAGCTGCGCGTAGAGTCCTATGCGCAGCTAGAAGAAACCAGAAGAGTTCTGCGCGAGTAGATTGTGCAATGGACTTTTCGCAAAATGCGACATTACAGGCCGGCATGTTAGATCTAGATTCGCTCATACAAACACGCGGGAACCGAGCTTCAAGAAATGTTCGCCAGACAAACCCTCCATACTTTTTGCCAAGTATAGGCGTGCGATATAACTCCTCCACGAATCGGCCTCCGACAAAATGCCAGACAACTTGGCGAGATAAACTCTGGGGCTTTGGGACAAGGAAGAAGGCCAAACCTCTAGAACCAGACGATCTCCCCAATGATGCAGACAGGGGCCCTGATAATAATTCAATGTTTAATACTCGACGGCAGCTCAGTCAGAAAGCTGCCTTGGAGCCGAGACTACGATGTACCGAAGTTGACGAGAATGGAAATGTCATATTAGTAGACGGCGAGTTCAAGAAGAGCGAGCTCATCGCAAGGGTTTGTCCACCCTAGACCCAGACTTTATAAGACCCCTAAGAAAGACAATAGCTGACTCGACATAGTTCGGCTTGCTACCTCGCGATCTACGCAAGATCGATTCCTCCAACTTACCACACATCCTCGTCCGACCAACTGCCATTCTGATCAACTTACTACATTTAAAAGTGCTAATCAAGTACAACCGTGTCTTACTATTCGATGTATATGGCTCCAAAGCATCATATCCCCAGTCGGCGTTCATGTACGATCTACAAGGAAAGCTTCAGCAGAAGACGGTTCCGGGAAATGGCGGTCTGCCGTACGAGTTCCGTGCTCTGGAAGCGGTCCTCCAATCCGCCACCCAAGAGCTTGAAGCAGATTTCGAGGCGGTTCGCGATCCGGTGATCCGTATTTTAAGTGAGCTTGAGGACGACATAGATCGTCACAAGTTGCGAATTCTGCTCGTCTTATCCAAGCGAGTAAGCACGTTCGAACAGAAGGCAAAGCTCGTACGAGACGCTATCGAGGAACTGCTTGAAGCTGATGACGATTTGGCGGATATGTATTTGACCGAGAAAACACGCGATGTTCACCGTGAGCTCGACGACCATACCGAAGTCGAGATGCTGCTAGAGTCATATCATAAACTTTGCGACGAAATCGTCCAAGAAGCGCAGAATCTGGTGTCAAGTATTCGGAACACCGAAGAAATGTAAGCTCTCAAATTTACCCCTAAGACCATTTGATATCAAACTAACAACGATAGTATCCGGGCAATCCTAGACGCGAACCGTAACTCTCTTATGCTCCTAGACCTAAAATTCAGTGTCGGGACGCTCGGTCTAGCTATGGGTACGTTCATCGCCGGTCTCTATGGCATGAACCTCGAGAACTTTATCGAAGAGACACATTGGGGCTTTGCAGCTGTCACTGGCGTCTCTATCGTATTCTCTCTCTGGGTGTGCAAGTACGGCTTGGCCAAACTTAGAAAGGTCCAGCGCGTCAAAATGCAAGGCAGCGACGCAAAAGGCAGCGAGAACGAATATCATTGGTTCCACGACGAAGGAAACGTGGGGCTCCTAGACCCCCGCAACCGGGAAATGTTGAGACGACTCAACATGAAGAAGGCAGAGGCCGAGAAGAAGAAAATATGGTGGTGAGACACTTGATAATGAGCTATATGGGGAATGTTCTATTAGACATGGGTCGAACTTGTGTACGAGGGCTTGTTTATGGCGTTATGGCGGAGTCAGCATTTCTGGGACACAGTAGGCCGGTTCGGGAGTCTGTAATCTGTCTGATAGACTCTAGGACTAAAAAGGTATTCTCATCTCCATAGAATCAAAGGGCATCCTAGACTCATCGTAGACCAATCAGGTGGTCCTAGATATAGTATCTTAGAAATGTTCTCAGGGACGTCACATCTTCCCACACCATGTTTATAAAAAGAAAATACTGAGTGGCCAATTTGTTGATTCGTATATGTATGTACAATAAGAATTATCTACCAGGAAGCGAATGTGTTTTCTATATCCCCATCTCCGTCTACAATCCCCCCGTCTACCCCGTCTACCCCTTTTCACCCCACCCCTGTGTAAATACTACATCCACACTCTCCATCACCACGAACGCGCCGCTTAGACGTAGTTCCAAGTAACCTTAACCCGTCCCTTATCCAAACTCGCCAACTGCTTGAAAACCGCGGGGCTCACATCGATCGACCCGGACAGGCACTCAGGGCACTTGTCAACCACAGTGGCCGTGGCCGACTTCCCGCCGTAGCTGATCTTGATCTTCTTCCCGCACACCTTCGCGTTGTTCGGGTTCGCGTCGTACCCGTACTGCGCGGGTGCCAGCGCCACGATGTGGTCGTTCTGGTTGTTGTATTTCCCGCAGGCACCCAGCCCCGGCGCGTAGTATGTCATGTCCCCGCTGTAGGCGAGGGCTTGGGTTGCGGCGAGAGCTGCGGTGGCGAGGGCGGTGCGGAGGGAGACCATTTTGATTTTTGGGTTGGGGGTTTTGGTTTAGAAATGTAGAAGTTTGGGGGTTGGTGGAGGAGTTGGATTTTGATCTGAGACTGAACTGAGAATGAATTGTTGGTGAGCTGAGAGTAAATTGATCCAAGAGAAGCTCTTGCTATGGGCTTTATATACTAATTCCCACGCCCATCGTGCGCCTCCGTCCTATCTGAGGATTACACGGAATAATTGTCGACATGCCCGTGATGCCGATCCTATTGAGGCTCTGTCTAGACTCTCGACCCCTGACCTGGCTTCCCAAATGGTAGCTTACTGGGCGAGTTAGGTAATTTGATGACGGTCCTGGACGAAAAGGGGAGTTGCATATGGTAAGTATTGACCACTCTATTGATTCCAATCCGCTTATTCCTTACCCCAGGAGAGGCCGAGAGGCCTGAATACCGATACTTCCCTACGGCGAGCCTTTCCCTCACCCCAGACAGTCCTAGGGGGCTTGTCTCTTTCCAGAGCTTAGTCGTTGGCGGCTTACGTTACCTCGATGTTAATAAGTAACATATAATATCTATGAGGCATGGCGGCTAACAGTGAAACGTGAAAAGAGCGCTTAATGGCATTTTATTTAGGGGTTTCTGGGATACCAGTGGCAGGTGGTTCAAGAGTCCTGTAGGACGAGTTAAAGATTACTGGCTAGAGTTGGGAATGTTTAAACTGGAACTAAAGCCTCAATCCTTTGAAACGGTTTCTCTTTGTTATTGGTCAATTCAACGAACTTATATTAAATTCATGGTCACAAGTTAGGGAAAACAGATGTTTGTATATCAGGTGGCGGAGGCTTCGAACTGGTGCTGTTGCCGTTTCATCCTTACACTCGGTATCATTCAGTACATAGGTAGCTTCCTGTTGAGGCGCAAGGAGTGCAGCTGGCAATAAAAAATTGTCAAGGATCGAAATGTCTTCTTAAGATTTGTTAGTAATCTCATAAGTGTGAAATATACGGATTGTAATCCCCGTGTCTATGTCGAGGGTTCCGATTTCTAATTGGCTACCTACGGACCTATTTATTTAGTATCAAATAACCTCCCAGGCATCTCGTGCGTAAGCCTGCAAATCTGGGATACTTATGGTGAAATCTCCTTCCCGTGGACCTGGATCTCGTAGAAAGAGAAGCCGGAACGAAAGCACCAATGCGCTTCTAGCGACATGGTATGAATCGGTAGCTGCATCCCGCGTAATGATAATGCTCTGCCGTAATACAGGTTGAACGGCGTTAGAAGCTGCTTGTCTGCTTGTTGTAGCACCAGGGAGGATCTGTATTTCTTCTTCCCATCTCTCGATAATAATCCGCTGATTAGAGTGATCAAACTTGGCAAGAAGGACAATATTAACCTGATGGTCTGATGCGGAAAACCACCATCTCATGTCATCTCGTAGGGCAGCCAGGGACTCAGAATCCCCAGCTTCGATGGCTAGGGTTGGCCAAGCACCCTTGTGCTTACGTGCTGGCTTTGGGCCACCACATGAATCAGCTTCACCACCATCGCCTCCGGGGTGACCTCTGGGTCGAAGGATAGTACTCCCAATCGATCTCCAGCTCTCTATCCCTCCTGGCCCAAGTTGATAATCATATCTCCGGTAGATCCCGATGTGGAGTGCTTCATGCAAATCATTAGGGATTGTGATAATTAGAATCTCTTTGTCAGCATGGTAACGGCGTAGACGAAATCGTCGGGGTTCTTGGCAATTGATCTCCTCGAAATCGGTAGGAGAAACATCTAATAATTAGTATAGAATGTCCTAGAGAAATAGTTTCATGATAAATACTTTGAACAACTAGAAAATCCCCAGAGACCTCCTCGATTGTCTGGCAGAGCGCTTCGATGTTTGTAAATTGGATGGTCGGCGGCGGCTCCTCATATGAAGCTATGGAAGTAGGGGGACTAGACTGGTCAGGCGACGCCATTGTCTCTACCTGGGTATATTCCTATGCGAGAGAAATCCTGTGCGAGAGAAAAGTTTGTTGAGGATAACTTTGTTTAACGTAATTCACTACCTTACGGTCTACACCACCTTACTTTCCATAGGTACCGTAAGGCAATAATTTACGTTCGGACGCTAAAAGTTAAAGCCTATTACTTGATTAGGGCTTCCATTTCAGTGAAATATTGTCTGCAGTGTAATGGATATCTCCTAACCAGATAATGACACTATTCACGCTTAGAAGATATCCGAATTGGGATATTCGGTCTTTCGATTTGGTCCCAAGTAATCAAACTTCGACCGCCCTGCTTACTTATATGCCGATGCCTTACGAATTTCCTCAGCCCTAGTGAAAAGAAGCCGGTCAAGTACTGATGATGTTGCATTATTGTTCAGCTTGGCAATATATCCACGAGCTGACCTAGTCTTCTCGAATCTTTAGAGGATATAATGCATCACATATGCCGAGGGAATTAGTGATCTGACGCCAACCATCAATATAAATTTGAATCCTTCCGCCTATGCCAACTAGACTATTGCCGAATGTTCTCGGGGTTTTGTATAGGGGTTGAAACTTGGCTTTTAGGATTCAGGATGAGACTGTCAGATTCGTAGCGAGCTCGGAGTAAAGGCGACAATTAAATTAAGAGGATTTTCGAATTACCATATCAGATAACTATATTACAACTTCCTGTTATGTCTCAAAAAATGTCTTGAGAGAAGAGCAAACAGGCACTTAAAATAGAATGAGATGTTTTCACTCGTATTTAGGGACGGATTGATACGGCAGACGACAACGATGGAAGGACTTTTCGAATCATGCAGGGCGACGATGGCAAAATCGAATCGCACGAGTCAGCATCTCGTGCCTTGCGTCTTGGGGTCAGATTAGATTAATCATGTGGTGAGCCGCGGTAAGCAAGACATCAGTGAGACCATAATGTAACGACAGATATAACAGGGGTTGACTCCATCTCCGTGATTCCGTCCATGGCTACCAGATTTGTCTAGGTACCAGGTAGGTAATAGTTGCCAGAAAGACGAATAACAACAGATGTTGCAATGGCACATAAACAGCACAACAACCTCAACTTTCATCGCATCCGCTGAATAAGTCTTATTATTTCGAGTAACACCAGCTATCCAGCCCATGTATCTCTTATGCATCCCATCTTATCTTACCTAGGTATATGCACAATTGAAGTCTAGCAGTTCAACCCTTTTAATTAAACAGCATCATCACCTCTAGGACTCCCAGGTCTTGGCCTTCTCTCGCCCTCATCTTCCGGCTCGTCTTCATAATGTTGCCTTCTTGATGGACTCCATAGTCGTCTTATACTCCCGCTCCCGCCGCCCGGTGGGCTTGCTACCGCCACGTCTGAGTCATTATCCTGTTTTCCACGCCACCACCTAAGCTTCAAAATTCCGCCCAGAGCACCTTGAACACCAGCATTGGATGAACTCTTCCGCCGTATGTTTTTGCGTGCTGTAAATCCCGGAAATCCCGTGGACTTCCTTCGTCGTCTAAACATCTTCCTTGGTGAGGATCCACCGGCTTCGGCAGCGTCCAGTGAGGCTGTCGATTCCCTAGATAGGATTCTTCGCCCTGGCATTAACGGAGTGTCCTCACCAATTGCGCTTTCAGGTAAAGTACTCGATCTATTCCTCATAGATGGTCTCGGTGTTTCTTGGTCTTCTAATTCGTCCCATATCTGCGCGCGTTCGTGCCAGCGACTTGATGGCTTGCGGCCTGGCGTGAGGGGTGTGGCCTCCCCGTTCGGAGCAAATGTGTTGTACGTAGGCGGCACCGCTGGCTCGGCTTCGCCAGCAGATTCGGTATCGGTAGGAGATGAGTCCTCCCCTTCTGTGTCTTCGACAAGTCCTAATCCTGGCGTAAGACTGGATGACCCAACAGCTGGCGGGTGTTGCTCGTCGTTGAGGCGCCAGGACAATGCTAGAACGCCAGATAATAATATAATCGTGCCCAAGGTAATCAGTCCAGCATGTAAGTGCGTGATGAGATCCGTCTGGCGGAAATAGATCAAGCCATCTAGAATGGCGATGATGTTGTAAATGCAAAACACAAGAGGGTATAATACGGATGTGGATACCAGCTTCAATCCGCGGTGAAGATAATACAACTGGCTTAGAGCCAGGGCGACCAACCCAAACACAAGCATCCATGATTCCCAGTGCCCAAATTGATTATCGCCATCAGCAATAGTCCTAATAACCAACTCGACGGCGGACTTCGCGAATAGTAAGGAATGAGCGGATAGAATACCGCTGATGCATCCAAATACGAGGCCGCGGGCTAGCCGGAACCTGGCATTCTGCGATACGCTGCTGAAATGATTGACTAGATCGATGACCAATGCCATCGAGATAACAATTACAGCCTGGAACGACATCCAGAGAATGAACGGCCATCTACCGAGCAGGTCCAGTAGCTCCGGTAGACTGTGTGCCGGAGAGGGTATTGCGCCAAATATAGCTATCAATGCTGCGCCGGTCGTGACAAGTGCGGTCCCGTAAAAGGACCATCGCGTAAAAGGTTCATTTAATATTAATGTAGCGCATATAGAGTTGAATACGAGTCCGGCGGCTTGTAAAGTCGATAGAACGGGTAAAGGTAGAGTCGAAATTTGTATAGTACTGCCGAATATGTTGGATATAACGAACATACCCATGCCTAGCTGCCATCTTCGTCTTCGATATGCCGGTCGCTGGAATTCGAGGGGGTACTTTTCGTCTTCGAGCATATGCGATTTTCGTTGAAGGGTGAGACCGAGGGATTGGACGCTCGTGGATACTAGACCGACTATGATACCAATCTACGATGAGAAATCGCATTAGTATCGGTAGCGAATCTGATGATTAAGAATCTTGAGTATGAGCATTTAAACCTACCGCGATGGTGCCTCCCGGCGAGAGGTCACCAAACACACCCATTGCGACAGATTTTTGTCAGCTCATCCGCGATCGTCGCTAGATGAAGAAGCGCCTCGGTTGCCCATGAGACAGCGAATGCGAAGAATCCTTGCCCTACTACCTATCCACCTCGAGTACCTGACAATTATAGATTCGGTGAAAGAGTGGGGATAAAAATGAATGTATCGAGTATGATTATAGTATGATAGTAACAAAGAAGAAGAATAAGTTGACAAATGTAATCGCAACAGATTGTGACACGGATATAACAAGTCGCGGAATTCGAAGATCGAAAGATCAAGTTCATAAGACGGTGAACTGAACTCGATGACGCCCGTCTTAGAGCAGGGGCAGGGGGGTTGTGGCTTAAAACGAGACAGCGGTGTTCTAAGGCCTGTGTTCCTGACGGTGTGAATCTGTTGAGATTGGCGGGTCGGCTTTCTCTTTTACTCACCAACAACACAACTTGAATTGGGACAAAGAAATGTATTTGAATGAATTTATAATTACGTTGGTTGAATGAGCATGGGCAAATTAGAAATGTTTGAGAAATAAAGATAAGAATACTTCAAGGTTCAGTGTTAGGTACTATGTAGGTATTGTATGAGGTACCTAGTATCAAAGTTAAACGTTAAAAGCGTTAAAGGTTAAAGGCTAAAAAGTGCAAGATGCGAAAAATACAGAACTCTATTTCAGGGGTATGAGGTAATGGTTCAAGGTTTCTAATGGTCTCCCAAGATTTCCCATTAAGCCTGACGGCTGTATTGGGAATTGGGATTTTGGGGTCGGGACAACGAAGCAATTAAGCGAAGATCTATACGACGCTGTCCTGACTTGACCTTGTTAATATACCCAAATTGTTATAGTATTGTTGTAGTAGTAGAAACAACAAAGCAACTAAGCAATCAAGCGTCTCCAATTGATTGAAACGCTGTAGTATCAAGTGCCAGTGCTGTCAGTGGTCATCGATCAGACACCAAGTCATCAAGTCATTCTGCAGGGGGCACCAGACTTCGGCTGTTGAAGTTTACTGCTTGTGGTCATGCCGTGATGTTACTCCAGTGGTGCAGCAAATTCTGCGAGGATCCAAGATTAGGTACCTGTCTCACTAGCCACATAAGCTAGGGATGTTCTAAGATTACAAGGGTCTAACGTCCAAAGACTGTGGCTGGTGTAGCTATATACATTACATAATGTACATCTACGTAACTGGGGTTACCCACATTGGATTGATGTAGCTCCACGACCAGGTTTCTGTAACTGTACATACCTCCATACCTACATAACGCCTGGTTGATAGATGTCACTGGAATCCAACGTCTAACAGGCCGCTGCAGAAGAGCTACCGTGACCCACTACCTTCTATTAACCTACAATCGACATCTATCTGACTTTTGACCACCTTGGAACCAGATCTCATCGGCTGGATTGCTTAGACGTCTTGCTGAGAGACCAATCTCGCTCCTTTCAAGCTTCCAACCACATAATACACACCCCAAACACCTCTCAAGATGTCGCAAGTCCACGCCTTGTCCGACGACCAGGTAAACAGAAACCCTATCCACCCGATAAATACCCCGAAACACCCAACCCGAGAAACAAGACCTTTATGTCTTATAGCAAATAAGCCGTACTAATGGACCACTCTTTCAAAAACAGGTCGGGCAAGAGCTCCGCAAGATGACGGCCTTCATTAAGCAAGAAGCCCTCGAGAAGGCGCGCGAGATCGAGATCAAGGCGAACGAAGAGTTCAGCATCGAGAAGTCGAAGCTGGTGCGCCAGGAAACCGACGCCATCGACGCCGCGCACGCCAAGAAGCTGAAGCAGGCCGCCATGTCGCAGCAGATCACGCGGTCCACCGTCGCCAACAAGACCCGTCTGAAGGTCCTGGCCGCCCGCCAGCAGCTCCTCGACGACATCTTCGAGGCCGCCTCTAAGAGACTCGCCGAGGGAACCAAGGACGCTGCTAAGTACCGCGTCACGCTGAAGAATCTGTTACTGGAGGGCTTGTATGCCTTGACCGAGAGCGAGATCCAGGTCCGTGCTAGGAAGGCCGATTACGCCGTTGTGAACGACGCTATCAAGGATGCGGAGGAGGAGTACAAGAAGACCACAGGCAAGACGACTAAAGTTACCATCGATGAGGAGGATCCGTTGCCGGAGGGCAGGTGAGTACTATCATCCCTCACCCCTCACAACATTTCAACGAAGAGTTCAAAGGTTTGGTTCATGATATACTAACGAGGGATAATCCACACAGCTCCGGCGGTCTCGTAATCGTAGGTTTCCAGGGCAAGATCGATATCAACAACACCTTCGATGAACGACTCCTTCTCCTACAATCCAGCGGTCTGCCCGCCGTGCGAGAGACGCTGTTCGGCAAGAACCCCAACCGGAAGTTCTACGACTAAGGCTGCTCGCATCCCCATCTGAAGATATTCTAACCTCATCCGCGCGCGCACAAACAAATCACAAAACGAACAAACAAACGCTGGACGTCAGCAGGGCGGGAAGAGAGAGTAAGAGAAAGATCGTGTTTAAGCAGTGTGTCATACTATTATCCCCAACCTGTGGGAGTCTCTTGTAAGGGGTAGTTGCATTCGAGCGTAGGATCGACTGACTAGCTAGACCACGCTCTTGGTAGTTACTCGAATTAGAAGGGCTGCTTGCTTGTCTTGTCTGTATATCATAGGCGTTGCAGGACGTCCGACACATCAATAAAACATCAATTTATTCTGCACCGTGTACACTTTGTGTTCCCTCTAATCTACTACACACCCTTATTATCCCCTCATCATCGCCCTCTATGCATCTCTATCTCAGTTACCGCCTCCGTTCCCATTAACCACCGAACCAGCACTTCGATCCGCCTTCTTCTGAGCCCAGCTCTTCATGAAAGCCCTCTGCTTCGGCAGGTCCTTATCCTCCTTAGGTTCGGGGTCGAAGATACTGGTTTTAGGCGGGGGCCGCGTGCGGACGGCGTAGGTCAACCGCTTGGCGACGAGGTCGATGGACGCCTTGGCGACCTTGCGGGACAGCAACGTACTATCGTGGATCTTGTCGTGGATGATCTTGAGCCGGAACGTTAGGCCGTCGATGTCGGCGTCGAACTTACGACTCGCATCTCTGTCTTCTTCTCCGCTCTGCGCGCTGGAGTCGGCGGTGACGCTAGTGGTGGTGGGGAGATACCGCTTCATGATAAACCCGCCGCTGCTGAGGACGATGTCCAGCAGCGTGATGAGCGCGCGTAGGACTTCGAAGTCGGTGGTTTGGCTGATGCGGAAGTCGGGCATTTCAAGTCGGTCTATGAGAGTATCTAGTGTTAGGGCCTCGTCGACTGGTTGGCGGCCGAATGAGGTATCCTGGAAAAACACGACGGCTGCCATGCGTCGTCGTAGGTCGAGGTGTTTGGTAGCAGTTTTTGGCATGTAGTTTATAGGGACTACTTGATTGCTAAGTCCATCTACGGCTTCATAGAGATACGAGGATATTGTCTTGCACTAAATCTTTGTTAGTTTCATCAATATGAAAAGTATAGAAAGGGGTTTAAAACATACGACTTCATCCCATTGACCAGTTCCATGCTTCGGCAGTACATCGACAAGAGCTTCCATCGTCGCAGCATGTTCGATGCGAACTGTAGTGCTCACTAGGGGATCTAGAGCCATGCGTAGCAACAATTTGGTAGCCCCTATTGCATTTTCAGTGCTCAAGCACGGGGACATCCGCTGTAGAAGCTCTAGGAAAGTAATAAGGCCTGTCCAGTCTTTTCGTGGATATGGATCTTCTACTTTTGGAAAGCCTTTAACCTTTTCATGATCCTGCTTTGGAGAGTACTTGGGACCACCGAGCTTCTCTAGCATAGAATGTAATCGTGCCGTAGTGACAAGGCGAGTGATACTCTCCGGGCATAGAGTTATCAGGTTTCCATATTGCACCCGTAGCTGGGCATTCTTCTCAACGCAAACCTCATCTAGGACCCAGAGGAAGAGTTCGTCTGGGAGCTTCCTGCCTTTGGAGATAATAGCATGTGGCAACCCGAATATGATGGCTTGGTTTCGTGTACTTGGATCAGCGAGACAGCGCCAATGCCCTCTTGACCCCTTAGATGGAAAAGGCTTTCTAGGGGGCTTCAATAGGGGCTGCTCTAGATTAAAGAAGTAGCACACCCTGCGAGATCCGTCTATTTTGGTACGGTTCATAGCTCTCATAAGCTTGTCGCCCTTGGTGTCTTCCTCGTCATCGTCGAGAAGCTCCTTAGCTGTTTTCTGTAATAACGACCGGTCTTTCTGCACTTCCTCTAAGACCTGACCAAATTCAACGCCATCATCTTCGCTCTGGTTGATGAGTTCATCGGCCCTCCGAGCACTTTCCTCTACCCGATCAGACTGCCGGATATGGTCTGTCAGGTATTTCAAGTCAAACTTGTGTTTGGGCTGTATTGTTAACGGAGACCTGATATTGGACGTTGAAGCAGAAGCTATTCTCTTGGCCTTTGGTGAGCAAGTTAGATTTGGATCTCTCTGGTAGGGAACAGGGCCATGTTTGCGTTCTATGAAGGCGGTGATTGATTCGAGAGAGTCATCCGAATCGCCGTCCTCATCATCGGATCCTTTGATTTCATCGGTCCGATCTCTAAGCTTCGGTGTGGATTTCGGGGGTGTCCTAGGGGTCCTGGGGGTTGAAATTGACGATTGCGGATCTAGTTGTACCGGCGGAGACGACTTGATAACCGGTAGAGATTGAGAGCTGCTCCGGGCGGAAGGCTTTCCGAAGAACCCCCTGATATCCCGGTTTCGGGACATCGAATATAGAATATACACAATCTACGTAATGAATTTTGTCTTCAAAGATCTGTACTGTGATTCTCTTTGGATTGGCTAGAAAAGAATATTGATCTCTTGCGAAACTCTCAATTCCGAACAAGGTATGTACAAAACTAAACTTTCAATAAGGTTAAGGTAATCCTTGGCGGACGAACGCCCTAGAGGCTAGGAACGCGTCGCACAGATGTGGGGCCGTTTTCAAACCGTGGCAGACCGTGGCGGACCGTGTTAGTCACTTCCCCAAAGCCCCCAAAATTAAGTTAATCCCTTTTGACTTGCAGTAGCGAACGTGTGAACTAACCTAATTGGGTATCTTGGCTAGAAAGTCTTAATGAGCCAAGGATAAAAGGGGAAACCCGTTCGGAATGGTAACTTGCGAACCAGATGTGCCTCTTTCGTCAGTTCCACGGTACATACTGACCAGTTCCAAGATCCGTTACCTTTTTCTTGTCCTTGAACAAACATTGAGTTGAGTTGAGAGGACAGATGAGAAGGTTGGAAAGCAACCACATAATCTTTCACCGCATTTCACAATATTTTCCCAACGTAATTGTCAAAAAAGACACATTTGTCTGAAAGCCTGAACAATTTTCGCTGCCTAAGGCTTATGTGATATGTAAATAGTGCAGGTTGTAGTGCAGGCTATAAGCAATCCTCAAATCCATCCAGATTGACGATCATCGAGGAATATTTCTCGAGTTAAAGATAGGGGTACTTCCCTAGTAGGCAGGAAGATAAATGGAAAGTCAACGGTATTGAACCAACAGCTTCATTTCTCATTTCTGCTCTTAACAGAACTCAAACCTAATGGTGTCATATTACACAGATGTCTAGACCTAATTCTTGATTTGCTCGAGCCGTGAGGCTGAATATGAATATCAATTGTTTTAGGTTGATACCTATATCAGACACATTTATGTACTTCTGTATAGAATACGTCTAGAGAATCATAGAGGTGGTGTATGTAAGAGTGTGGTCTAATTTAAGAAATGGAAGACGGGAACCGGCAATCATCATTGCGCTTATGTACTCCACGAATTCTGCTGTGCATCTCTGTTCAGTTATAAGATGAATGCTAAAATCTGACGAAAGTGACGCAACGTCTATCAAACGCTGGGCTTTGCATCGCCACAATAGCCCACCTATGTAATCGGACGGAATCCAGTCTTGTCTTATTCAGATTGTCGGATAACTTGTCAGATGGAGTATATTCTAAGTATTCTAGGGGTGACGGAACATGTAACGGTGCACCCGAACGGTTTTACATCTCTCGCCTCGAAGGCTTTTTTTATTAGAGATCTGCTTAGTCTTGGCGGATACCCGGATCATACAGTGATCCTCGAACTGTATCCTATCGTAAAGCCTACCTGGCCGCCTGGCAAACCGTATCTCATAGGGCGATTGGGCGATTGGATCCGCTACATTGGGGCCTGCTCGGGGTTAAATATATTGAATTGGGGATTGAGGTCCGACACCGAATATGCAGGTTTTACAGACTTATGCACTATCGTCTTGTCTTTCGTTACGAAGTATGGCGGCCTGGGCGGGCTTCAATTTGTCAGCTGGCTGGGTTCCCTTTGCTACCCTGACTCGAGTTTTGGTAACATCCATCACCTTCACAATCTGTCCCGTCTCTCTAGCATAACGTGCTCGTTGGGAATCAGGCAGTCAGGTAGGCCTTCATGTTTCCTACGTGCTTAATATATTAGCAACAAAATGTTGCAGTAAGCGACGTACGCTGGTTGGTCAGAGTCGCAACTCCTGAAGGATCTCTTACATAGGACACCCCCATCTGTGCCCCCGATACTACTTGCTTGATAAATCGATGATGTGCGTTTGTGACCCAGATTTCTCCCAGGAACGGGGAAGCTGAGCGGAGCGAATAGGTACTATGTAAGGACAGCTTTCGAAATAATTATATTGCGGCGAAGCATCCCAAGGCCGAACCAAAAAGAAAAATTAAAGTAATTGACCACTGAATGAGTGCATCAGCTTAATTGAGCAACTAGGCTAAAGGCGCGAAGGCGCAGCTAATTAATAGCTGGAATATTCTTCACCAACTTTGGCCACACGGAAATAGGACTTCGCCACGGTTGTTGGTGTAACAGATAATCTCCTGGATCTTGTTTGGTATATGAGACCGGGTAGAGGGTAGGTCGCACATGGCTTCTCCCGCGAAGGCGGAGCTCTTGTGTTTTGACATCATGTTGCCGCTAGCAGGCGGTTACGTGGAATCTACGAAGTACGCAGACGGCTTTAACGGTAACCCACACAAACACCTAGAAAATAGTGCGTGTCTAGCGAGTATGTACCTAGTAGCGTCGGACGATGCGGATACTGAACACGATAGCTACCACCTATGTATTAGCTATACCTAGTACCTAGGCATTTTAGTTATTCTCGTAAATCCCCTATTATATATTGGTATGGATGGATCTGACTCGAGAAAAGCCTATGGAATCATTCATAGGCATCTAGAGGTAGGTTCTTTCGTAAACGGAAGACTATTTGACCCCACGCTGCTGCGCTGTAACGGCGCTGAACGAGTTCAAGGGGGTTCTATGGTTTTAAAGGTCAGCTCGGAGGGTTGCCGAGGGGCACTTACCGAATTCAGCCGCAATAATAAAATACAAGTACTCGGCACCAGAACCTAGGAATGGACTGTATGCCACCGGACGCGTGCTCTACGCGGAGAACTCATTAATGAGGTACTAGGTATGGATAGATATAGTAGGGCGATATGTTTGGGTCAAATTCTCGGATCCGATGAGATGTCTGAATAAAGTTGTCAATGTATTAGTTCTGAAGGGCTCTATTTATGAAGTATCATTTTGCCCACAAAGATTGCGTAGTATCGTGAGGATTCATACACCTAGTACATACCTAGTATCCATGGATGTATCCTGCATAACAAAACAATCTCAACCGAGATCAGCAAGTTTAGATGGACAAGTTAGGTCAAGTTGGTCAAGCTGGGCTGGGAACTTCTTAGAGGCATTTTCTTGGTGGTACAAGGGTATGCTAGTAATAGTACTTCCCTAATTGTGATGGTGCCACAGTGCAGTTCCGATTATGAAGCAAAAATAACGGGCTGGAACTCCACAAAAGGAGTGGGGCGGACGGGTCGTGACTAATGTCGAGTACATTTATCAAGTACACTTTGCTACTACGAATTTGAAATACTAAAGGAAGTCTTATATTCATAATAAATGGAATAAATTCGTACCGGAGTATTAAATGATTTTGATTTTATAAGATATATGCGAAGCGACAATGAGAGCATAATCTCTGTAACAAAAGAAGAAGAAAAAAATAGGAAGTTGGTTAAAGATACCTGGGTACATGTGTAGATAACGGATTGTCAAGGTACTTCAGTTGGTATGTACCTTTTTTTACGCTGCACTCAATTGGAAATTCATGGAAGTGCATAAAATTGTGCCAATGTCTTTGGCTGCTTCCCCTATTACCGCCGAGATCATAGTGAGGTTTAGTGTATTTTTGTAGGGAGCTGTAAGCAGGTACATAACTGGCAGTCGCAACCACGCGTGGCTGTCGTGTACTCCCTAGCAACTCGTGATTTACAGTGCTAGTACAGTGCTCGGTGTACCTTATACCCCCGGCCCTTCCGACAGTAACGATCAATCAAAAACTTCCATTGTTCCCTTTCCATTCTGTCCTTAATGTCATCAACAACACGATCGCCGCACCCAGTATCAAGCAAGGGAAGCCAGCAAACGAGCGGTCACCAACCTTCTCCCCGATGCAAACCTGCGCTGACTATCAAGACGTAACGACGATATCAATCGACGTTCCCTTTACTACAATTTTGGCGACTCCGACGCGATTGCATCCAATTGACAAAGGGTTTTTCTCCATTCACTACTAATTAAGTCCTCGACCGTTTTCGACGAACGAATCGTGGCCACGAAGGGCCAGTCTGGCGGACACGTCGGGTTGAACGGGCTCTGCCCGCAACTCCCCAAAAATGGCGAAAGCTGATGACGAGATTGATCCGGTCGACAAGACTAATAGATCAAGATGGGCTACTCGAAAACTCACCGTTAAGAGCGGCGGATTGAAAAGGATATCCCTCATGGACCGAATACATAAGTCGACTGGTTCAACGGAAAAGAAACGTCACTCAGATGGCAGCCAATCTACGGAAGACAATACTCAATACGACAGCGCCACCGCGACCGATCAGAATGAGCAGTCTGATGCTAAGAGCACGACATCATCGTCTACGGATGACGGGGAAGGGAGGCAGGTCTACTTCAATCTACCTTTACCTACCGGGTTGAAAGACGACGAGGGAACTCCTATTCGCACGTATGCCAGAAACAAGATCCGGACCGCTAAGTATACGCCATTGTCTTTCGTCCCTAAGAATTTGTGGTTCCAATTCCACAACATCGCAAACATATTCTTCCTTTTCATGGTCATCCTTGTGGTACGTATAATCCTCCCCAGTCCGATAATCTGTTTTTCATATAGGATTCCTCACACCAAATTCCTCGTCTAGATCTTTCCCATTTTTGGAGGAGTCAATCCTGGACTCAATGCCGTACCTTTGATATTCATCTTGGCCGTGACGGCCGTCAAAGATGCGATTGAAGATTATCGCCGGACGATTCTCGATAATGAACTAAACAATGCACCCGTTCATCGTTTAGTAGGATGGAACAATGTTAACGTTACTGAGGATAATGTCTCATTATGGCGGAGGATCAAGAAGGCTACATCTAGAAACATGGCAGCACTTTGGCACTTGATTCAAGGTATATGGAAGAAGGATGATAAAAAGGATATGCTAGAACCCTCAGGAGACCCGCGTCCCTCCGTCGAAACTAAGGCGACTCGTCGCGAATCTATGCTATCTCCTCGCACCGACAGGACATCCTACGTATCTGCGTATGAAGACATTCAGATGACGCCGGTTACGTCACCTCTCCCGCCTCACTCTCCTGCTCCTCAGCAGAAGGATTTTCTTGAAGTCACCGAGCGCCCAACTTCCGGCCAGTCGTATAATCCGGATGAGCTGGAGACAATTGCTAGAGTAAAGGGAGATCTCATCAATCACGAAGTGACACCTACAGGCAACGCTAGATTTCATAAGGACCACTGGAAAAACTTGCAGGTTGGCGATTTCGTGCGACTTTATAACGACGATGAGCTTCCTGCAGATATCATTGTCCTCGCTACGTCTGATGAGGATGGCGCGTGTTATGTAGAGACGAAGAATCTGGACGGCGAAACGAATTTGAAGGTTCGCCAAGCGCTTCGATGTGGACGAACGCTGAAGCACGCCAAAGATTGTGAGCGCGCTCAATTCTTCATCGAAAGCGAACCTCCACAGCCAAATTTGTACAAGTACAACGGTGCTATTAAATGGGACCAGATGATGTCTCATGGACCTAAGGAAATGTCGGAACCGATTACCATCGACAACATGCTTCTCCGAGGTTGCAACTTGAGAAACACCGACTGGGTTCTTGGCATCGTTATGTTTACCGGTCATGACACGAAGATTATGATGAATGCGGGTATTACGCCAAGCAAACGTGCTCGTATCGCCCGAGAGCTGAACTTCAATGTTGTGTGCAACTTTGGTATTCTTGGTGTATTGTGTCTCCTCTGTGCCATCGTCAATGGAGTCTCATGGGCCAAGAGCGATGCCTCGACTGCTTGGTTCGACTACGGCTCTGTTGGTGGAACACCCGGCATGACCGGATTTATCACTTTCTGGGCCGCGCTTATCAACTTTCAAAATTTCGTCCCAATCTCTCTATATATCTCGCTCGAGATTGTACGAACGCTACAGGCTATTTTTATCTACAGCGATGTTGAGATGTACTACGACAAAATCGACTATCCCTGTGTTCCGAAGTCATGGAACATTTCGGATGATCTTGGACAGATAGAATACATCTTCTCAGACAAGACAGGAACCCTCACGCAAAACGTCATGGAATTCAAGAAGGCTACGATTAATGGTCAGCCGTACGGAGAAGCCTACACCGAAGCGCAAGCTGGCATGCAGAAGCGTTTGGGTATCGACGTGGTCAAGGAGGCTGCTAAAGCTAGGGAGCAAATTGCCGCTGGAAAGATTCATGCACTGGAAGGGCTAAGGAAGATCCACAACAATCCGTACCTACACGACGAGAATGTAACATTCATCGCGCCGGACTTTGTCGACGACCTGCAGGGAGAATCTGGAGAAGAGCAAAAGGAAGCGAACGCGCATTTTATGCTTGCATTAGCGCTTTGTCATACCGTCATTGCTGAACATTCTCCTGGCGACCCTCCGAAGATTGAGTTCAAGGCCCAGTCCCCCGACGAGGCAGCTCTCGTGTCGACTGCTCGTGATATGGGATTTACTGTTCTTGCACAGACAAGCGACGGCATCAAGCTAAATGTTATGGGAGAGGAGAAGCACTACCCGATTCTGAACACGATCGAATTCAACTCGAGCCGAAAACGTATGAGTGCTATCGTCAAGATGCCCGATGGTCGAATCATTCTATTCTGTAAGGGTGCTGACAGTATCATCTATTCACGACTTAAGCGTGGAGAACAGGCGGAGCTTCGCAAAACTACTGCCGAGCATCTCGAGATGTTCGCTAGAGAAGGTCTACGAACTCTATGCATAGCCCAACGTGTATTACCCGAGCAAGAATATCTAGAATGGCGCAAGGAACACGACAAAGCTGCTACTGCTATGCAGGACAGAGAAGAAAAGCTAGAGCTAGTAGCTGACAAGATCGAACAAGAGCTTACTCTCCTAGGCGGCACCGCTATCGAAGACCGACTTCAAGACGGTGTACCGGATACAATCGAACTGCTTGGTCGGGCTGGTATCAAGTTATGGGTGCTGACTGGAGACAAAGTCGAGACTGCTATCAACATCGGATTTTCGTGTAATCTCTTAAACAACGATATGGAACTAATCAACCTCAAATTGGAAGAGGATGAAAGTGGAAAGACGACTGATGAAGTGTTCCTTAGCCAGATTGAAGAGGAACTCGACAAACATCTGAGGACATTCGGTATCACCGGTAGCGATGATGATTTACTCCACGCTAGGAAGAACCACGAACCTCCAGCACCGACCCACGCTCTAGTAATTGATGGGTTCACGCTGAGGTGGGTGCTCCACGACGGCCTCAAGCAGAAGTTCTTGCTTCTTTGCAAGCAATGCGCCTCGGTTCTCTGCTGTCGTGTCAGTCCTGCACAAAAGGCTTCGGTCGTATCTATGGTCAAGAACGGTCTCGATGTCATGACGTTATCCATTGGAGATGGCGCCAACGACGTGGCTATGATTCAAGAAGCGGACGTCGGTGTAGGTATTGCTGGTGTCGAAGGTCGTCAAGCTGTCATGTCTGCCGATTATGCCATTGGCCAGTTTCGATTCCTGCAACGACTTGTTTTGGTCCATGGTCGTTGGTCATACAGAAGAATGGCTGAGGCAATTGCTAATTTCTTCTACAAGAACATGGTCTGGTGTTTGAGCATTCTATGGTTCCAATGCTTCTGCAATTTCGATATCACCTACCTTTACGAGTACACCTATATCATTCTCTTCAATCTTATCTTCACCTCTGTACCTCCGATTGTCATCGGTGTGCTCGACCAAGATGTGTCTGACGCAGTCTCTTTGGCTGTTCCTCAACTTTATAGGCGCGGCATTGAGCGCCTCGAATGGACTCAGCACAAGTTTTGGTAATTATATTTTCTCTTATATACCTTAAATCACATATACTAACTTAGTACAGGATGTACATGATCGATGGTGCCTATCAGAGTGTCATGAGCTTCTTTATCACGTACCTCACCTTTGCGCCTACTTCAGCTGTCACCGCAAACGGATTGGATATCAGTGATCGATACCGGCTGGGCGCCTACGTCGCCCATCAATCTGTCATCACGATCAACCTTTACATTCTCATCAATACCTATCGATGGGATTGGCTTACCTTGTTGATTATTGCCGTTAGTGACCTTTTAATCTTCTTCTGGACCGGTGTCTATACTACGTCGACGTATGCAAGCACGTTCTATGGCGCTGCTCCACAGATTTACGGCGAAGCGTCTTTCTGGGCCTGTTTGATTGCCACCCCAATCATTTCCCTAGCTCCGCGTTACGCTGTCAAGGCTTTGCGCAAGGTGTTCATTCCCCGTGACGTGGACATTATCCGGGAGCAGGTTGCCATGGGCAAGTTCGACCAAACGGAGAAGGAGGATACAAATGAGGTTACGGCGAAGTCAAGTTCATCACACTCGTCGGAGTCCTCCCGACATAAACGGCATAAGCAATTCGCGAGTGTGGACGAAGATCTTAGACCTATCTATCCGCCTTCGGTTGCAACCCAATCCGTTATTGGACATAACGCGCATAGTCAGAACGGTAGCGACGGCACTAATTACACCAGGCATGAACCTTCACTAGACGTACCTGTAATACAACCCGTGGACCCGGCTCCGGAACCCCCGGTACGCCCATCTTACGAGCGTGTCCGTCCATCTTACGACCGAATGCGGGCCTCGATGGATCGGGTTAGGATGAGCTACGAAATGTCTAACGATTTCACTTCCGCTGCTATGTTGAGTAGATTTGAATCGACTCGAACCGGCCCCGATCCCGATCCTTCGCAGCAACCAGTACAGAGTGAGGGTATTGTCAGTCGGATACGAAGGCGGACCCGGGGCAAATCCTTCAAGGCAGCATTCGCCCACCACAAGGATAATAATATTCACGAACATGAATGAAGAACGTCAACCCAACATCCTCCCATGGCGAGCTTTGTAAGATAGTACGGTACTCTAACTTTTGACTTCGTTTACTCAGTTCGATGTGATATCCTAAGCACTTGGTGCTTCAGTACGATCTCAGACGAACTATTTACGACACCGCTGTGATTCCTCTCAGCTGGACCACTAATCCGAATCTTCGGAACGGCCTGTCTACACTTTTTTCCTTTTCCATATGCGATGGAGTTGGCGTTACGGGGTGCATGGAGTGAGGATGGACTTGCTACGACGAGATGACGACGTTGGCCGAAAGGTCCGAAGATTCTACATTTTCCCGCATCCGACTACCCCAAGTCGAGATCGCAACAAAAACAACGCACATGTCACAGTCTAGTCACTCTCAGGGGTTAATCCGATCTAATCAAGGATCCGATCCGCCTCTTATGTCGAGAGTTCTCAATACCACGATGGAGGGTTGGTTGGGGTCTCGTCACTTCACACAAATCTTTTTCCTTTCTTGTGTCTTGTGTTTTTTTGCTTCTTGTCCCTTTTTTCATCCCCTGCCTTTGAATTCAGATTCTTCTCATTAGGCGACCAATGATTTTTCCACAAGGCGTTCTGCAAAAAGAGATTCAGGAAGGGATTGCGAATAGCATACTCGCGCGCGCTAGCATGTAGGAGACAAGAGACTCTCGAGGGGAAGGGTAGGGGGAAGGTATCGGAGGCGGATTCATTGGGGTTTGACGTGCGCTTCCTCGTAGCCGTCGCCTGTGTATATAAGAAAGATCCGGGATAGGGACCAATTCGCGACGTGCGGAGGAGGGCAGTCAGTCAACCAACCAACCAAGCTAGCTAGCTAGGCGCGCGGACGAAAGTGCAAGGGAGAGTGCGGGGTGAGAGTAGATACATATAATCGGCCAGAATTGGTAAACCTTTTGCAAGAAGACGAGGATCTCTCCGTCCTTTTTATTTTATACGTGTGTCTAGTCGATAGTTTAATGTGCGCTTAATGTAATGCGGGTAGCTTCCTAGGTTAGGTATGGTAGGTTTGGCTCGGTATGGATAGGTACAGGTAGACGTGAATCCTAACTAGGCTGGCGGTAATGAAGTAGGACTTGTGCGCGCGGGACGTTGGAGCGAAGTCGAGAATGCGTTGGTTGTTGTTGTTGCTCTTCCCGTAGCGGGGGGGATACGAGATAGGTATTTAGATGCTGTCGGCGAGTTTTGCTGCGTTGCTTGCTATTTAATGAATTTACTGATATTCTTAAGGCTGCTTGTCATGTCACGTAGACTTGGGATGTGTGCTGTGTTGCGGAGGGACAGGTTTTGACCCCTTTTTGATGGGTTGATTTTGTGCTATCTCTTCTAAAGTATGCTAACCTACCTACCTAGTACCTAGTAGGTATAAGAATCTTTGGTTCTTACGCCAGCGGTTTTCTCCTAAAAATACGGCCTTCGAATAAGCGTGGTGGCCGTTGAAGTCGTTGACTGTCGTAGGAAGATAGGGGCAAGAGGCTTGGTAGTAGGTAGGTAGGGTATATGAATTCTACCTATTATCACTTGAACACCTCTCAAGCTCTTTAGGTGCGAATTTCCCCTTTTATATTGTACCTGTCTAGCTTGGCCTTGGTTGCGAGTGTACCCCGGACTCTTGAAAACCTATAAGGAATGGCTTCGATACATTCTTGTTCTCTTTCAGGTTGCTTATGGCCCCCTCTTCGGTTTTATCTAGCTGTGGTATTCGGTAATTGCTTTCAATTATTAGCTAGATAATCAGGAGTAGGCTCCTAGATTCTAGCTTGCCTCTGAGATGGCTTCTCAACGTTGGAGACCATTGACTCCGTTGCTAGTGCTAAGACTATCATTCTTGGTTAGCATAAGTTTATGAATAACGTTGCCCAGCTGAAATGGAATTTTAGCCACATTTACCCACTCTGATATTTCTGGGAATCATCTACCTTCTCTATGAAGTCTGTGAGACTGATGTCTCCGATGTTCAAGTCGAAGGCGATTTGAAGCGAACCCATCCGGCTTGGATGCTACCTCAAAACATATTAACCGGTAGAAAACTTGACGCTTATCATCCTATAATATTCTGACTGGATCCCGTATTGGACCCAGCGTGAAGATAGCCGTCTTGGTCGAAGATTGGTACGAACATCATGCGGTATACTTGTCAAGTGTTGCACAATCCCTTCAGTGACGCGATTCTTATCCTATGTTTTCCCTCACACACACAAGACAGAAACCCCTACAGACACAGCCACCTACGGGATAGACGCAGGTGTAGCCACAGGTAAGGTAGACACGGGTATGAAAAGTACTCGTAAGGTTGCCGCGGCCACGTAGCCAAGTCTCTTCAAACGCGGTATTCCATCGTTGACATTCGCACTGCCAGGCTGATTTTGTTTGCAAATTTCCTATATGGATTGACTGTGGAACAGCTGGAATAGAGGATTGGAATTGAAATCATAGATAAATTGGCCTAGTTGACATCTTGTATTGTTCTCAATAACGATCTGATCAAGTTGGGGTATTATTTGGAAAGCTGACGGTAATATAGATTAATGACAAAGTTAGATGATAGGTAGGTAGGTATGGAGAGGTAAATAAATCCCCACGATAAAAATTTATTCTTGGAGTCATCAAGTAATTATTACCTTACCTCAATGAAAAGTTGAATAGGTAGCATCGTAGTTGCTGCGTTTAACGAGCTTTCCTTGCAAAGATGATATGTAATCTATGGGGCTATTATGTCGCCTCAACTGCCTGGTAAGTACCTAGTAGGCAAGTATCTCAAATTAACAAAGATGACAAGTATTTATAAAGTTGCATTTACATGTGCCTATCAAAGTACAAGATACTTACCTAATTAATTGAAAAAGTCTTTCTTAACTGAATATCCTGAATTTAAGCTCATTATCATCCCTCAAGGTCGTTAAAAACATCACAGACAACTCCTCATCATTTCTCTGGTATTTAGGTATGTATTACTCTGTTTTCGGAAAATATACTCTTATGATTGTTGTGATGTTATTTGACAAAGCTTTTCATGTAAATGAAACATTTACGTTTGATTTTGAGCTATCTGTTGGATTGAAAAATGAAGAAATTATTAGGTACCTAATTGACATAGATACATTGATCATCAAGAAATTGTTTTTTTTTTTTTGGGGGGGGAGAGAAAGAATGCTCGACTAAACGAAAGTTACCTACCACAGCGGCAGTGGGTAGGTAGATGAAATGGTTTCAAATTATAATAACGATACGGTTGGAGGGTAACGTTTCTTTTCAGAGAATGATTTCCTGGGCTACAACGATTTCCTGCGATGCAATGGCTTTAGAATACTGGATTCTGATTGGTTGAAATAATTGAAAAGTGGGTAAAGATACAAAGGTACTTTCGAAAAACCTAAAATTTTAAAAAGGGTAGGGCTCGAACCCAGGCCCTCCTGCAATACGTGTGGTAAACGCGCATTACAACTGAGCTAAGTAGTCTTAGTGGGGTGGCCAGTCCCACTAATGACTAAAAGAGTAAAGTTTGAAACTCTATATAAGGTTTACTCACCTCAGCGAATTAAAAAGCGGCCCTAGCGCCCAAAACAGGAAATCATTCCAGGATAAGAAACCATTTCCCTGAGTACAATCATTGTACAGTAAAACAACCATTTTGAGGAAACACCCTTTGCCGCTACGGTATGTATTGACTGCTCAGCGGACTTCGTTAACCCCTGAACCCCTTAAATCGGTACAATGTTGTTCCGATCTGTACAACGTGACAGTGTTACTAATCCACTCGGAACGGAACGGCGCGGTTACGTCATGAGGGAATTGACTACAGAGTGCGCCTCTTGAAATTTGTGCATTCTCAATCGAAAGTTGGCCCTGCATTTAGATTTCTGCTAGCGTTAACTTGTCAAATACAAGTATGCTGTAGGTAAGTTGAAAATCATTTTTAACATGTGGTTCCAATCATACTAAGCACCTAATTTCATTAGTCGAATGAAGAATGTCGATCTTGACTAGCCTCCATAACCCGTTAGCTTCCTTGCGACGACGTGGCAGGGTTATAGTGACTTGTAAGCCGCGCTGTGATCCTGTAAATTTAAGGACAAGGATCCGAACCAAGTAGTATATTATCTCCTTCACGCAGGTCTTGACAACCCCCTATTGTCAATGAAATTGCAGCCATATCTGGGTAGGCAGGTAACATAACTTCGTTATCATTCTTGACTGATTGGTTTCTACTTCTATCTTTATTAAGATGTATCTTCTTAACGCAAAAACAAAAAAACTTCGTTTTTTCCATGAAGATGAACGAGAGCCTTACGCTATCCTATCCCATACATGGGGTCCAGATGAAATCACTTTTCAAGAACTTCCTGTCATAGTAGCATGTGGGGAGGGGATCGCATCCCATCCAAGTACATCGAAGGCGGGATACCGCAAAATCAAAGGATGCTGTGAGCAAGCTAGGAGAAGCGGAATCGAATGGGTTTGGGTCGATACTTGCTGTATCGATAAAAGCAGCAGCGCCGAATTATCAGAAGCTATAAATTCTATGTATCGGTGGTATAAAGAGGCTCAAGTCTGCTTTGTCTATCTCGAGGATGTATCTCACGACAACACCGATCTAAGCGCCGTCGATTCGCCATTCCGCAAGAGCCGGTGGTTCACTCGGGGTTGGACGCTACAAGAGTTGATTGCTCCTGATACCGTTTGGTTTTTCAGCAATTCATGGTCCTTCCTGGGGGCAAGGTCGGACATTGAGAACCTCTTGGCTGAAATAACGGGTATCTCATTTGGTCTACTCTCAGAATATGGTATCCACTATTTCAGCACTGCGCAGCGCATGTGCTGGGCAGCAAAACGTAAGACATCAAGGAGAGAAGATCTGGCATATTGTCTGCTTGGTATCTTCGATGTTAATATGCCTTTAATATATGGCGAAGGCGACAAGGCTTTTCGAAGATTGCAAGAAGAAATCATCAGACAATCGACAGACGAAACAATATTCGCATGGGGATTCGAGAGCTCTTATGCGTTCTCCCGGATCAATGAAGAGAACGAGACGGTTTCGTTCTTAGCAAAATCGCCTTCCGAATTTATCGGGTGTTCCAGTGTGGTTCCATCTGAATCTCAGATAACAGACGGCTTCGAAATCACCCAAAAAGGAATCCACATTAAACTCGAAATGTCTGAAGACTACTATATAATTTTCAATTGTCGTTCGACTGAAGATGATCGGGGAAATATCGCCATTAAAGTACGTTGCTACGATGTGTGCGGAGAATCCGTTCATCTTGATCGCGGCTCTAGCACTCCTGCTTTAATCGCGTCTAGGCTGCTCGGCCACACGCCGGGGCCGAGGCCATATTACTCAAAAACACCTACAAAGGTTTCCACATTTTATCTGCATATAGCGACAATTCCAAGCACTATTTCTCTGCATGAAAAATACTATCGTCTTTCTACGGCGATTGAAACGGGGGGTATCGTTTACGAAGTCCTTCATGTTGACGAACATCTGAAAGTCATCCGCGATCAGCAGAGGTTGACTATTATTTCAACTAAACCACCGAAACTGGACATATACAGTGTCTTCTTCTCCTGCAAAGCTGATGATACACCATACATTTATATAAAGCTCGTGCTTCGCCCCGAAGAGCGCGATGGTGGACGCTATCGCTTTGAATATCTATTAGCTGAATCTGCCGTTCCACTTGTCTCGCCGACAAAGGGAAGACTGGAACACCTTGACTGGAAGAGCTTTTTAACAATTAACCGCCTCCGCATTACCTTCACCCGTATTCGACGGGGTGTTACGGCGCTGGATGGAAGGGAGACCGGAGGCCTGATTGGATGGGTTAAGGAATTCTATCCGTCACCACCAAAGTATCTATACGATTCCACAGATGGCATTACTACCTTACAATCTTAGCTCTCTCTTCCTAATACTATCCTTGAAGACCAAGAGAAAACCAAACTTCCCTTCTTGACTAGGAATGGACATCAAAGCATTAAATGAGATGGTTTATGGTATAAAGGAGTGTTAGCATTGTCTATAGAGCAAATAGTTAATGCTAACGATGACAGACACTATTTTCCCTTCTGACCATTTTTGACATTTTCATATACATACCTAGATTGTATTATATCGCCTTGAAGTTGAGACAGGTTTCTCTTAAGTTTACACTACAAGTGTGCTATCAGTTATCCTCCGAGCTGCCGGCCTTCTTTTCCTCTAGACCGAATTCTGTTTCCAGATTTGTCCGTAACACGATTTCTTTCTCGAGAAAGCAGAGAAGGAGACCCAACAATGCGAATCCAAGGGAGATCTGCCACGTCAACTGCAGACTGCGCGCGTACACATCGATGACGCGATCCCGCTGCGGTTCCGGGAAACTTCGAACAAATTCGGCATTGGCGTACGAATACGCATTCCCGCCCGAGAGTTGCTTTTCTATCTGCGGGTCGTCAATACGCCAGGACTCAGACGCGAACTTGGCGTTGAAGATGGCAGCCGGGATCGAGACACCCCAAATCGAACCGTACGCACGCATGAAAGCAAAGGCCGCGGTAGCAGATGCCGTGTCGGATTCAGGAAGATCCGCTTGTACGGCTGGGAGGTTGGTGGACATCATAATTCCTAAGCCAAAAGCTGGGATGATTTGAACAATGACCCACTCCGCAGTAGAAGTATGTTGGTCGAAGCGAGAGAATAACCCAAGACCGAGGGTGATAAGCGCGAATGCGATGAAGTGTAATGGTCGATAGCGCCCAGTTTTCGTTAAGATGATGCCTGAAATGGCGCCCATGACAACGGAGAGGAGACAGGTGGGCAGCAGCGCGACACCTGATATCGTGGGCGACATGCCAAGAACGGCTTGGAAATAGATGGGCAGGAAGTAAATTATCCAGAAGAGAGCTATGAAATTGATGAAGGCAATCAATAAAGCTGCCGCGGGTGTACGGCGCTTAAAGACTCGTTCCGGAAGCGTTGGGTAATCTTTGACCCATGACATCCCCTCATAGATGTGGAAAAGCACCAATCCGAATATTCCTAGGAAAAGGGGTACGAGAATTTGGTATGAGGACCATTGATGCCGTGTACCTCCCCAAGATAGAGCGATGAGGACCGACACGACGCTACCGACAAGAATGGCGTTGCCAGCATAGTCGACTTTCTTCAATCTTTCAACTATTGAGGTCTCTCTATCGTAGTTGACTCGGAGAAAAAGAAGATGTAGTATCAAGGCTGTACCGGCGACCGGAAGATTGATATAGAACACCTGTATATAATAGTTTGGTGAGCGACAGTCCTTGAAAGAAAGGGCCCAGGGGATGGAAGTGGGGTACTAACCCATCGCCACATAGTACCATCTACAATTGCGCCACCGACTAGAGGACCAACAGCTGTCCCCAAAGAGAAGACTCCGAATACGATACCCATGTACGCACCGCGTTGACGTAGAGGAATAAGGTCGGATACGATCAATTCGATGAGAAGATTGATACCGCCTCCTCCAATGCCTTGTACTGCACGCCCAGCAATCATCATAGCTGCAGTAGTCGCTCCACCGGCAATACCGCTACCAAGGGCGAAGAGGCTAACAACAAGTATCATCATCCATCGACGACCGAATAAATCGCACATCTGTCCGAGAAGCGGAAGAAAAGCCGTGCTGAAGGAATAGGGATTGTGTCAGTTTGAATAATTCTGAGAAAGACTACAGATAGTTGAGGATAGTGGGCAATTACCTTGTCAGAAAATACGCATTCACAAACCAAACGTATAAGTCGCCGGCGTCAAGTTCGTGTACGATAAACGGCAGAGCTGTGGAGGTCACGGTCGATTCGATGGCTGCTAACATCGTGGTGAAGCAAATAGCAGAGAACACTGCCCAGAACCTCCAGCCCCTTGTGAGAGAAGTTGGTGGGATATCGTCATTGGGGTCCGTAGAATCTTGGTTTCTTGGAGAGTTTGGATCGCCATTGAAGGGTTTTTCGTTCTTAATATCGTCACTCATCTTGGCAGAATCGATAGAAATGGGAAAGTTTTCATAGAAATAATAGGGTATGATAATATTCTCCAATGTGAATCTACCTAGGCTCTACCCGACCTTAATATATGGAAACGCGGGATTGGAGATTAAGGCAGACCTACGAGCAAGTCTTTTCTAGGTATTTCTAAAACTCTAGGCTACTCATTATTAATGCACAGCCAACTATGAGAAAACAGAGGCTTAATTCTACTAGAATTCGTGAATGTGACTAATCAGAGCGTCTCCCCGTTCCCCTGAAATTTCCTATTACGGAAATTCGCCGACTGTGGGGCTGTCGGCGCGCCGATGGTGACCCACTTTTGAACCGGGATGGCTCGAGGAAAGACTTACCTAATGACTTACCTAATGGCTTACATAAGTATACGAGTCTCCCTCTAAACAGCTTGCCTGACCTAATGGTCATTCATAATCAACTAGAATACAGTTATTCTCTATGAATATAATTCAATGAGTAGGTAAAGATGAATTTACGAAGTTTGGTGGTGAAGAACTGGTGAAATAGTCTTGAGATGGACTGTCTTACGTAATTAGGGTTAGGATTGCTCACATAAGCTTCTATATCGTACCTCTCATTGACATGTAGCTCTCATTATAATATTACATGTAATCTTATCTCCAGGAACAATAGCTATTAGTAGGTATTGTTAAAGCCACAGATTCTTCAATTATGTACATCGTGTGAACTTTATTCAACACTTGAGAATAGAAATTGGCTAGTAGCCGATTAGGTGGTTAGGGTTAAAGCTAACCCCAACCCCAACCCTAACCCCGTTCCTAACCCTGATGCTTATGTAATCATCGATAGTTACATGTCGCGATCTAACAGACTTGTACCCTCAAAACTTCCAGATAGAAATTTTGGAAAATTGTTACTTGAGAATTGATTATCAAGAACAAAGCCAGCATTTAGAGTTGGCGGCATCTCCACAAGTTTCATCTAGTTTGGCCTTCTGAGGATATGGGCACGCGATACGGTTTTGGCTTGTACCATTAACTCCCTTTAATTCGAAGGATGTCTGTTCTGGTGCCGTCCCATTCTCAACCCAGTTGCGAAGTTGTTCGAAAAGGCCGGTAGGCAATCCACCGGGGCCATACCCACAGTGTCCAAGACCAGGAACCTCGAAATACCGGTAGAACCCGTCGACATCAGATACACGAGCGTTGACTTCATTGTAGTATTTCTCACTACCCTTGGTGGGGACAATATTATCTTGCTGCGAGCCGTGAGTTCAATATTAGTCAATGTCGTGTATATGAACATCAGTGCCAGCGATGGAAACTTACAATTCCGTGGTACATTACCAACTTCCCACCAGCATCACGAAATTGAGTCAAATCCGCATCGCTAGTGTCGATTATCGATTTAAACCTTTGCTGAGCGGCATAAACCCAATCGCCAAACTGGGCTCGCGTCAAGCTTGTTACGTCGAGATCTGCCCCTTGAGCGCCGAAAAGCTGCAGCCATTGTATCCCATATGCCACTGGGAGTCCGACACAAGTTCCAGAGCTGCAATTCGTCGCTGCTATTCCACCATACCCAGGCGAGTACAACATATTGCCGGTAAGGTCAGCCCCTGGATTAAGACCGAACCATCCAGCCTTTGCGTCTTTGTCTGACAGGGTCCCTTGCCACGTCGCATTCGCTACAGCGGCCGCTATCTTGCTGATTTTAATCGTCCCATTCGTTTGGCTACAGTCGATGGTCGTGTTAACTAATGAAAATGGGTTGAAAACGCCCAAACAAGCATCTGGTTCAGTAATAACACCATCAACAACCCCATCAAGTTTGTCGCATGCTGATATCGCAGCTGATGTAATCGCGTCGAGCTCGCATCCATAAGGATACTCGCCCAATAGGCTCATTACCTGCTGAGACCATTGGAGGAACGGGAAGAACTCGGTCCAGTAGATACCCGGGGCACCAACTGCGATGCCGTCGTATGCAGTAGGATAGCGTTGCGCCAGCATCATACCCTGGCGACCGCCTTGGGAGCAGCCATTCCAGTATGAAAAATCCGGACCTTTTCCGTAGAAATCCTTGATTAAGGATTTTCCGATGATTGCCTAGGTATTCAACTTGTTAGACAAGATTATCGTTGATGAAGAGTTTATCATAACATACCTCATCGTTTAGCGATACGGATGCGAGGTTCTGTAAGTTATATAGGTTGACGTTTCCCGGGCTTATCAAAGCCCACGTCTCTGGCGAATCATTGCTGGGGACACCTGCATCGGTCGTGATGGTCGCGTAGCCATCAGCTATTGCCCCGTACATATTATTGTACGAGAAGGCGAATCTTCCAAGTATCCATCCCCCACCGCCAACCGCTTGCAGGCGCCCGTTCCAGTTGTCAGCGGGTAACCACGTTTCGACGATAATGTTGTCATTTTGGCCCGGGTGCGTGTAAGAGACCGTAACATTGCAAAAGGTGGCATTCTTGAGTTCGACTGCTGGTTGGGTGAACCGGCTTGTTTCGGGGATGGATATGCTAAAGTCGGATACCAGGTTAGTTTCAAGAGAACGGATCTCAGCACCAAAAACAGATGGGCTGTTGAATGTTTCCGGGACACAAAGACTTGACAATGATGAAGCCATGATTAGCTTTGAATTACCTAGATCGAGCTCGAAGTTTGGGAATGCCATGAGGAGCGATGTATACACATGGAAAAACTCTACCTTAAATTAGACTCTTGTAAAATCCTTCACTGTGAGTTTAGATTCTATTCCCGAACAGCATCGGACCAAATTGAAGAATCCCAATCCAAGTCGGGGCGTTTTCCTCCCGCGTTCAATTGGATTCCTTGGTTGAGGCGATTAATTTGGGGAATGTGCCCCTGCATCTGCGCACCGGATAGTCCATCAGCCGCAGATGTCAAGCCAAGATATGCAGGATTAAAGGCACCTTCTTACCTAAAGCTACCTAGTCTAGTCATTTTACCTTACGAATCTTCAAGAGTTGTTGAGTTGTTTTGAGCTAGTTCTTGGGCTGTGGCTCGTCCATCATCCTCATAAGGTGATCCTTTCAACGTACCTAGAAATTACCTAACGAAATTTGGTTAAATCCCTGGGGAAATAGTACAGGGGAGTTCAAGAAAATAGGGGTCCTTGACCAATTGAAGAATCGCACTCATTATGCTGAATGCATCTATCGTTTGATGATTCATATCTAGGTAGGTACGTATTACGAAATTGCAAACATGTCCTATCATTATTACAATCACTTATTATGAATTTTCCCGTCTAATGGACGTTCGCTAAATGATTTCATTTATGCAGATAATAGCTATTTTGGCCCTGGTTTACTGCATATTAGTCATCAAAACTTGCTGCTAACAAAGTAATTACACATAAAAAGTTATGTATTTAATCGTTAACTTTTGGTAATCTTGGGGCGTACGTTCCTTATATTATAGCAGATATAATAAGCACTTAAGTACTTAATGATACCTGTGACAAGATATTGACTTGGAGCCCTGTTAACCCATCCTCAACAGGGGATATTCTCTTAGGAAGTTCACTAACTAAAATTCACTAAACTTTAAGTTAACTAACATTAAACGTTGTATGTTTCAATCTAATACATCTCGTTACGATTGATAAATTGTTTACAGAATGGTATACCTGCAAATATAGATAAGTAAGTACTTGGGTAGGTACTGGTAGGAATCAATATTCATTAATGTATTAAGCGGAATGACAATTATTGCGGGGTTTATGTCAGAACTTAGTAAGCAAATTAAGCTGACTAACATTCTGAGCCGACTCGTCCTCCGCTAAAACTCAGACCTAGCAGTGACCCCCCGCTAGAATTTAGTGGATAGTCGTTATATTCTAAGGGTGTTAGGCAGTAAAGAAGAAAACTTTCTAGTGCAATGATATGAACAGATGTGGGAAACTGACGGCCGCGACATTTCTCATAAGGAATAGAACGAAACATGTGCATTCAATTAAAAACTCAAATTATACAATACCTACCTATTATAAGGCTATCCGTTGCATCTAAGGGACGTGTAATTTGTAGAATGAGCATAGTTGTTTTAGTGGATGAACTTATTAATCCATGCCTGTAAAGTTCTTGACTTAACATCCATCGCTCTCATTTATTGGAATAATGGTATAATTATTATAAGTTATCTAATCATTAATTGAAAGATGGAATCTGTAATTCTTTGGTTTTCATTAAGGATTTATAAATTATCCATCATATTCGGACAGATTCGTTAATTCCATTGGACATATGAAGTTTCAGTCCAAATTTTGGACCTTACTAGTGCGCGACAGGCTAAAATACGAAACCTTATAGTGATCTATGCGCTAAATTCTCGTAGAGAACCGGTATAATTCGAGCCTTCTTAGGGAGCTTAACCACCGAGGAAAAACGCTGGAGCTTTAGGCCATTGGCCCCCGCAGCGCTTTCTATCTTCTAGGAACCCCTGACGTTACCTTTACCCCCCTTATAAATCATTTTCTAGCTTAATGAGAAGTTACTGACGTTAATGAATGACTAGGTAGGTACCTACGGAGAACTCCAGAGAAGCGTGTTCATAGTAAACATATTTGTCACAAGTAAAAGTTGGCGCACCAAAACCAAAAAAATGACTACCGATTTATTACGGGTAAAGGAGCTCGAGCTTATGTAAGCGAGCTTACGTAAAGAGATCCGAGAGCTCTTTTCTTGCAATAATATTAGATCTGCTGTGCATACTAAGTAGGTAGAATGAATTGAATGAGACTTTGAATAGGGTTTCAGGGGCCAGAGCCAAAGCCACCTGTAAGAAACTCGAGGATAGGTACTAGGACGGCTTTCAATAAGAATCTCTAGTAAAGGGATAAGTGTATCATCTAGTTCATGGGAGAGGAATAATTATATGTGGGATTAGGATCATCCACCATCGCCGATGACTTTCCCTGGCTGGGGAAGTCTAAGAAAAGTTCGAGGACTCTCTCTCTCCTTAGCCCAAGACTATTCGGTCGAACACTATTAATTCTAATGCTTAGACGAGAACTACGTATGATTTCTTCCGTATTGGGTAGGTATATTAAACTCCACCTCTTTCAGGTCGAGAATCAACTTTATCTTACTCGGCCGAGGTGTGAGTACTCTACCGTGTCCCTTACAATCCGGGGAGCCAGAGATATTCGACATCCCTATGGCGAGATGTGTGCACCTACCTCTTTTATGCGCATGCCCCCGAAGGTGATCTGGCTAGGAATTGCGAATGCATGTAGTCGATGACGCTATATCGAAACAACACCGCATATTGATCTGTATCTAATTAGGAAGAAAAACCCGATATCAAGTGATGGATAATACGAGAAGTGGTAACAAGTGGAGGCTACCGGGGATGGCCATGCTACCAACCTAGCACTTCCGTGATCCGTGATCCGAGTTCCGATGAGCATCAGTCGAGATCTATCCGAGCCCCTTTCTCAGTTAAATCTTTAAATATAGGGTTACTTCTTGACCTTATCTTTGGCGTACACTACGTGTTAGTTCCCAGGATTTGATATCTGAACCATCTCTCATCTTACAATGCCAGGTCGCACTCGTTTTTCGCCAGACCACGAAGACCATTCGGACCAACATGGCTTCCTCTCAGGTTATTCTATATCAAAGAATGGGTTTCTTCCTGCGCGAGAACCATTAAGGCGTCTGCCAAGTTCATATTATGCTCCGTGGGAAACCCTACTGGACGATCTCCCGTTGTTGATAAAGGAGAGAAGGATACGAAAAGCGGTCGACCGTATGCAAGGTCTTTCGACGAATAAACTCCACACGGAAGAAGAGTGGCGTCGTGCCTATGTCGTCCTGTCGTTCCTATCCCATGCGTATATTTGGGGAGGCGAAAAGGCGTCGGAGGTATGAATCTAAGCATCAGTATCGGCATGCTATTGTTTACTAAAATTTGAAACGATTAGGTGCTCCCCCAAGCGATATCAGCTCCTTTTCTTCAGGTTTCAGACCACCTCAGCCTTCCACCAGTAGCGACGTACGCTGCGCTCAACCTCTGGAACTTCGAGTGCGGTGGATCTGACTTCCAAGATCTTGACAAACTGCAAGCCTTGCACACGTTTAGCGGGACACAGGATGAATCATGGTTCTTCTCGGTATCTGTAGCGATGGAAGCGCAAGGAGCCTATATAATTCCAGTCATGTTGCATGCGCTCGATTCTATTCAAGAACGAGATTACTTGACTATATCGAGAGCTCTGGATGAATTATCGGTCTGTGTCGGGAAGCTTGGTCAACTTCTTGATCGAATGGATGAGAAATGCGATCCTATGATTTTTTATCACCAGATCCGACCGTACCTAGCCGGAAGCAAGAACATGGGCGCGGCGGGCCTTCCGAATGGAGTCTTATATCAGGACGCGAATGGAGCACCCAGCTGGAAACAATTGAGAGGTGGAAGCAATGGGCAAAGCTCGCTTATTCAATTCTTTGACGCTGTTCTTGGTGTTGAACATAGATCATCCGGTGATGACGCACGCACAAAATCGGCCGTGCCTTCAGGGACGAGCAAACCAACCCCAACTTTTCATGCAGAGGTCCGTTCGTATATGCCAGGGCTACATAGCGCATTCCTGGAACATATCTCGTCCATGAAAAGCTTGAAGGACTTCGCAAATGAGCCCGGCGATTCTGATGAACAAAGACAGCTATGGCTATCGTTCCAGGGCGCCACTAAAGCTCTCGGGGACTTTCGAAATAAGCATATGCAACTCGTAGCGCGATACATCATCGTGCCTTCGAGGAAGCAAAATCAATCGACACAGCTCAACCTTGCTGTCGCGTCGTCGCGACCCGGTCGTCAATCGGAAAGCGAACTAACGGGAACAGGAGGGACGGCGCTAATACCATTCCTTAAGCAGACGAGAGATGAGACTTATGTGACGGGAGTTAAAAACCCGACGGAATAGAAAGTCTAGAAATGCTTATGAAGTAGCAGTACATAACCAGATCTTAGAGTTTACCTAACTAGGGATATTATGAATGTAATGAGAAGTCATGATCGTATAACTTGGTTTCAATTAGGTAATTGGTGAAGAGTGAATCGGAAGGAACGTCGGATGTGGGAATGCAGAAAATTGCGGAAGTTCGGATAGCCGCATTGTTCACTAAGTCAGCCACTGACGACAGGGGGCCATTTTAGGGTCCGTTCTTTTCACCTTTAACTTCCGATATCCGCATACCATTGTTCTTCACCTTCACACTACTTTCCGTAATCGTATATTACTTCCTTTTGGTTATATGATTTATATATCGTATCTTATGGACGCTTCTATGTCGAAAATCCAGAAGGGAGTATGTCTTCTCCGATGACCCGTATTAGAATCGCCAATGCTTGCGATACATGCAAACAACGGAAAGGTAGGTAAACATCCGTGTATAGGTAACATTAGTACCGTAATCAATTGGCTGATTTTCTTGTAGTCAAATGCGACGGGAATTTGCCCTGTCGCTACTGCAGTAGTCGGCAGGGTAGTGTGACCTGCCGTTTCTCTCCTGCTGGTCGTCGCCGAGTGAGGAAGTCGCATTTACCGTCCCCTGAGTCTTCCGCTCCGTCATCCGTCAGACCTGATGCATCTTCCGATCTACCTCCTCCACCCGTGATCGGGTCTTCTAGAACACCGTGTGAGAGCGATGTCCCTCGCCATAGCGATGTGTCGGCCGAAGAAGAAGCAGATGTTCCCCGAGAGGCACGTTTACTATGCGATTCCACGGGAAAATTAAGTATGAGAAATATCTTTCCACCCCCCTTTACGAGCATGATGTTCTGATTGAGATGTTCCGTTGAGCTTTTGTCGGGGACTGTGCACCGCTCTCTCTTTATCAGACCGTACGCCAAATTGTGGCGTCCCGAGTAGATCCGAACGCATTTACGCCTCGGACAAGCCGAGTTTCGATGTTAGAGAATGTTTCTTCCGACCCGTCACTTCCTGGAAATAACGAAGAGCCGTATGTGGACACCGCCGATGTCCATCGGCTAGTTTCTATATTCATATCAGTGGTAAATCCATCAAATTGTATTCTATTTAACTATCGTCTAACCCCATTATAGACATCTGGACTAGTTGATTTCTTTGAGAAGACTCAACTAGAGGACAACATTTCGGTATGGGCTTCCCAAAAAGAAGGCCCCAGGGATGCGGTCTCTGCTGTCAATTACCTCGTCTTAGCTATTGGTTCTCAATCACTTGATGAAGGATCCGCTGCTCGATATTTTCAATATGCGAAGACCTTGGCTTTATCATGCCTTGGAGGTGACCTAGGAACTGAGACTGTTCAAGCATTCGCTCTGATTACTTTATATATGCTTCGAGCATGCCAAATTAACGGTGCATTTCTCTTGTTTGGTAAGTCATATGGCGTACCGTGGCCTATTAACATAGCTAACGTCAACAAGGGATTGCTGCGCGGGCAGCGTACTCAATCGGCCTACACCGGACAGAGGTCAATTCTCGGTTCGGCCCCGAATTACATATCCAAAGGTGGGCGAGGTCCGCGCAAAAACACCGATATACTAGTATTAATAACAATTAGGGACCGCCTCTGGAAGAGCTTACGTGTACTCGACTTATTCCTTAGCATATCCATGGGTAGACCTCCATCTATGTCGGATGTAGATTGCACGGTGCCTTGTGGAGACGTGGATGCCGATGGAAAGGAGAAATTTAACCTATTGAATGCGTCAGTCCAAATACTATCGATCACGGAAGATATCGTACTCCAGGTATACTCCAGAAGAAAAATCTCACTTCAACTAACTGAGGGGATTTCGTGTCAACTTCGAGATTGGTCGCGCAAATGGCTATATCAGCTGAAGCGAACCGTTGACAAAGTGCCAAGGGAAGAAAACAGACCAGATGCCATCGGGGCTTGCCAAGTCATGTCATGCTATTATTATGCTGTCATGTTAGTGGCGAGACCATTTCTCATGTATGAGTTATGTAAACGTCTCCCGGAAAATACCGCCTCTATCGACCCGCCAAGTAGTAACAGCGACAATTCAGGAAGAACAAGACTCGCGAATGCATGTGTTGATGCAGCAAGCTTGATGGCCGAATCTGTGTTAGGTCTCGTGGATCGACAACTTTGGGACGGGCGCATGCCATTAATCGTGTAAGTTCAGACTTGATTGTTTCAGTATCTCCACTTCCTGCTAATTCGCTCGAAAGATCGTGGCTATTCGCCTCATCTTTAGTACTTGGAGTTGGCCTCCTCGGAGGGTTTGGTCGCATCCTCGAAAAGTACGCTCGTATGTCTATTGCTGCGCTAGAATATTTCGCGAAAACCGACGCACATGCTATGCAGTATACGCTCATCGCGAAGTCTTTGCTATCTAGCGCATTGGAATACCTTCGAAGCAGAGACATAAACGAACGACTTCGAATCGCGGAAAGTTCGTCTCAGCTATTCGGGCTCATACCAAAGGAGCACCCACGCCAGGATGACGCGTCCACCAATGTCTCTGAACCGACACTCGCCTCGGACCCCCAAGACACCAACTTACTTCATAACTCATTAGCCCATGAATCACTTACTTCCCCCTTCCACGATATTGACCCTCTCTTGCTATCATTAGGGTGTTCGATTGATTCTAACTCCGGAAGTTTTTCAAACAAAGATCAACAAGACCAGGCAGATCAGGTTTTTGGTGCTCTCAATCTATTCCCCCTATTGGATGGGAATGGCCATATAGATCTCGCGCATTACTTCTAAACCGTGCACCCTACCTTCTGGGATGGGTTTCTCTAAGATATGAGAAAACCAGGGTTGTGTCGAATCAGGAGCGACCCCATGAGATATTTTCAGCGAGACTGTACATGATTACTGTACATTTGAATCCCCCTCAGTTTTGACTTTGGGATGAGGATACCATGCATGATTAGAATGCATCCATGGTTCTTAAAGGCTCTTTCTGGTGTTGATCATCGCCTTGAACATCTCTGCTTTCATCTTTATTTATGTTACCGGTCTCCACTAGAAGACATTCGCAAACCCTTTTATGTTCAATTAACACCGAAACCACCATTCATCAAATTAAAACTCTGCGTCTGTACTAAAAGATCTTCCAATTCTAATCCGACTTATATTGAATTTTAGAGAATCGGCATGAATAGGAGATACGATCTAGACCCCGCTAGTCTAGTCTTTCCTTAATTCGATTGCAACCCCTGAAAGAACAGCCAGGCAAGGTAAAGCATCGACCGGATGCTTGATTCCCCACAGATCGTACCAAAATCATCTGCCCAATGGGGTTAACGAGGAAGTAATAATCTCGTGATCCCGATTCCGGGCGAACTGCCAGTTGAATCCTTCGACACTTGGCACAGCGGACTGCGGACCGTCCCGCGTTAAAAAATATTTATAACATTAAGCACCGTAGTGGCAAAGGCTTGGTTTTAAAGTCTCATACCTTGACAAATATCAAACCCGAGGCGGATCAGCATAGGCCTTTTCGAGCAATGGTTTGATTTGAATACTAACAAAGCTCATCGTCGAAGGCGTTATTTGGGATTTACAATATGGAGACATCATAGCGATCTCGAATAGGCAATTCCTTCGGCTTCACGCAAGTCGAACTGCCGAAGTCATATACTCGAAGATTATCATGCTGAGAGTCCCACTTCTTAAGCGTTCAAGAATTGCCTATCCCGCAAGAAATCTGCAAGCTCTCTCAACTGACTGGGGATATCGGGCGTATTCTCTATGCTGGTGAGCGGCGTCGAATGATGTAGGTCTCGGAATGGATCCTTGAGATATGTCAGGGTTACGACTATTAAATGCGGGCAATATCTTATTCTTACCTCTTTCGATGAACCCTTGCCCCCTGTCCTCGCGGCCAGCACTGAGACCTGGCTTACAGCAATGCTACGATAGGGTCAAGGTTAGTCCGTGCGATAATATGAGGAAGTCTCATTTGGACGTTCACAATTCGACACGATTCAATACTCACCTGGGCAAGTATCCTCCAAATTTACAGGGAGATCTTGTTCAATTTCGGCGATGAGTGGGTATCGGCCGGGGAATCCTCCGATGCGCCTCGAACATCAGGGTTACCAATGCTGGCTACACGTACAGGATTTATCCGGTTCAGGCTTGGGGCAATAAATCCGGAACCCGGTCGCCTTCAAGCCCTGTCGGATTCCTGGATTTGTCCATCTATCATACCGTTCCCTCTTTTGCTTACATAGTCCTTCACCTTGTCTCACCTCCCATCTATCTGCATGTAACCACATGCTCGGGATTCCTTCGTACAATCACCACCTAATCTCACTCTAGAAAGAAAGCCGACCTCTACCCCCTTGAAGAGATGTAAAGAAGGTAAGATGAACCCTGGCAAGATCTGCTGGGTCTTACTTACAAACACCGCGATAAATACCACTAGCAACTGCCGACATCCAAACCCTCGATTATCAGACTCTTATACTAGGTACATGTGCATCGTAAGTATGTAACTCGGATAGTTCCTATGGGGCTGTATGCATGCCCAAGAATCCTTGCCCTCTCCAGCATCTCTTGGGTTAGTGAAAGGTATATGTATCTATGAAATAATGTAGAATAGTAAGTAAGCATTGGAGGAAGCGACATCGTTGTTCGTACTTAAATTTTGTCGGCACAATTTTACAGTGTATTGTATCATTATCGTTATGATCGCGGGCTCTTTTCTCCAGTTGCTATCTCAACAATGGCCATTTGTCTTGTTGATAGTGGCCATATTGTACCTTTCCCGAAATTACTTCAATAGAGGGCTGAACAGGTACCCCGGCCCAATACTGGCACATTTTACGGACTGGTTTCGATTCTATAAGGTCTGGTTGCGACATCCCGAACAATGGCACATCAAGCTCCACGAGAAGTACGGTGATGTTGTACGGCTAGGTCCAAATGCCTTATCATTTGGAAACCCTAATGCCATCAAGGCCATCTATGGTCTCGGTAAGGGGTTCACTAAGGTAAGTGTGCTACTCTCCAGTACCTAAAGAAACAACAGAAGCGGCCGAACGAAAGATGCTGACGGGCGAAATTGCTAGTCGGATTTCTATCCTGTCCAGATGGCTACTGCAAGGGGCCAACCATTGCCGACATTGTTCAGTACTCAATCTGAATACTTCCACTCGCAGCTAAAGCGAAGTGTGAATAGTGCGTTCTCCATGTCCGCCCAGATGCAATACGAACCGCTCTTCGACTCGACGAACGAGGTATTCCTAGACCAGACCGACGAGCGATTTGCATCTACAGGCGAAGTATGCAACTTCTATCGCTGGCTGCAATTTTATACATTCGACGTCATTGGGGACATGGTGTATTCCAAAAGACATGGTTTTCTCGAGTCAAACACCGACGTCGATAACATCGTTCGCGATAATGCGAGACTCTTTGACTATGCCGCGCTGGTAAGATACGCCTCATTAGCGTGTTGGAGCCTTAGAAGATGAAGGGATACACTGCTAACGAAACTACAGATTGGGCAAATTCCCATCTTAGATAAGTTATGGAAAAAGAACCCTATCAGACTATGGGCCGCCAAGCACGGCATCGGGGAAGCCACATTCGGAGTTGCCCGTTTCGCCAAGGCCCGGTTGGCGGAACGCCATCCCTCGAACCAGACCTTTTCGAAGGAGAATTTTGCCTGGGAACAGACGAAGGACACTCCGCCTGACCTGCTTTCCCACTTTATTCAAGCAAAATTCGAACGCCCAAATTTCTTCAATGACCAACTTGTGACGACTATGTGTGTCTCGATGGCGTTCGCAGGTTCCGAGCCCGCGGCTGTCTCTATCAGTGGTGTCTTCGCCTCCCTCCTTAGACACCCGAAGTGTATGGAGAAGCTCATGGAAGAGCTAGACGAGAAGGCTAGGGTAGGTCACTTCCAAGATAACAGAAGAGGCATCGTCACTTGGGCCGAGAGCCAAGACCTACCCTACCTCGACGCCTGCATCAACGAGGCCTTCCGCATCCACCCCGCCCCCGGCCTACCATTCGAGCGTGTCGTCCCGCCCGAGGGTGTCGAGATCAGCGGCAGGTTAGTCAAAGGCGGTACTATCGTCGGGTGTAATGCGTGGGTCATCCACCGACGCAAGGACGTCTTCGGCGATGACGTGGAAACCTACAGGCCGGAGCGATGGCTTGTGGATGAGACCAAGGACCGCGATCAGGAGCTCGCTCGCATTCGGAGGATGAAGAATACGCAGATGCAGTTTGGCATGGGTCCACGCGTCTGTCTTGGGAAACATATTGGCTTGATGGAGATGTACAAACTTATTCCTAGTGTGCTTAGGAGGTTTGAGGTTAGTCTAGAGTTTTGTTTATCTATTGTCCACTATCTATCCCTTCCGACCGTTGAAATTCTTAGTGCTGACTTTTTTTAGCTTCAATTGGAGGATTCTTCCAAGACGCCGAGGTTCTGGAATGGTTGGTTCGTCAGGCCGGTGGACTTCCGGGTGAAGCTTCAAAAGCGAGAGCTTGTCCAGCCGTTGCTGGTGTAGATTGATGCTCATGCGGGTTATCAGGGTGGATTATTGGGCTTTGGATCGGGGCGTTTGCTCTGGAGTCTCTCATTAATACTAGGTATGCATGGTGGATAAGGGGTAATACATGAGGATAGGCAATATAGATTTAGTTTAAGACTTCAATCACATTCACACTTTGAACTACCTACCTAATTTTTGGGTACGATGCCAAACCTCTACGGTTCCTTCTAGTCTCACATACACTGCTACCTGGTTTTGTTTTTTGTGGCAGTAGAATTCTCGAACGGTCAACTTGACGTTAGAAGGAAAAACGAGGATTTCAAATCGCTTATGCATTAATAATAAATATGAATTAATCATAAATTATTCCAGGTTACACAGGCTGTATAGCTTCACCTCAATGTTACGTATTTCCATGCACTCATTGACGTCATAGGAGCACTTTGTAACACCCTCCCCCAATTACCTTTACACAGCAATAACTTTCTTTCAACCTCACTTAATATCATGAAACTCCAAGTCACTTACCTAATTGCATATTGTACTTAATCTTTACAATTATCTACCTAATACCAACGCCCCTTCAACATGCCGATCGATTACCAAGGCACGAAAATCCCAACGTGCTATGCAACATGCAGCATCGGGTACAAAGACTCACACACCCTACCCCTCAAACTCAAGGCCATAGCAGACGCCGGCTTCGACGCCATAGAGCTGTCGATGCCGGACATACTATCCTACGGAGAAATGCTCCACGGCAAAAAACCAGACCCCAAGGACTACGACGCCTTAGTAGAGATCGGCAAGCAAATACGACTCCAAGCCGCAGAGCATAACCTCAAGATCCTCATGCTCCAGCCCTTTTCCAATTTCGAGGGCTGGCCTAAAGGGAGTAGCGAGAGAAAAGACGCGTTCGACCGCGCGCAGGGCTGGATCCGTGTCATGCAGGCCGTCGGCACCGATATGCTGCAAGTCGGGTCGTCGGACGCTCCCGGGATCTCGGATTCATTCGAGGTCTTAGCGGGCGATTTGGCGGAACTGGCTGATCTGTGCGCGGAGAAGGGAATGCGCATCGCGTATGAGAATTGGTGCTGGGCTACGCGGGCGCCAGGATGGAGGGACGTGTGGCGGATCGTGGAGATGGTCGGGCGGGATAATGTCGGGCTGTGTCTTGATACTTTCCAGAGCTGTGGTGGAGAGTGGGCGGATCCGACGACGCGGTCGGGGCTTGTTGAGGATGTTGGACTGCGGGAGTTGGAGAGGAGGTGGGGTGAGAGCTTGGGGGAGTTGAGGAGGACGGTTCCGCCGGAGAAGATATTTCTCCTGCAGATTTCGGATGCGTATAAGATGGTTCCTCCTATCGATGCTACGGTTGGTGAGGAGGGCCTGCGGCCGAGAGGGCGGTGGAGCCATGATTACCGACCGCTGCCTTGTGATGGGGGGTACCTCCCTGTGAATGACTTCCTGCAGGCTGTTCTTGGGACGGGGTTCAGGGGATGGTTGTCGATTGAGGTTTTTGATAGTAAGGCACCTGGGAAATATTCCGACATGGTTGATTTTACCAAGACGGCTATGCTATCATTGGAGAAGCTGCTGGCAGAATAGAATTGGACTTGGGACATATTTCTCGTTGTGATGGACGGGATAGATATTCGTACCAACGACAATCCCTTGAGGAATTATGTGTGTACCAACGATGAAAGGTTGGTCGCCGCTACCAGGACGGAGTTATCTCCAAAGAATCTCTGATGCGGAGGGGGACATTCGCAAAGCTTCCTCAACTATCGCCTATAGTTTGTCCTTCGCCGAGAAGTAGCCCGAGACCTGTGTCGCGAGGATATCCCGGGTTGGGCAGCGCAATTATCGCAACGGAAGCAGGGATTCGTTCCGTTAAATCTGTCGTAGATAGTTGGCTGAGAAGGTTGGAGGTGGGATAGTGGTCGACTACGGTGAATGTTTCTCGCTTGTCTATTTAGATTAACATCTTGCGAAACAGCTGACTACCCGCGGACCTCGCTCCTCGATGTTGGTGAATGTTGGAGCGACAAAGTATAAGCAGCTAATATCGTAAGAAAAATATGATAGGTCAAAGATTCTTAGTGATAGATGTCTCGGAGTTTGCGCTGATGGTGAAAGCGGTATTACCTCTGGGCTGCCTACCTAGGTACAGAAGGCTTACCTCTGAACAAAGTACCTAGTGGCAGGCTAGCTGGCTAGGTGCCTCCTACATAATAGGAAAAACTGCGACGCCTCAAGCTATCTTGGAGGGTGGCTCTTTGTATGTTACACAAACGTGAATGTGAGAGAGCAAAAAAGCATGGTGATGGGGACTGATACATTTCTTGAAAGTTGAGGTACATAGGTGACTGGCTCAATTCTCAAAAAGTCCAGATCAAGTGCTTCTTTATACTACAGATAAAAAATATTGGATTCTCTTGATTTATCGACTAATCGAACTTGTTGTTGTAAGTTATTCTACTGTACTTGCTCTGAATGGCTTCAAAAAGATAGAATTGTATCTTCGAACGGACCATCTTAAGAACAACCAATATCTCAATTTAATTGGTTAAACAACTTAGCGCCAACACCTCATGACCCGCTATTCCTATCCATATATCCAATCAACAGCGACGGAGATATCGGTCTCCTCGGAGATCTCGGTATTGACACTGTTGGAGATTATTAATAAGAGATTTGGCGGGGTAGCGGGGGTTTCTTTCGACATTATCGCGTTTCTATCATCCATCTACTTTTACTTCATAATTTTATTGCCACAGCCTCATAATAACATGTTGGACTTCACTTTGGTATCCTAATGGTATATCTTCGTTCCTTATTTATTTATGTACCCAATAAGTAGGTACTATTATCCGCCTACACTCACTTGGGGGCCTCCGGAACGCCTCTCTACAGCCACTCTCAGGCAAAAGTTTGTGTAACTATTGCGTAACTAGAGAAGGTTATAGATATCTAGGTAGGTACCTAGGTAAGTATGGAGTCTCAAAAGCCACCGGACTTACAATTTTCATATACTACACTAGAATTTACTAGGTAGTTTGGCGACAATACGAGAATCTCATGTTGAAACTCCGAAAAGAATCGTCAAGGAGCGCACCTATGCCTAAGTTAGTCCTTTGAACTTTCGACAACTTAGCCTTGGACGCCGTCTCGAATATGGACACCTCTGGTTCTAATGTCCTTAGTGATGACCTCTGCGAGCGATGTCGCAATATATGCTTTCGGTCACTATTTCATGGGTCAGGGGAACACGACGACTATTTTACCAAGGAAACCAAGCTTGGTACTCTACAAGAAATATGGTCCGAGACATCCTGTCTCTTTTGCCAACTCGTGAAATATACGCTAGAGAACCATTTCAAGAAAAATTCTGTCGAAGTGGTGTTGCTTAAAGAAGCTGCTACCGCCATTTTTATGTACTGGGGACCTTTGGACGAAGCCCATGATGACCTTAAGATATCGACTCGTGATATCCCCTACTACATTGATTTCGGCGTCTATAGCCTTGAGAGATCGACTAAAACTGATGGTTCAACGATCTATAGTAACCCACAAGTGATTGCACTGAGGGATAGCGATCGGATGGAATCGAATCCGTCTATACACTTTGGAAGAACTGTCAACTCTGGCAAGGTTGATTGGTCTATGATTAACGATTGGCTAGTATCGTGTTCATCTACGCATATTGTTAACAGACCAGCCAACTCGAACCATAACTCTCCACACCAGGAAGATCAATCGAAGTTACGTGTCATCGACGTGTCTAAAGCTTGTATCGTTACACTTCCTCCTAAGGCACGATACATCGCTCTAAGCTACGTATGGGGTAAAGATCAAGCACTGAAGTTGAAGAAGAATAACGAGACATCATTATCTACAGCCGGATGTTTTGATAGAAAGGAATTTCACCCATCGCGAACAATCATAGACGCAATACAGGTCGTTCGGCACTTGGGGTATCTCTACCTCTGGGTTGACGCTCTGTGTATAGTACAGGATGATTCTGAAAACAAACAGGCTAATATAGAGCGGATGGGCCAAATTTATAACGAAGCTCTTCTAACTATTGTCGCAGCAGCGGGAACCCATGCAGATCATGGATTACCTGGCGTATCTCCCGAATGTCAACGATCTCCGAGACAGAAGACGGTTACCATTCAAGGAATTACTATGGCTAATCGATTCTATTCTAATATAAACTCTACCTATTGGAATAAAAGGGGCTGGACTTACCAGGAACGCATTTTGTCCCCGAGAATCTTGGCCTTCACCCCGTCTCATATCACTTATAACTGCGATGAAGGATGCGATCATGACGAACAATTCTACGCGGCCTACGACGGTGCACGCTTCACACCATTCTACAATGCTTCCAAATTGGACTTTGAGAGCAATAACATCTTCGACGTCTATGCTTTCGCCGTGAGTGAATATACCAAACGATCTATCAACGATCCGATGGACAAAATCAAAGCCTTCAAAGGAGCACTAGAATTACTGCAGAAGCCATTCAAGGGCCCTTTTTTCTTTGGTCTCCCCGTATCCATGTTTGACGTCGGGCTGCTTTGGATACCAGTAGGCCCATGCAGTCGTGGGAATACGAGTTTCCCAAGTTGGTCCTGGGCGGGTTGGGAGGGAGCCGTGGCGTACGACTACATCGAGGCGGACACTCTTACCAATCTCTGCGAATGTACCGTTAGTCAATGCAGCATCAAGACTAGCGACACTGACATTGATCTATGTTACTCGTCTATGCCTAGAACCCACGATGACACATTGATAAAAGACCAGAATTGGACACGACATTTTGATCTCGAGACGTGCGAAATCTACTATCGGGCTTCGGAAGAGGAACTTCAGTCATATCGATATCCACGTCCGCTTTCTGCCATAGGACGAGAGGCTAGCCATCATTTATCAAAGGACCTCGGCCAGATCTTGCAAATTCGAGGGCGGGTTGCTAAATTTCATCTTACTAGACAGCATTCCGGGGCTTCCAGTATCGCTTCAAGTTGTCGTTCGGGACATAATGGCCAGTGCAACTTAGCTATACTAGATAGTAAGAATCGGACCGTAGGGAGGGTTCTCATCGATGCACGCACTCTACCCGAACTTCAGAATCGAGAACATAGGTTCTTGGCACTCTCTCGGTCAACCCTTTATAGCAACGATGAAGACATTAGCTGGGAGGAGGATTCAAAGACCTTTCGGTCCTGGGTAGGCGCACCGGCGTCCGACGAAGATGGACTCCACAAAGTAGAGTATGAGGAATATCACCGCCCATTTGCGCGACGGATTGCGGACTCCTCATCGGAAATAGGCGATGGCGATTCAGTGCTTCCAGAGCCAGCCGCAAAGATGGATAGGGCAAGCATCTTTCGGAAGGATTATAATGGACCACAGGAGAACAGGGGCCCCTTCGATGCAAGATACTTTAGTAACAAAGTCTTCTGGCCTCTATTCAATGTCCTCTTATTATCGGAAGAAAAGAATGGTGTGGTTGAAAGATGCGGCATTGGCCAGATACATGTCGATGCATTTCGTGCGAATGATAAAGAAGAAAAGGTCCTCTTAGGATGATAAAATAGCTGACATTGGGATTTTTTGGCGAATTATAGAGGGGTTGGTTCCAGGTCATGTGTACCTAGACACTGGACACAAGCTACCACTGCGGCTCGTACACGGTGCTGGTTGAAAAACATGATCTTATATCCCGACAGCAGCTATAGCTGTCGTCGCGGTGGATAAATAGGCATTGACCAATAACGAGACACGATCATACTAACATAACATTCGACATTCAAGGTAATGAGTGAAACTGAGAATATTATTAAAAAATACGTTATTCAGCGACAGCAAGCCCACATGGCTTAGTAATGGCTGATAAGCTATTTTCCACCTATCTAGTACTTGAGCACGTACCTATCGGTGAGCAGGGATCGGAAATTGAACCTGCAAGACATCCATATCACATCATTGGGGAGGATTCGCATAGTACGGCGTAGATATCTGCTACGAGGTACTACATAATACTGATACCCACCATACAGGCTACTAAACAAACAGAGAGATAAGTTTACGAGTTTTTCATCTTCAACTACTGCACGTAACCGGTAAAATGTGCGCTTATAAGCGACCGAAAGGATCCGGCTTCCGGGAAATCCTTCGTTGCCGAAAGCTCGTTTGTGACGGTGTGTGAGTATTACAGATAAACAAAACCTGGACAGGCTTAAAAGGTGACGCTAAGGAATCCCGGAAAGACGTGCTAACTAGGATCGCGAGATAGAGACTCTGGCAGGGGGGTAGGGAGGGGATTGTCGAATCACAGACGAGGAGACCGTTCTAGGTCAGGAACAGCAGCAGCAGAACTGCACAAACATCTGGGCTGCTGGGCTGACAAGACACGCAAGATATAGAGCTATTGGTTGATACGTCAGATTTAAATTAAAATCGTTCATGCTCACAGCTCTCTCGTACGTCTGAGCCATACACGATTGCATTACCCCAAGCAGCCCAAGCTCAATATTATATAGTATAATATATCTGCCGTAGATCTCTTCATGCCGTGTCACCAATCCCTGACGCCCCGGTCGTCCTCCAGCCTCTCCACATCAGTCACATCAAGATCTCTCTCCCCAATCGGTTAAAGTGAGCGTCGTCTCACCTACCTAAACGGGAAACTCACTGGAAATTGGAGATTCGTGCGCATGCGCGGGGGGAACCTATCGCGTATAAGATGGACCTTGTCTGCGCGCCGACCAGCCGTGTCATAGTTTGCTTTTCTCACCTTACGACACTGTGCCTGTTCAAGTGGGTGAGGTAGTAGGTAGTAGCCGTAGCAATCGACAGTCATGAAGTCCTCTACCGTCAGCGCGTTGGCGCTCGCTTCATCAGCAAGTGGTTCTAAGTTGGATATCAGACAGACGAACACAACGACAACAGCGACGACTACAACTACGACTCCCACTGCGACTGAGCCGTGTGCGATTGTTAGCTCTACTTGGTCGGCCCAGATCGGCGCCACAGCTACGCCAACCGTTGAGGCGTCGATAGCTTACGAATGTCTCAACTCGGTCCCGATTGATAAGGATGGGGCCCTCAAGTTCATAGACGAGCTGAAGCCTTACGTCGAATGGCAATCCGATACTATCTTCAAGAAGAACCCTCCAGCTGACTACGGCTATCCCCCTACCGACATTTGGGCTTCCATTGACGAGGTGAGGGAGAACCTCGTTGCCGACGAGTACGCTAACGAATACGCGTGGCAAGCGGATCTATACGTCAAGCTATTCGGGCCGGCGCACGATGGCCATTTCGTAGTGTACCCGGATGCATTATCCGCTGCCGTCGAGTGGCAGAGACCTTTCGCCCTAGTCTCGATTAGCGAGGAGGGTCCCGACGGCTCCGCACCGGTAATCAAGGTATACGACGACATACTCAACGGCGTAGAATCGCCTTCCACGGTGACGCTCATCAACGGCGTCGATGCTGCTACCTACATCGAGAATTGGATTGGCCAGGCCGGTGGTAACCAGGATGTCGATGCTGCCTATAACTCTATGTTCTTTGAGAAGGCGTTCGTGGCTGAGAATAAGAACCAAGGGTATTTCCAGACAGGGGGTCGCGTAAGGTACGATTTTAGAAAAAAAGAAAAAAGAAACGATATATTTGGAATATCAGAGAAAGGCTGACAATGGTCTAGATACATCTACCCTGGCAACGTTACCTCGTTCACGTTCGAGAATGGAACAGTGCTAGACCTACCCAACCAAGCGAGGTTGAAGGGCAACTGGCGTACAGTCGTCGATGGAACCTCGTTCTTCAACAAGTTCTGCTCCGGCGCGACGACCAACAGTGCATCAACCGAGTCTACGACAACCGATGAAACTACAGACACGACAGCTGCCGAGGCCGTAGGTGTCCCTGTCACGGGATACCCCAGCCCAGTCATCGTTTCAAGCGACTCCTCGATCTCGGGTTACTATCTCAACCAAACCGGATTCGAAGATGTAGCCGTCCTCGTAATGCTTTCCTTCTCACCCAGCGACCCCGTCGAGTTCCAACAAGTCGCCCAAGACTTCTACGCAGCCGCCATACAAGCCGGAAAGACCAAGCTCGTCGTCGACGTCCAAGCCAACGGCGGCGGCTACATCTTCCTCGGGTACGACGGGTTCCGCCAGCTCTTCCCAGACATCGTACAAGAAGGTCTGGGGCGGTGGCGCCAACACGCCGGTTTCGCAGCGGTGTCGAAGGTATTCTCCGAGATATCAGCGGGATTCGACCCGAACACGGCGTCGGCGGATGTGATCGAGGCGTACGAGTCCGTGTTCAACTGGCAGTACGACCTGAACGAGACGAACGAGAACTTCTCGTCATACGAGGACAAGTTCGGGCCGCACACGTGGGGCGGCGACACGTACACGAACCTGATGCAGTGGAACTTCAGCGACCCGCTCAGCACGAGCAACAGCAGCTTCGGCTTCGGCACCGACATCACGGGCTACCGCAGCCGGTCGAACTTCACCCGTCCCTTTGGCGGCCCCGAGAACATCGTCCTCCTCCTCGACGGCTACTGCGCCTCTACCTGCACCCTGTTCTCCGAGTTCCTGCGCTCGAACGCCGGCGTCAAGAGCATCGCCATGGGCGGCCGTCCGTCGAAGGAAGGCCTGATCCAAGGCGTCGGCGGCGTCAAGGGGTCGCAGAGCTACGGGTTCGCGGACGTGCACGCACAAGCGCAGCAAGCTCTCAGCTTCACGAACGACAGCGCCGTAACCGCCACTCTGAACACGTACACGGAGTACGTGCGCGACCGCAGCACAGCCGCGAGTCTTAACGTGAAAGACCAGATCCTCGCAGGCAACATCGAAGACGGCACGCCGGCGCAGTTCGTAGTCGAGGAGTCCGACTGTCGACTGTGGTGGACCGCGCCCATGGTCACAGACGTGTCGGAGCTGTGGAAGGCGGCCGCGGCGGCGGCCTTCAAGGGCGCTAGCTGCGCTTACGGCGCCATCGACTACCCGGCTAGCAATGCAACCACGGCTCGACGAGCCGCGCCCGGCGCGCGTTCCTTCGGCAAGCCGAGGATCTCGCTTCCGAAGATTGGAACGACGGCTCCGCCGCTGCGGAAGCGGGACGCCTTGCAGAAAAGCGCTGTCTTTATGGCCAATCAGTTCATGAAGGTCGTGGACTGAGAACCCTTTTTGCTTTTTTTTTCTGGCCCACGGGACGGGGGCTGGGAGGAGGAGGAAGACCTGGGTAGGTACGTCTGATATGCGTGCGGTTTTTGCGTTATGAGTAGGGATTCGAATGCCCCGTTATTGGACGTAGATCCGCGTTCTACATAGATGTCATGTATGTAGATTAGATAATAGGTCGTCTAGGATATAGGGTACATACTACTACTGTGGCGTATATAAGATGCGCGTTATGAATGTCCATTGTCCGAGAAACGAGTATGATGACGATGTCAGAACCGACAGGTGGTCGACTTTGGTACGAATCGCAATGTCTTGCCAGCCAATCTGTGGTCGTAATTCGAATGTGAATGCCAGACCCTGTATGTAGGTCCTCGAGTTAACCATGCATACTCCTCATTTTTGCCCATATTTGCCCATATTACTTGGGTATTACACGTTATATCCGCCGTTATTTTCTTATCGGCTGTTGCGCTCAGACCCCGGAAGGATCGCACTTGGGGATCTTGCAAGGGAAGTAAAATCGCTCAGGGTGGACGGCGGCATGAGAGGAGGGCCTGGGGAAGGGCCAAGAGGGGAGACGGACGAGAGACGGTTATGTTCAAAATCACCAACGCCTATGCGCCTATGGTTGGTGATCACAACATCATGCTAGGATCTGCAGGTGTATTCGTCTTCCAAGGAAATCCTCGCAGCTTGATGCGTGGAAGTGGGGGGGGGGGGGGGGGTCATCCATTATACTCGCCCGTCTTATACTACTTACCTACGCTCGGCCGATGATGCCGGCTCTCGTTGACCCTCCGTCCATCGTCCGTTCTTGTCTAGGTCTTAAACGATTAGTATATCAAGCGGGTTGGAGCATGGTATATAATCTCTTCTTTCTCTCTTCGGTCCCGTGCATCGATCGGGTGTGACAACCTTGAAAGTCTCCACGATATCATGAGATTGGGAGTGAGAATACGAAGCTTATAGGCTCGGATGCGACTAATCATGCCTATGCTCCCGCAACTAGTCGTAGATCCTAAATGATGAATGATGAGTTTTCACGATCGATCTAGCATGGCATGTGAAATGGTTCTTTTTGGGTGAATTAGAATTGGTCGAGAGCCAGGCACGGTTGATGACGATGTCTTCATCCGCATGAGACGTACGCACATATTATGTATGACCTACCTCGGTATGGACTTAAATAGTAACCCTCCAACTTCAAACTTATGCGGAACAAGATATTAAAATCAGCCCTAAATCATCAAAATTAGCTTATCAATACATACATAGTACATACGCATGAATCAGCATCAATGTAATCCACGTGGCCAAGTGCCTAGTCACAAGGGAGGTATCGCGCTATGTATCTCGACATATTGGGACTTTACCATCATCAAGGATTATCCCATCTTCGTATAAACTTGGCGGTAGCTACGGGGAGATAATTAAGTCCGTTATACCGAAGGCTCGACGAATTATCTAGCATAGGTAGGTAGGTATTAAATAAACTGTACAACTCTTTCTTCACGAACAAATTACTTACCTTGGGAACATATCATCATCGAATACTCGGGTTTTAAAAAATATGTTTCCAGGTTCAAAAGACAAAAAATAATAATTGTGCAAGTAACCTCTAGGATCTGTGGTTTAGACGAGTCAACGTCAGAGGATGCTAGCCGCCACTACCATCATACAGTTGCATTAGGGGGCACTTTGGCCATGGTAAGCCACCTAAGTCGCGACGCTTACTGGCGCTTGGCCCTGCAGGGACAGGGGCATAGGGCCACTACGTGCGTCCCTCAGAAAGTCTAGAAGATGAGAAAAAGCTACGCTGCGGTTGCAATGCACGAGCACGGCCATGTCCGCTAGACGTTAGAGAAAAAAAACCCGTCCTGGACGTGTCGGTGGCCTGTTACATAGGTACGGCAAAAAAGAGGTTCTCTCGTCGACGACATCATCGTCCATGCGGATAGCTAAGGGGGGGCCGAACTGTCAGTATTGCAGCATGCGTTTCTACGCGGCGTGGCCCCGTTCTGCAGCCAGTAGGAATCGGACCGTTCTAGCCTATCCACAAACCGTTTTCTCCCCCAGAGTGGCTCTCATCTGCAAAGCACGCGCTGCGAATGCAACTTTGACCGCAGCATTCGTTGCTCCTCCCGCTATTATCCCTATTATCCTGTCGCATGTGGGATCCATCAGCTGCCTGCGTTTACGTTTGTACAATACCTAGTGGTAGTGCACATGTACGTTCCGGGGTTCCCTCTCACGAACAACGTGTTCGGGCTCTGCTAGGTATGTAGGTAAGCTAGTTGCGGCTTTTGATACATAGGGAAAGAGAAAAGAGAAACGAGAAAAGATGGGGGTCGCCAAAAAAACTAGCCAAAGATCTGACCACCCGAGTTCGACTTTCTTAGCCGACATGGATCGGCTTCCAAGACATATCTTCGGGCGTGCAAAAAACCTAGACTTGCCGAGGACCGGCGGCGACATTGTTGGCTCTACGTCCCGAAAACATGTAATACCGGCATCGCTCACTGGAAGTCCAGTCGTTAACATGTTACCCATCAACCATTAACCCATGAACCCATAACCTATTACCCATTACCCAGTGCAAACGCTGACGAGCTACGTCTATGAATGGTAGCCCGCCAGCCCGGCTGTGCTGGAACCCCAACGCAGAGGAGAGTCGTAGGTGCGGTGGATCCTCCGGCATTTTTGCACCACATAGGACAGCAGATAGAAGAACGTAAAGCATCGCGCGCGATGAGACATCAACGCAGAAAACTCACTTTAAACTACCGTGAGATGACATAACTTAAGCGCGTCAACTCGACTTAAAAAGAAAATAAGAAATACTTTACCTGATATATCGAGCCGGCAAAGATATTTCATCACCCCAGCTCCCTCCCCCCCCCCCCCCCCCAGGCACGAGCCGCCCCGTCCAAGGAAAGAGGAGATGGAGAATAAAGATCAACACGAAGTGAGTGAAGCTAGTTCTCAGTCTTGGCCACCCCGTTTCCTAAATAATGAAAAAAATCAACCAGGGTGAACAGACTACTACAGGGGACAGCAGCGAATCTAACTCAGACACCGATGCTGTGGACCCGAGACTAGAGAATATGCCGTTTATCGAAGCCTTTGGTCATCATTATCACATCTCGGGTAAAATATTCTTACCCTTCGACGAACCCGAGAGGAAGAGGTTGGAGGTTCAGCATAAGTTATATCGACACTGTCTAGATGGCGCCTTAACCCACACGCGGCTGCCGCTTGATACGGCACAGATAGTAGATTTAGGGACCGGGACTGGTGTATGGGCTATTGAGATGGCAGCCCGCTATCCGCAAACTCAGATCACCGGCATAGACGTGTACCCGATCCAGAGGAGGAAGGGAGTTCCGCCAAACGTGAAATTCGAGATTGGAGATGTGGAGGACCCGTGGAACTTTCCGGACAACTCTGTCGATTTCGTCCATGCGAGGAGCATAGCCGGGGGAGTACGAGATTGGCCGGGACTACTTCGTCAAGCATACACCAAGCTCAAACCAGGAGGACTCTTCGAGATGACGGAAATCGCGTTGAATATTCTAGACTTCGACGGCAAGTTCGCCGAGGCCGACCTGTGTCCCGAGTTTCTCAAGATATTCCGAGACCTGTGTAACGAGGTGGGCATGGACTTCAACCCGTCGCCCCACGTTCCCGACTGGTTAGTCGAAGCAGACTTCGAGAAGATAGTCCAACGAAGCGAGATACTTCCGGCTGGGAGTTGGGCTCAAGACGACAAGTTAAAGGCACGACAGGCTCTAATGAACTCGATTACTACCGAGCACTACGGTACGTTTTGACTCCCTTCATACAACCCCTTTCCCATGTCCCTGCAATAGCAATTTTCAGAGACTATAAGACACGCACAGACATTTCTAACTAGGTAAAAGTATTGGATAATCATTGCGGCTTGCTATTTAAGAGTTGCGGGTGGACCAAAGAACAATTCGACGCAATAGTGCCGTCGTTTTGGCAGGAGGTTCGAGCAGCAAATATTCGACCGTATATCACAGCGTAAGGAAATGTCACCAAAAGGTTACCTACTATGTAAGTAAATACTAATACTAATATTTCTTAGTGTTTTTACTACTGCGAGAAAACCTCGCGAACCACGCGCATGACGTGGTTGAAAATCCCAAAGGGTCATACTCATCTTCAACATTTTCAGCCAGCGGCAATCCCCGCCAACACCTATCCGACGAAAACAAAAGAATGTCAAAAAGAAGAAATGGTATCAGGGAGTTCGGTAGAAATTCACTTGTGCTCTATTAATCTAGCCAAGCTGTAAACCGGACAGGGACTTGGGCTTTTGCTGCTCACTACGGATAGCTACTTTAACCTCCTAATACCAAGGCCCAGGGGGGGCTTACTTAAATCTGGGGATATTCAGACTGGGAAGCAACTGATACTACCTACATTTCAACAATGAGTAGAAATCCATCACATTCTACAGATCAAGGTACTTACCTACCTGCCTACTACCTTACCTAAGCATTGCCACTTCTCAATAAGAGAAAGCGGCGTGCAAAAAGCGCCAGTTCGAAATAATAATAAGCACCAACCGCCCGAGGTCAGCGCTCCTCGAGGTCATAGCGGAGGAAAGGATAATGGGCTCGAGCTACATACCTAGAGAACATCCGAGTTTAGGGGGCTTGTCGGGCCACGTTTGTGTACAATACCTACCTACATACGTACGAGACACCTGCCTATTCGATTCTCGGTCATGTCTCACCGCAGGATTCACATCATGTACATACATACATACCTACATAACCTAGGTACATAACGCATCCCATATCTACCTACCTACCAAATCCCCACAGCCAAACCGTGAAGCGCGTGAATCCTCGTAGTGAATGGGTCCAACCCCGAAGTCTCATGCAACCCGATTCCGTGATTCATGGCTCGGGCCGCTGATTTGCTTTCCTTGTTTCTGCATGATACCCGTCCGCCGTGAAATCTCCGCGAAGCGATCGTCGGCCCAACTACGGCATACCCATTATAGTAATATTTTCCTACGTGTCTCGGATTTAAAGCTGTCCTGAAGAAGTATTAGTACCTGTTACCTACCTAGGTAGGTAGATCGGTAGGTTGGTAGGTTGGTAAGTATATTAACACCTACTGCCCCCTTTTGCTGCGGTTCTTATAACCCACCTTAAAAGGCGTATCGCTCGCGCCTCCGACCCGAGGCGAAGAGGCAAGCTACGTGTTACGCTCGGCGAGCATGCACAGGCGGGAAGAGGAATCAAAACATCAGTACTTATGTTTGAGTCCCGGCAGGCAGTGCGGCATTTGAGAGAGCACTTTATCCCGAGCGGTGCTTGAGTCTGGGATCGAGGATGCACAAGACCATCTTGTGAGAATCAAGCGAACGAATGAATGGGCGACACAATGTGAGACGCAAAGTCGACACAACATCGAGGGCTGTGAGAGGCCGTCGTCGGGAACCAATCGGCTTATTTGCCTAATCGTTATATAAGATATGTATCTTATTTTCCCAAACCATCGACGTACCTCGCGTAGGAATCCTGTGGGTTTCACGGTACGGTACCTGTCTCATTCACACCCGATCACGTAGGGCAGACGGGTTCTTATATTCCCACAATATCCCACACGACAACTGCCCACTCCTACTACTTCCCTCGAGAAAGTTGATATGTCCCGTACATGATTAAGTAGCCGATATGTCCTGCAGAAAGGCAATATATGGTCAAGAGCCCCATTCTAAGGTACGTAACGGGAGGCCTGGAGGTGGCGAACTGCAGTATTACTTTTTTGTGTAAAAGTATGTCATCATGTATGATTCGGTCACTTCAGTTATCGCCGAAGCAGAAAAAGTGACAGAATTATCAATAGCTTAGTAGTCTTCGGAACATCTAGCCGCCCCCTGGACGCCACGCGGTAGAGTCCCGTAAGTCTCAAGCAAGTGAGCCAGGTGAGAAGTGAGAAGTGGAAAGTGCAGAGTAACCCTAGACAAAAGCCCTACACCGAAAATTAGCCAATTTATCTGAATTGGTGTGTCTCCAACACACGATAGATACGGGTCGTTATTCTGTTGTACGGAGTTAGGGGTCGTTCCTCCGCAACAACGTTCGTCGATTCTAGCCCCTTTTCCATCCCACGACAGGATAAGAAAAGAGTTCAACATAAAAAAATAAACTGGGTACATAAATAATAAAGAATAAACAAATCTAAGATATAGAGAAAAAGAAATAGGAAAATCTAAGACGAAATAAAAAAGAAAACATACAACACTGGGGATTCGCTGGTCGTCACCGACCCAACTACTAGTCCAGCGGTAGCCAGCTTATCTATGGGAGAGCGGACGGGATCCCGAGTATTCTAGCTCCTATGGTCGTATGTGATAGATTGATCAGCTAATTGCATTAATAACTGATTGATCCCCAGGCCTTGCGACAATCGACAATCTACCGTTCCAATGTAACTGGGGTCTCCAGGGACCTCGGTTGCGCCTCAATCCCTGTATAATGAAATATGCATACCATCTCCTACAACCATACCTCTAATAACAATAGCATGAGACACATATATACGAATATTCCACGAACCTGATCGTATCTCTTGCAGGATCCATCGCTAGCGATATCTACCTCTCAACGTATGCCTGACCCGGGTTCCACCCGGAATCACACCGACAGCCAAATAACATTACAGTCTAGAGTATCGATATTATCGACCACCCATTCTAGGTCGACCATGCGGGCCGTATCAATCACGACGAGGTCTGGGCGATTTTCTCCTGATCGATCTTGAGCGAAAAGTCTACGTGCGGCGTACCTTGGTGGATCGAGCTGGTAGAGATGATATCGATATCTGCAACACAACAATCAGCAAGCCAAGCGAGACGTATCGAAACCAACATCAATCAACACCACAACATAAAGGGAAGACGGAGGGAAGAAACTCACCATTATTCGCATAATCAAAAACATTATCCTCGCGCAACCCACCCGAAACCTCAATCAAAAACTCCCTCTTCCCCTTCCACTTCTCCCTCAAACTGCGCGCCGCAATCTTAACCCCCTCACCCGTAAAATTATCCAACATAACAATATCCGCGCCCGCCGCAATCGCCTCATCCGCCTCCGCCTCATCCTGCACCTCGACCTCGACCTTCAGCGCAAAGCCTCCCACCATCTTCGCAGCCTTAACCGCGTCCGTGATGCTCCCACGGCTCCACACATGGTTATCCTTCAACATAATCATGGAACTCAAATCCATGCGATGCGTGTCCGCGCCACCAACCAACATCCCGTATTTCTCCACGAGCCGGAACCCAGGCGTCGTCTTGCGCGTGCCGGCCAGGATGCCCTCATACCCCGCGCTGCGCAGGCTGAGCAGCATATCGCGGCTGACAGTCGCGATGCCCGAGCAGCGCGCCAGCAGATTCAAGCCCACCCTCTCGCCGAGCAGCAGCCCGCGGGCCGGTCCAGTTACAACAGCGACTTTGGTCTTCCCCGACCCGTCCTTCGGGCGGTTGACGTAGCTGCCTTCTTTGGCCAGCCATTCCACCTCGCACCCGCACTGGCGGAAGATCTCGGTGAAGAACGGGATCCCGGCGATGATGCCTGCGCTTTTGCCCCATAAAGTGGCGGTGCGTGGGGATTCCCCGACGACGAAGCCCGCGTAATCGTACGAGGGCGTGTCTTCGGCTAGCCAGGTTGTTATTTGGGATTTCCAGCTGGGGGGGAGGAGGTGCTCTAGGGAGCCGTGGTGGATGGGTTGGTCTTTATGCATTGGATCGATGGGTTTGGATGGGGATTGCAGGTTGGAAGTTGGAAGGTGGGTGTGAGGCGGTTTGGACGAGGGACGTCGTTGAGGTTGGATTTTCGGATGGGTGGGATTGGGTACGGTGATTTTCGGATGTTTAAATGTGATGGAATGCGAGCGATTTGCTGTCGCGTTTGAGGATGAAAGGTCGGAGGTTTTCGAGAGTTGGTATTGGTCAGGATGAAGGTAATCACTTTACCGTTGCACCTTCTCCGTTTGAGCCGTTTCAACCCGATGCCTCTGCCTCTTTGGAGATGGGGAGGTAGCTACTGCGGGGGCGGGGTAAGTGCTACCTAGGTCCGTAGCTGTTACCGCAGAAAGTGATCGTGATTGGTAAGAGCCTTGGAGGGGCACACAGCTGTCGACCAGCCGTTGCCAATCTTTACCCCTATCATCTGCATTGGTATTACGAAAATCACAAACGCTACGGAAGCCACCGACATCACGACTCAGTTGCCTTAATCCAAATCAAATCAAATCGTTATCCTAGTGGGTACTAGATGGGCAGGCACCTATAAGTATCGTGGGTAGTCAATCAGGTCCAACCATCAAGAACAACGGATGTCCGGTAACCCTGACCAAACCCGTAACCTCGAGCTATATAGGCCAAGTTACCTCCCATATACCTAGCACGCAGCTCCTTACTCCGTGCATCACTGATAACCTAGAACCCCCTCATCGCGATTTCTTATCCCCATCAGCCTTCCCAACCACCTCATCTTCCTCAACGTGCTCACGAGATCTCTTAGTTTCTCGCGCGACTCCGCCAGGTAGACTAACACCCGTATCCGCAGCCACGCCTGCAGCCAAACCCGGATTCTGCACGCCACTCTCATTCCCGCCTCCGCGGCCGCGATTACCCCGGTAGCCAGCCCTGCGGTTCATCCGTCTGTTTCGAGGCTTGTTCGTGCCTTCGCCGACTTGATTCTTGCGCTTCATCTTCTCCTGAGGTGCTGCTTGGTTGTCGCTGCCTTGGTTTTTGCTCTTCTCTTGACGTTTCTGGGGTGTCGAGTTGTCTTTGTTGAATTTATTATCGTTCTTCTTCTGGTAGGCTAGGGGTATTGCAACACTGATATTACTTTGACCGGAGCGGTTATTCTGGCAGCCTCGAGGACTTGAGACCCCTTCATTGCGCGGGCTAGAGTAAGTATGGTGACCACGAATCTGGAAAGGGCCTGGATTGCCTTGATAACTTCGAGGGCTCGAAACCTCTTCGTTACATTGGTTATCATATCCTCCCTGGTAACTTCGGGGGGTCGAAAAGCAATCATTGGGTTGGCTATAACGCCCTCGATAGCCCGGAGGCGTTGAGTAGTTTGGATTGCCCGGGCTATTGTAGTAACCCGGCGGCGTCGGAAAACTCGTATTTCCTTGGTCGTTATGGTTATTCTGATAACCCCGGGGCGTTGAAAAGCTTTCATTACGTTGGTCGGTATATCTTGATTGATGACCTCGAGGCGTCGAAAAGCTTGCATTACCCTGATCGTGGTGGTTATTCCGATTATGCGGGGGCGTTGAAAATCTCTTACCACGTTGGTTCCTATATCTTCTATGATAATCTTCAGGTGTCGACAAGCCTGCGTTTCCTTGACTGAAGCTGTGCTGATGACGGCTCTGAGGTGTTGAATAGCCTTGATTGTTCCAACCGCCGTGATTTCCCTGCTGATACTGTTGTGCCGGATTGCCTTGAAATTGTTGATTGTACTGTCCCACTTGGGTGTTCTGATACGACGGATTTGGTGGGTATCCTTGAAACCCGTGGTTGTCTTGGTAACCCGGATGCATCGGAGGGCCTTGGAATTCATGGTTGCCGTGATGCGCATGGCTCCGTGGACCCGGGAATCTTTGGGGCTTTTCATAGCCTTGGTAGTCATGGGTGTGGTGGTGGTGATTTGTAGATACAGGGTGTCCTTGATGTCCTCGTCCTTGATGCGCTTGGTATCCTTGGTGCGTTGGTTGTACTAGGTATTCCTGATGTCCTTGACATCCTATATGCGTAACTTGATTCTCATAAGCACCGTCATTCTGCTGAGGCAGGTTGATTGGGTAGACCGGTTGAGGCGGCAGAGGTACACCAACGACTATATTGCAACGTGTGAACTGCGTTTGATATTCGCCGAAATAGTCGTAATTGATATTAGGGTGATATTCTCCATTTTCACCACCTTTGTCGCCACTTTCGCTGGCGGTAACGTCCAAATATCCATCCTCGGTAGAAACCTCGCTAGTCAAGGGTGTATTTTCGGCTGGTGTCGAGTAATCAGAAGTAGAGGGGGTCATATTCGTGACGCGCTCGAGTGTCATCTCGATAGTTTTATATTGAATTAGTGGACCACAATGCATACGGCACTGCACTCCGAAACCCACGTATTGAGTGACCCATGCGTGTCGAATCACTTGTTGCATCAACTCTGGGTTCCTATGCTTGAACCTGATCACAAGCTTGTCGGGGCCCTCTTCGATGACCTTGCCATATTCAGAGAGGCTGCGAAATATGATACTAAGGTGGCGTAGAGGTATAGCTTGAAATAAGCATGACACCGCGCAACTTCCTGATATAGGTCCTCGCTTTAGTTCGCTTTGCATGTCCTGGCTGTCGAGGTTGTAGGGTGGACCTGACGTCTTCTCGTGTTGCGTATCTGGCTTTACGATATTGGGATACGGAGCTTGTAGTATCATAGGTAGTGTCGAATGTGGTGTCACTACTTCTACAACGTACGGAATCATTGGTTGCGGCACCATATGATATCCAGCCATAGGTTGTGCTATAGGCTCTGCCATATTAGCCTGCTCTATCATAGGTTGCCCTATGAAAGGTTGCATGATGGATTATTTATGAAAAGAGATAGGTAGAGAAGCTGCTGTGAGGTTGATTAGCTTATGGTGTAAAAATGGCAGGATGAATACCATGGACAAAATAAATGTCCATCGGACATGATATTTGTTAGAATTCAGATTGAAGCTAATTCTGTAGATGAGGAATCAACTCGTCAGAAATGTCACCTAGCAACTATTGAGTGAATGAATTATGTAGCTTTAGACAAAGCTGTCTCGTGCTGGTAAATAAATATACCGCGTTTTCAATCTCATTCACTCTTTGGAGGCTGACCGGGCCCTGTAGTTCAGCATTTGGGTTAACGTTTTGACAAGTCGTTGAGCATAGTCTCACGGCTATGGTCAAGTGATAATGTCAGAAGTATTCATTATATGGACGCCTCTGAGGGCCATTTACGAAATATTGCTTGTGATTTTATTTTAAGTGCCCCAATATGTATTTGTTTTGCTTTAGGGAGATGATGTTAGTTAGCGACTGTCGCCTGTTTATGAATTGGTTGTATAGTGCCTACTTAGTATATTGAGTGTAACGCCGTTTATCGTCAAAGAAAGGACTCGGGATTCCGGTATCTTGATCCCCAAATCGAACTCGAGGACCAAGGTATGCCATCGTCGATGATATCGCTATGCTGGCAACAGAGCCTTATCGGGCTGCCTAGCTTTAATGCTCAAAACCGCCTGTGCGACTGGCGTCTTACTCGCTTTAAGGTTCCGGGAAGCGGCTGAGGCTGAAGAACGGGAGCTAAAGTTAAACATGGGTAGGGACTAGAGGTTATAGGAAGGTTCTATTCCGATGTTAGTCACATGAGATAGCCTTTATAACCTGAAGATCGCAAGTCAACTGGTAGAACATCCATGTGAGAAAAAGGGACGATAAGTATATTCATGAGCCGAAACGAAAGGGAGGCATCTGACAGTATATACAGAGCGAAAACATAACGAAAGGACGTGGTCAATAGCCATGTTGAACGAGTAGAGAGAAACGAAAACGCCACTGATGCTAATGCTAATGCTAAAACGAGGGACACCCAGACCATGCTATTCCATGCCATGCCATGCTATGCTACCTATGCTATGCAAGAAGACAACAAGAGTAAATGAAACGAGATAAAATAAAAGGAAACACCTGTAAATGCTCGAAAACCTTCTAAATAAACGCCCAATAATGCGAAAAGATTCAATACCGGAGAGAATCTTAGGGAGATGCATCCAGCCCCTTGTTAAGTAGGAGTCTGCATGATGGTGTAGTCAAGTAACTCGAATGGACGAGATGCTTCGGACGAAATGCCATCGGACGAAATGCCATCGGACTTAGTACCACGTCGGTGTTACAGGCCAGTGTCGCAACATGTTCTCGACGGCTTGCGTCCATTCGTATTCGAAACACTGAGCGAGCTGGTCTGCCTCTTCCGAAGTGGGATCGCGGCCACCCCACATCTCCTTGCGCCATGCGTCTGCTTGCGCATATGTAGGAACCAAACCTCTGTATTCAAAGTTAGATACAGAATCAACTAATCAAGTCGGATAATCGATGGGGAACCCGAATATATATACGTGGGAGAGGGGGAAGATCACAGGGATTGGGACTTACTCATCGCGGATCTTCACCAGGCATAACCAGGCCAGGTTCCAGCTCCGGTTGGAGTTCGGGTCGTTCCGAACTAGTTGGTGTGCTTGGTCGACAAGCTCTCCGGAGATGGGATAATTCCGCGTCAGACCTCTCAATTCCGTTAAGAACTGGTTGCTGTTGACGTAGTAGTCCCAAGCGGAAGTCATCGGTGCTTGGAACGCTTGGGCGTCCTCCTCGTTATCACAGCTAGCGGCAACTCGTTCAATACGGCATAATTCCGTAAGCGTATTGACTCGATGAGTGCGCAGCGATTCAATGAGTTGCTCAACTGAGGACTATTATAGGTACGTTATGTTAGCCACCTAGATACAGTGGTAGTCACGAAGTAACGAGGTCGTCCGCAGAGCATCTGCGATGACCAAGATAGAGTCGCGGGAGGGATTTACGAATTGAAAGCCGTCACGCACTTGTCTTCCCTTGCTGCTGCGGGAGCTTCTGTGAGCAGATCGTGCTGAAGACATGGTGGATATCTTGATTGAGATTTCTAGTGTCTTCGGAATCTTTCAAATGGCGGGATATGTCTTAACACAATCTTTTGGATTTTCGTCTTTATTTTGAGAGTATATATCACCTTAAGAATGAGTTAGCGCAACTTCATATCCAAGTGGGAGTAGGCATGAACTACCTTAGAGATTTAATCGGTCTGTGTAGTGTCTGGGAAAGTTGCTGTTGACTGAGTAGCTTGGTTCATATCTCTATCAACTTAGAGAACCGTCGACGTTTATATTTAAGATGGTCGAGTGGGTTGAGCCTTGGCCGATGGCATAGTAAGTCGACTATAACCCCCAAACTAGGTGATCGTGAAGCCACTATCTAGAGACACCCGAGAGGGTAACGGAAAGTCAGATACTGAAGTTGAACTAAGGTCATATTCCGGATGATCTAATCCTGGACCACGTGCTCATGGGCGAAGTGATGCTATAAACTATATTCAGAGAACAAGTGACTAGCATCTTGATGGAATCGTGAGGATATTCCGCCGGCGTCGGTCCGCGATCAATGACGCTGTTCATGGGACGCGCTAGAGGGACGCCCTACCGACGGATATTAGTTACCCACGAAGCTATCAACATATGACGATGGCTCTACATAAAAACGCGTTGCGTGATAAAGCTCACCTCGGATAGCCTCCATGACTAGGGTGGAATTAGAGTAAGTGACAGGTCAATCCTGACTATGAACTTAAAGACATGTCCATAGCGCGTCCTCCGACCCTGCTCACCCATACTAGTAGCTGATTGCTGACGACAGTCAAACCCGCCATGCTGGGGGATCATGTTGCTGCTGGTTACTAAGCTAGATAATATTCTGTAGATGATTTAGAAATAGATCATGAAGTTTGGTCGAGAACGAGGCGGCATGCAGGGGGGCTCGTGCCATTCGAGGAGGTTGACCTTGTGTCCTGATTGGAGAATCGTGAATATAAATCTTCTAGAAGAAAATAAATCTTGGAGAGGATCTGGGGAGATAGTCGAGAGCACTAGAAAGGAAGCTGAGATAGTTGAATAATCACAGTTTCTAAAAAGAATATTCCTAACAGCCAATTGGGATTTGATAATCTGGTCCCGTAATGGTAGACAAGCTTAGAAACAGTGCTAGACCGTGGCAGGAATTAGACCAGTCTAAGTCGGCTATTCCGTGCTTGTCCGTGGTAGCGGTAGGTGGCCCCTGTAGTTCAAGGCGCCGGTGAGAATTTAGCGGCTTAAGGCTGGGGAACTGCACTCGGTTGGGTCTACTGGAATTAACTGCGATTCGCGCTCCGGCGGCTGGTTCAACTAGGTATTAAAACCCCTGCTTAACCGATCATTCGTTATCGTCTCTTAGGACCCTAGACCAGATAGATATGAACCCTGGTAGATAGCTAAAGTTACGACTGAATTCGAGGGTTCCCCACGACGTTCAAGTTCTTGCCAAGATGCCAGTCCAAATCTGGTTGCATCAGACGAGGTAAATTCTAAATCGGAAATATATTTAGATGTATACCATGGATTAACACGACGATCTAAGCTGGGGGCACTCTGGCCAGTTGAATAGCCGAGGAGGTATTTGTGTACCAGAATATGGAATCCCGGTATACGTTTGCGGGCGTCTTTCCGCCCTCTCTTCCCCGTAGGAGTCGACGCGGAGTATGTAATCGATACTGTACCACGGGGATCATCTTCCGGCTGCATGATGCGTTACGCATTCGCATAGAGCATTGGCCAGTCGAAGAGGCTGAAAATAAGGCCAACGAATGATATCGTAGATTCGTAGTGTATGATGTGATATAATTGGAAAGATTTGTAATGATGGGAACATGGACAGAAGGCTTTTGGTTGTTGGTCTGTGCTTATACACTCCATAAAGACGATCCTAACCCCCTGACGTAAATAGGGGGTTCCAAAGCTTCTAGAAGCCAGGTTGCGATCTTCTACGGAGAAGGCCACATCTGAGGAAGGTGATCACGGGCGGCCTCGGATACGGGGAGTTTCCATATCAAGTTAGAGATCGTACTACACGATATTTAGGTGATATTTAAACTGTGTAGTAGGGTTGCTGACGAAGGATCAGAATGCACTTTCGAAATGGGGTGGTTGACAGGTTGATGTGAGGATTTAGAACACGGGAACCCTTAGGCGAGAGACCCAGTGCTTTGGGAAAGAGAGAAAAAAAAGGAATTGCGTACTTGGCTACAATAAATTTAACCAAGTTTTTACCAACGAGGCGTGAATTGAGCCAATGAGAATTCAGAATTCGACCTAGCTGAAGCATCGCTTAGCGGGTGAGGCTGTGGCAGTGCAAATTTGGAAAACCTTATTTCCATTGGCTTAAAAGCTAAAATAGCCGCGATTTAGATACCCATGGAAGTACTATTCTAGGAATAAATGTCTGTGCGTCATCTTAGCAGGGATATGTCGATCCATACATACAGATATGCATCTTTGGATAGAATTCATAAATTCGAATGCGGACAATTCGATTTCCGACTTTCACTCTTCACCTCGGCATCGACATCTAAATCCGATCCACCTTGAAGTCGTCTCTCTTCCGTATTATCTTCGCCGAACTCAATGATGATATGACGCCGATGATTCCATGTCAGTATTGATTAATTCAAGCATATATGTCATATGTGCACATTGCGTAGGTATTTCGGACTGCCCTACGGACTAAGAATACAGTCTACTAGCTACCAACTATTGATCACGTCGGATTTTGGACGTAAGAGCCGATCTTTTAACGTGAGCTAGGGATTGCGCGTACTAAGGTGCTTAGGGCGGAATAACGCAACAAACGCCTTTCCAACGGGAGGAGCCGTTGATTGCGCACTTCCATCTGCGAAGAGCCTCTTCTGGGAAGATCCTAGGGCGTTAATCATCCGCCTCTCCCGACGCCTTTGATGTCGTCGCCTCCGTAGTCACCATATTCGTACCAACGCGACGGATTAGAGAATTACATCCCGTTAGCGTAGGCAGTTATTCGTTCATCCCGAGGCGTGTAAGAAAAAAGAAAGATGAGTGGCTTTTTACCTAGTCCTAACTGAATATGTAATTTTTGTCCCATGATCTTCGGATACACCTTCTTCTTTTCACCATTATAAATATTGCACTTTGTATTATATCAGGGTGGGGTGACTTCTTTTCGATACCGATAGAATTTCTAAAGCTTGACTGGCCGAATAAGAACCGCTTTCCCTTAGTCAACGAAAGAGTAGAAACACTAAGCTTGATGTTGAAGAGGGGTGGTACAAATCAATTGCTAAGCATAAGATCTAAATTTGATTCCATATCGACATCAAATCCATCTCATCCCACGTTCTTAAGAAGTATAAAGTATACATATCTATCTATTGTCATATATCATTATCATCAGATCGCCCGGCTGCTATGCAGGTCGGTGTTAATACCTTATAACCTAGGCGTGCAGCACGATCTCCCATTCCTATCACGAAAACCAGGCAGCGGCTTTAAGAGACGTCAATATTAAGGGCGAATGTCTTTAACGACTACCTCCTTCGAATTTTAACGATACTACCGACGATAGGAGCATCATCAACCCCAAGATCCGACATGCGTAATTGCAGCCAGCCTCTGGACTGTTCCTTCATGCGTGGCTACACTGATATCACTCGAACTTGGCGTCCTAAATATGATAGCGTGGCGGTGTAATTGTTCTTTTGCTGTCTGAAGGTCTTCGAGCAAACAACGTTTTGAGGCGTCGTACAAACCGTTATCATGCATCCTTAACACGATTATGCGGCTCACCGCTCACCGGTTCCAAATACAGAGGTTGGCGTAAGCAAACGTCATCGATGTTACGACTCTCAAGAGTCAGACAGGAATCCTCGAGATCATGCGGGATTATCGCTCGCCTGTTCATCGGCTTGCGTGGCAGGCGCTTCATACCCATCATCGGTACTTTCGAGGCCTTCGCCGTGAATAGCATAACTTCCAAGCCATCCGGCCAACGCTATTCCTGCAAATAAACCCCAGGCAAGGGCCTCGCCTTTTGGCTGAACATGTGTCGAGACGGTAAAGAGTCCGCCCGAGAGGAAAGGACCAACACTTCTGCCGGCAGCTGAAAGAGTCTGCGCGATGCCGTTGAGGGTGCCTAAACTCGCGTGGGTGGGGGCCGAATTTGTGATCTACATGTATGTTAGCTATTTTATCAATTGAATGCTCTTCGCTAGGAGAAGAACTTACAAGTAACATCACGCTCGATAAACCCCCCACGGCGCATATATTTTTAATGATGAGTATTACCCCAATCTCTAAGTATAGCCATGATTTGCTACTTCCTATACCGAACGGCGGGCTTGAGTCCTCGTAACCAACGAACGGTATTAAAGCCATAGTAATCGCAAACCCAAGCAGAGAGCCTCGGTATGACCTAACATTACCAAGGTGAGATTTTAACGGCATGAAAAGAAAGAGTTGGAATAGGATGGTAAATGCTCCAGCGACAGAGAGCGATACCCCGATAACATCTGCATGTAGGTTTCGCCCTGTAGGCGTCTCTCCGGATGCAAATATCGGATATAAACTGTTAAAGGAGCTGTTGGATAGCTGAAAAACTAGATGCGTGCTGAGAAGTACTATCGTCGTTCTGTTTAAGAGTTGGCGCCATGTCGGAACATCATTTGGCGATTTCGGGTCGTCTTCACCGTTTTCGTCTTCTTGCGGTCCAAGCAAAGTGGTGTCCTCCCTCGCATCATCTTCGTTTGTTTCCCTTTGCTCGCTGTCAGAGTCTCTTCCTCCAGGCCAGGTCCATGAGCGTGTAGTTCCATTTTCGGTTTGCTTTGTAGAACTAGGCAACCATGGTAGCCACTCAGACCAGTGGGGAAGTTCGATCTGCTCCTCCAAAGTTTCTTCAAACCAAATACCAAGTACAACTACGGTCAAGGCGAGAAGAGAAGCCCCAAGAACATTTGGTGCGAGGAAAGGATAGCGGTCTTTGGCAATATTGCCTACTAGCAGACCACCAAGCGCAGGGCCTGTAATACTACCCAGGCTATACACGACAGGCAGCCAGGTAAAAGCCTTGCTTTGATTGCTCCGATCCGTCAATTCTCCTAAACAAGTGGGAACTACGGCAGCGTTGCCGTTGAGAAGCCCCATCGCAACATGTACCAGAACGATGTGAAAGTATCTAGTGCAGAATCCAAAGGCAGCGAAACAGAAGCATAGCAGCAAGGTGCCTAGCAACATAACAGGTTTGCGCCCGATAACATCTGATAGGTATCCCCAGAGAAGATTGGTCGCTAGTTGTGCCAATGCAAAAGCCGAAGCTAGTAGACCGACATATAGACCGACTTCATCGTGACTAATACCGGGGAATGACTCAATCATTTCTGGTAGATATGGTGATATGGAGTTAAGCGCCGTTTGTTCGGATAAGGATAGCAGTGCTAAGAGAGCTAGCTGCTTAACGGGTAAAGGCGTCGTTGTGCCATGGTGATCATGGCCTTGAGAGCCAGAAGAGCTGGATCCCGTACCTGGTCTTCGGCCGGCTGTCCTCGGTGGTGGTGTCGGAAATGTTTGGTAATGATGTTGTGTTGGTACACGACGGAGAGTTGATAATAGCGCTCGGTTCGACGGGAGAGCGGGTAGAGGCGAACCAGCACGGAAGCTTCCTATCGAGCCAGATCTTGTTTGCACTCTACCTGGGCGAGTGGCAGGCGAGGTAGCCGGCGCGATGGTTGCGGCGTGTACCATCTTACTTGACGGTAAATCCGAGCTTACGGGTTCAAGCAAAGGAGGGGTTCATGACCTGATCTCGACGTGATCGATGACCGGGCGCATATATCGAAGAAAGAGAATCAAAGTCGGCCATACGACAGAAGCACAGAGGAATCAATTCGGAGTTGTGTGCCGCTTTACCGTAAGCATGGCGAAAAGAGGAAGGAGATTCTAACGAGGAAAAAAATAGTTGGGAAGGTTAAATCGATTAGAAACTCGGAGATACGATCCAATGATGTAAAAGATCTAATCATCGTCCCATTTTCACTTCTTGTTTTTAGAGCTCATCGCAGTGGAGTAGGCGCTATCGATAACTTAGAACCACCCTGCGCTTTCCCTGGACCACTTAACCTACGCAGGTGGCTCCGCCGTACATAGAAGGCCTGGGCAACGCCCAGGGGCAGTCCGCATAGAGTTCGCAGGTGGTAGGTAAGTGCAGGTGGTTGGTAAACTGACCGCCGTTACACCGAAGACTACCCCACGCTTCTGCGCTAGGTACAATTCTTGTGGCTGCTGTAGCCTGTAGGTAGGTACATTTAGTGGAACGACGGAAGAGAATGATTTGCATATGATAATACTAAGATGCAACTGTTGATCGATTTACTTAGTATTAATATCGACGAAATTTGTAAAGTTTCACAGGATATCTAAAGTGTCAAATTGTTATATATATAGTACCTAGTACGTATCCAACACGATGTGCACATTCCTGACTGAATCGTTATCTTGTACTTGCCAAGTGAGATGCAGAAATTCTATCTGTCAGCTTACCTAACAGCTATGCACCTATGTATCCATATATATCCCCCTGTAAATTAATAGGTGGGGGCAAGCACGTTATAGTGCGGGGTGTGATTTATGATGCTATGGGCAGCTGCATGGGCAATGCGAGATACCTAGGTCGGAGCTGGGCACCTTCCGTGAGCTCGTAGGTTTACCTAGGTCTACTAAGTGTAGGTGCTACAATTTCTAAGTGGAATTTTCGCCTGTTCAACTTCAATGAGCGAGTCAGTCATAAGGCATCATATATTCTTATAACTCAGGTTATAGTAACTTCTTGCTATGTATTTGCAAAGGCCCATTCAAATTCAAATGTAGGTATTTTTCGGATAATAATGTTTGGCTGATAGGGACTAAAGACTAGTGCTCTTGTATAACGCAAACATCCCTAGCCGTCTTCCGTATTTGCTTCTTTAGGGGCTTGAGACATACATCCAATATTTGGGCGCCCGCTCAGAACCCTCTAGAAAGAACCAAACAACATGCATACATTATCCGACACTTCTCTGTCCCAACTGTCTGTCTGTCTCTCCGTCTACCAGATGCCCGAAAACTAGGTAGGTACCTAGACCTAGAGAACCTCTTCTCCGTAAACCATGCACGGCCAGTCTAGATCCTGTATTGTAGCGAAGGTCTTGATCTCGTCCGGTGTAGGAAGTAAACACAATTAAGTTTCGCTACTTCTGTCCCGTTACATTTCGTTTCGTTTCTCATGAAAAAGGGGGGCTCTCGTGCGCAATAAAAAGTCTATCACCGACTTGAAAATAAAAATAGGTAAAATAAAAAGAAATCGGTATCCGCGCAATAATCAAAAGAAGTTTCCAAACACCTAGGTAGATATGGGGGAAACTTCACTAATCCTTCTTCCAGCTAAGCAAGTTAGACAGCGTAGAAGAGAGTCGCCTCTTCTCCTTGACAGGAATATCGTTAGGGTCGATATCGGGGCCGGAGCCCTGAAGATGCGACGCGGGGTTGCGCTGGACCGTGCTATCAGTCTGGAGGCTAGGGGTGCTGCAGCAGCAGGTGCTAGAGCCGTTCTCAGCCACCTTCTCGCCGTAGCAGGGCACGAGCACGCTGGTCTCGTTCTTGGTGCTAGGGATGTCGAGCGCCGGGTTGCTGGTGAAGAAATCCGCCGGCCGGAGGTGGAACTGGTGGATTTCGACAGGCCTGCATGGTCAGATGCGTTAGTTACTAGATTCTGCCTCGAAAGATTTTTACATAATAGAATAGAATAGGTAGAAGCGAGGGAAAAAGGGAAGGGGAAAAGAGGGAAAAAATGGAGGGGACCGTGCTTACATCACAGGCCAATCTTCAACCCGCGGGTTATGCGTAAGACCGAAAACGCTCCAGACAACAGGCGTGCTCTTCTTCCCACCATTCGCCGTCGCCGTCTCATCCACGCCCTCACCATCAACGAACCAATCTCCTCTCTCGACCATAGTCTTAACGCCGCCTTCTTCGAAATGCGCCTGGTTCGTAAACTCTCCCGCAGCCCAGAGCTCGCCGTCCCTGTGTCCGGTGAACCAGAGGTGGTGTCTGGCGAACGGTGCGCGGGCCGCCTGCACGCTCTTCTCGTCCGCGAGGAGGAGCTGGGTCGGACTAGGCACGAGCTTATATCCCACATTCTTACCACTGATACTATTCTTCTTAACCGGGTTCTCCAAGCGCACGACCCTGTTAAGCTTAGGCTCGGCGTCCTCGAAGCCAGCACGCTCGACGCGACGGCGACGGACTTCGTACCCGTTGCCATAGGGGTTGGTTTCTGGGTTCATGGGGATGGGGTGGCTTTCCTCGAGCACGACGGCGGTGTCGGTCTCGTACGAGTCCATGGCGGGGTCGATGCGGACAGCGAAGATGTGTTGGTGGTTCTGCGCCAATACTCCCGGGTTCACGATGTTGCCGTACGCTGACGTCTTACCCTCGTCGATTGGTACCACGCTGACAATACCCGTGGCGCGTGTCTCGAACGTGATACCTCCTGCTGTGTCCAGCTTATACGCGAACACGTATTCGTAGTTAGCTAGCGTAGCAACGAATTGCACGACTAGCTCGCGCATGCGGGTCACCACCGCGCGATTTGTACGGAAGTTGGTGTGCTTCCAGCCGATGCCGTTATCCTGCTCGTGCAAGCAGATGACGTTCTTCGCCAAGTCCGGCTTTCCCTCTGGATCTGTCATCACCGAGTCGAAGTAGTGGATCGCACCTAGACAGTCGCATCCTAGCTTAAGGTTATTGGCTGCACGTCCAATACCACCGTCGCCAAAGTCGAAGGCTTGCTTGCGGTGGAACGGTGGGCGCGGGTCGCCGTACGGGACGGTCATTTCGGAGAAAGACAATCGATACATCACAGGACGGTTGTCATAGCACACATCATGAAGCACAGCGCCTTCTCGGAGCGTGAACCCGACGCGGAATCGCCACTTCTGCCACTCTACCAAATTGTCGCCGTGGACCTTGAAGGACGCACCCTCAGGCTGGGTGATATTGATGGGTTTCATGTCAGTGCGGAAAGGTATGTCCAATAGTTCCGGCACGTATTCTGCCGAGCTATTGTTCCCGAAGAGTGGCTTGGGAGTGCTTGAAATAGCTTCTGGATATAGACTGTCACCACGTCCTCCAGTAGCGAGGCGGTCCACTCTCACCAGCTTTTTCGTAGCGACATCCATAATTGGAATTATGGGTAGAGGGTAAGCATAGTGATTTGAGTCGATATTGTTTTTAGATGAATCTCGGGCGTAAACCAGACCCTGCATAGTACGAGGAATGTCCTCATCAGGGTCTGGGCCGCCATATGGCCACGGATCTATCGTAATAGCAAAATTCTCTGGTATAGTGAACTCTTCCAGAGCCGACTTGAATAAGTCCGATGAGACGCAGGCTTCTTGGAATTTGCCGAACTCCTGCGAAGTGAAGCTGGTCTGGCAACGAAACTCATGCTCCTTAATGCTTGGAATGGTGCCAGCGTTGATGTCGACAACCGTTTCATGAAGCTGGGCTTTACCATCCTTGATGACGTCGTACATTAGATGGACCTCTCTGGGCGGGATGGACTCAGGCACCCGACCTTCATGTTCGGCGGCGAGAAAGACGGTTAGATCTTCCCTCTTTGGCTCGTTAAAGATAGCCGAGCGAAAGAAAAAAGCGACACCATCGCCACCTTGAGCCTTGATGACGATATCCCGAGCTTTGGACAGCTCGTCGGGAGTGAGGGGTCGAAGGGGGTGAGGTATAGTAGATATTTTATCGGCCGCCATGATGTCTGGAATTTCTCGTTGTGATACTTTTTCCAATTCTCCTTTTTGGGGATCTTGCTTGGCTTATATATGTATTCTCGGTGTCGAGCTAGTTGTCTATCTTGGTAGATATCAAGTAGGCTACCTATTATCTAAGGTGACAAAGACGGAGGCTAGTCCACGATAAGGGGGTTGCTAGGGGTTGCTAAAGATGGCTAGGGGTTTGCTAGGAACGTGGTTGATAATATTACTAATTCGACTAGATAACAAGGCAGATGAACCCCAGCCCGAGCTCTACCCAATTTATATACCTTACCCTGGAAATCTGGAAATCCGGAAGGGCTCGGGCACAATCAGGAATAGATAGTGATTGGATGCTAAGTACGGCTAGTCTAAGGAGGAGATATGCAAGTATGTGCAAGTAGGCGTATGTGATCTTCAGTCGGGTTCGGTACCCTGACGAACAGGCATTGTCTTAGATCAGAAGACCGTCACCCGGACCGGGAACGGTGCAACGGTACAGGCGGTGCGGGCGAGGGTGGGGTAGTAGGGGGTAGTAAGGGTAGTAGGGGTTGTAGGGGTTGTAGGGGTAGTAAGATGTTGTAGGGGTTAAAAAAGAGGGTTAGGGGGCTAGGGAGTTAGATAATCATCTTTATTTGGTCTCATACGTTGATGTCGATATGCAACTTCCATCCATGCTGCCATATCTCTTCACTCATTCGTACTTACCTTCAATTGAAGTGGGGTCGATCGGACTTTTTCCTCGCTCGACCTTGCCCAAACTTAACCCAAGGCACCAAGGTCCCAAGCTTTACCTAGTTCACCCTCTTTTTATTTCTTGAGGTAAGTAGTAACCTGCGTGACGTTCACCGGGTCCTTCTGATAAAGCCCGATAGCCTGATACGTTATCATTAGGAAGCTATAAGCGTCAGAAGCTCTCATTTGGGAAAGTCCTTGCGAACTTCTTAATTCTCCTCTCACATTGTCCATCGCCCCATTGCCGGCATCCCGCTTAGATCGGTTGACAGTGATGGTCTATGGACTCTAATGGACCTACCTAATATTCGCCAAGCCGCCTTGGCCTTTGAAATTTAAGTTTTCCAGCAGATGGGCGAGTCGCACATGGCGACAATCTGCATTGGAGATCAAACGCGGAACGCAACCTACTTACCGGTAGTTTAGAAGACTACTTAATTAGGTATTCATACGCTACCACCGTGGTCCAAATCACGTAGGCCTCCCACGCATCACCCACCTTCTTAACCCACCAACCCACCAAATCCACCAAATCCACCAAACCCCTCCAACCCCTCCAACGACCAAGCCACCCCCCAGGGAACACGAGGGAACCAGCAAGGGCCGAAGATGGAGGGAGGCGGATTCGTAGATTTGACTGCCGAGTCCGCCCGATTCAGGCTTGCACGCTGGGAAATGCTGGGAAAAGCCGGGTTGACTTACCAATGATCGACCCCTAATGCATTTCGACCCCAGCTTATCACCATGTATTCAGCCGCATGTGTGCGTAGGTGTATGTGTGCGACCATCCAGACAGCGACGGCCATCCAGGGACGTATAGACCGAGACGTGTATTATGCATGGTCTCCATTGCAGACAGCCCATATATAAGGTGCATGATATATCACGCATTTTCTACATCTCAGGTACCGTCCGTACTTGCGACGAGTCAGTTTTGGAGTAATCATTACCTATGGGCGTCGAACTCATCATGAGGGAATAGCTGCTGCCGTCGCCTCGGTACCAAGCTCCAAACCTCCCAAGCCTCCAACAGACGTCGGACTTTTGTCTGACGCGCTGAACCACCCCCCCGAAATGTGTAAAAGATTATTCCATCGCGAAATCCGTGTGGTTGTACTCGTCAGGATTCGGCCGTCGCAAACGTGATTGGTGTGAGTGCGTGCCTATCTCGACAGCTGACAGCTACCAGTTACCTAAGACACCACGATGATACCGTCTCCTATCCGGCCGTGGTAGAGTGTGTTAGGAATATGTAGCCGACGAGGGAACCTAGAGCCATGGGAGGCTCTGCCTTCGTTGCAGACGCGCGTGTTGCTAGACCACTTCCTAATCCAGCAATAGACCACGTTGCGGAGTACCTACATGATTACCCCAGGGTAGGGTCCAAGGGTCTAAGGGCCCCATTAGTGGGATGCAGGGTGGCTTTAAAGCTGCAAGTATACTGGAAGTCGCCGAGACATACGTCGCAATAGGACTATTCCGCTTTTTCCGATTCTTGGAATCTTCATCCGCCCGCGGAAACTCCTTCGGCACGTACTCATTCTAAGTAGGCAGGGGACTTTTGGGTTTAGTTGGTGGGATGTGGGATAGTTGATGGGATGGCCGATGGGATGACGGATGGGATTGTGGATGAATATTAATCGTGAGACTGTAGGACTCGGTCGTGATGCTACTGGGTTTGAATGAAATGATGTGGAAATGAGGGGAATTTGGGGGGGCCTAGAAGAGGGGGCGCTTTCTATGGCATAAATGCCGTCCTTCATCTCACGTTACGTGCAGCCAGATAAGACAAACGACTCGAATATTGCGAATAGCGGCGGGCGATTATACTAAACTGGCTACTCGAAGTTTTGCTAAATAGGTCATATTTTGCGAAAAATGACTAGCTCACAGATTATTTGGACGAGGAAGATTGTTGAAGTTATTAGATAAACAATTGACAAACACCAACTAATCTCACTCCCAGCTATATATAAAGGGTATCTTTTTTCCACAAATCACTCCAAAATCACAAACACTTCTCTACAAAATAGCATCTCCTCTCTCTACTCCTTTTCACTCGTCTCCGTCTTAGGCGGCTCGTTTACCACCGGGGGCGTCTCTTCCCCTGACGCCGCCTTGCCGTCGATAGCCACCGCTTCGTTTTCTGCATGAATGGCCTTAATGTGCTTCTTGCCTGACAAATCAAGGACGATGGCCTTGAATGTCCTCGCAAGAGTCTGCCGTCCTTCATAAACGGGGAACAGTCCAACAGCGCCAAGAGAGCAGAAGATCCAGATAATGCCTACGGTGACCCAGCCTGTGAAGAAAGGCTTGGAGAACACGTAGCTGCTGCCGTACATGGGGAAGGGCCACAGAATCAGGAAGGCGAGCGTTAGTCCCACAGTTGTCCATTTGGAGATTTTGCTAGCGCGCATCAGTTTTGACTGCTCATCAGCGAATTCGTTTGCTGTCTCCTCGTGTCCGCCAACTGTCTGCTCTAGATCCACGCCCGCCGTGGTGGCGAGGTCGTGGTCGTCACCCCTACGAATGGCCATCATCGACTTCCAGTCGTAATTGTCCATTCCGAAAATGAGGGTAAAGATGGGAATGAGAACAAGAGGGGAAAGGAGTGCGACAACGTTTCCTGCAAGCATAGGGTTGTTAGAGCCCGTGCATGCCACGTCCAAAGAACCGCATTCCTTCCTAGCAGTGACGAGCCACGCGATCAAGGCAAAGGCGAGTCCAAAGATCGGAGATAGAGATGCGGCCCACTTGTTCTGTCCCTTCCAAACCAAGGTCAAGGTCGCAGGTATCACGGCCGATGAAATGATGCAGCCCATCATTAGATAAAGGTAGCCCATTGAAATCCCTGCATAATAGAGACCAACGGAGAACGAGGAGATGAACAGGGCATATAACACAACCACAACATGAGACATATAGATTAGGCGCCGACCGCTGGCATCTGGCTTGAAGTAAGTTCGGTAGAGATCGTAAGTCGCGATAGAAGAAACGGCGATCAGTTCCGACGAAGTGGCCGAAGTAACAGCCATGAAGATAATAAGAAGCGTCGCGACCGCACCCCCTTTTCCTAGCAGAGCAACGGCGGCGTATGGCAGCACAAGTCCAGCTGATACATCCGCCTCAGACATACGGTTAGGGTACGTCGGAAATGCCGGGGTCCCTTCGAGGGCTATGGCAGATAGACCCATGGTGGTAGCAGTCAACCAAGGAATTGCAAACCAACTAAGACCACCGATAATGTAACCAGGGAGGGCATGGACAGGCGAGGCAGCGATAGCCTTGTTGTAGTATCCGTTGTCGAGGAACACAGTTCCGAAGTTACCAACAATGTTGATCACGAAGAAAATGACACCTTCTTTCGAGCGCATAGTCAAGTAACTGCCTTCGGCATTTCCTTCAACCGGATGATTGAAAGCAGCTTCGACGAGCAGATCATAAACAGCCGATGGGGAACCAAGTCTGTCAGACGAGGCATAGGCAGTCAATGAAAAGATGATAATGATAACGAGTAGGATGAAGGTGTGGATCCAATCAGTCAAGATCGTCGCCTTCAAGCCACCGACCATGGTGTACGCGATGACGCCGACGGGAAGAAGGTATATAGCCGCGATAGTGTGCATTCCAGTGAGAGCGCTCACTGTTGCCGCACCACCAACAACCAACATAAGACTGACGAGTATATTGGTTACAAGACCAAATACCATAAAGACGATGTGGGCGATTGTTCCATAGCGAGCCTTGATTCTGTGCATGCTGTGAGCTTCGGGTTCATCGTTAGGTACAGTTACGGTCAGCGTAATGAACTTACACCTCGAGGAATGTATGCGCATTGGGGGCGCGTCGCTTTAGCTCAATGGCTAATGTCGCAAAAAGAAGAATCTGAACAGTTGCTCCAGACGCGTACCAAAAGGGGCCAGAAACACCATATCTGTAACAGACACCAGAACTTTGTAGAAGCGTAGCAGCCCATGTCCATGAAGAAACAACAGCAGATCCGACCAAGCCACTCTTCACTGTGCGACCGGCAGTAGTAAACATTTCGGAAGTCTGGAGTTCTGAATTATATCGCTTGAGGATAAAGGTAACTAGGATCTAATATCATAATGAGTAAGTGACCATCGCGACCAAGCTATAGCAATTTGTGTAGGTGGACGAGGCGTGACTTACCATTCCGAGGGCAAATGCAAAGCCCAAGCCGAGAACGATGCCATATCCGACACCCTGATCCAAGGGCGCGGCGATCGTCGTTTCTGCCATCTTGCCTTTCTGCTATAGTGAAAACTTCAGACTGTGAAGTTACCGACTAAAAGAATTGTTGATTAGGCGAGGCTAGAGTAACACGACCGTAACACACCAACCTGGAAGGCAAGGGACTGGCGGGGGTTATATACCTAGACGCATGTATGGGCGCTCATCTTATGTATAATATATATTTTGCTTATCAGTAAGATACCTAGCTCTGCGCTCGAGGCTCTCCATACAAACCCCAGGTTGGACGAGATTGGCGTTCTGATATCGCTGGCTTTGTGCCGAACCAACCCCCGCATGCAGGGTCTTACCTAGAACCATGATGTCTCATTGAACATGGCAATTCTTGATAAGTGAACCTATCACGTTCCAGGCCAGACGGCTGGTAGCGTCAAGGTATTACTGCAGTGAGATCCATTGCAACTCTCGGAACTGTAATTTCTCATCAAGAAGAGCCTTAAAGCTTTGATTTTGAGTTTAGTCAACTTATTCCCGAAAGCTTGGGTAAGGACTTGCTTGATAGACTTCCACAGTGACAACTCATGTGGCTTACACGCGAGGCATCGCACAAGCTGTAAGCTGCAAATACCTAGACCAATAGCTTGACCATGGAAGCATACTCGCACGAAAGGATCCGAGCTGTAGGTATGGAAGTAGGTATTCTCTATACCCACAACATACCAAGATGATAAGAGTTGCAAATAGAATTGCAAGGTCAAATCCAAGACAAAAGGAAACCAGGGTCGAGAGGGTAGAGATCAACGAGGTTGTAAATCCGTGACCCCCATGAACGTGTAAGCGGAAACTTATCAGAAAGGGATTGACCAATCACAGAACTTACATTTTAGTCGACGAGATAAGAAAACTGTGGAGAAATCTAATATTCCGCGACCAGGGCAACCATCTGGCAGGGACCAAGGCAACCAGGCTTTCAACGTTAAACTTTGTTTTTATTAAACTTTTTTTCTATCTTGTGTCATAGAAGGTGAGACAGGAAACAAATTTGTCCGATTGGATAATCTCAAACAGAATCTTTGAGTAAATGCCGGGGATACTGGATTTACGTCAGAGTGTTTCGTTCTGATTCAACTTATCGGTCTCCTGTCTTTCCCTCTTGCTCAGCAGGATCGATTGATGCGATTAGCTCGATACCACGTTATGATATGGCAAGCTTTTCATTGGAAATTAAGTTTGTTAATATCCGTATCTCTCGTAATTTCATACGAGATCAACAACATGAAGCTAAAGTCATTAGTCCATTCCTAGCATTATTATCTTCTACATGTGAAAAATCTTATATTAACCAGCACGTGTTTGGATTCAATATGGTAATCCTGGATCATCCGAGGAGATAAAAAAGACTCCACAATACCACCCAATTATACTCAAATAGGTAAGAGCCGTGAATCATTAAGCAAACGATAGAGAATGCAGCCTCTCATTGGACATACCATTCATGCATCCCACACTTTGTACGTTCATACTTATTGCTTCTTAAGTCTAGTACTTTCATCATCAGATGAGTCATCATGATGCATTGGTTTCGTGGTGTAGTTGGTTATCACGTCAGTCTAACACACTGAAGGTCTCCAGTTCGAGCCTGGACGAAATCATATTTTTTCCATTTCACGCATCGTGAGCCATCCCTTTCACTTCGGTTTGTTGGCTTTTTTTTTTCTAAGTTAAGCTAGCTATCATGTAAATACAATCGGATTGATAGAGACTATTCAACCCATCAACCTTGTTACACGTGTCTGCTCATCGCCTCAGATATAATATTTTCTATTTGCATGATCCCTCCATCTCTATCTTGGTAATCTACCTAGTGACCCTCTTTTATCGTATCCTTTCTTCCCTTCGAGTTCAAATGATCTCAAGCTGAATTTGGGATGTAATGTCCGAAATTCGTAGACACCACCTATCATCGCATATTTTACCTTGAGGGTTCCAGTCCATAAGGTCCTGTTTTTTGATAACTCTGGGAACAGGGCACACAAAGGGCCTCATCTGTATGTATACCGTGTTATCAGCAGTGAAAGTAGTGTTGAGTTCCTCGCGACAGGGGTAATTGTCATTACTTCACAAAGTAAATTCCTATGAATATCACTTAGGTAGCTAACAAGGCAAGGAGGTCATTGATAATAAGGACTTCAAAACTTCATGAGGAAAAGGAGAGTTCAAAGATATGTAGTTGGACAAGAGCTATCGAGGTACATGTAATGGATCAATAGCACTATCCAAGCCAGAATAGAAAGCTCGTAGAAGTTTCTTGTTACTCTTGATACATGAATCATTGGATTACATACCTAGGTAGGTAGGTAGTTATCCAACAGTGGAAATCCATGCGTCATTTCTAATGAGTACGAGTGCCAACATCCTCTAGTACATATATCTGGCCATACAAGTCCGTCACATTGATAAATAGGCGCAATGCTTCCACCAACTCGCTACCTCCTAACTCCTCTTCCAGAAGTTTCATTGCCATATCTAGCCCGCGCCGCTCATATTCAGCGATCCATAACAGCTCTGCCTTAGCAGTGTCGTGTTTCCTCGGTGTATTCATTGTCTTTCCCGCATGAAAAAAAAACTCTGGGAAGTTCACCGAGTTGAGAGACGCCTCTTCGGCATCGCGCCGCACGGATCCAAGGTCATTGTACATGCGACATAGACTTGCGAGATGCCGGCATGTATCCTCGGCTAGATAGGCAGTACGCGCCGAGGCCAAGATTCCGCCATGGGCTTGGGATACTTGGGGCGACGCGGCGTAGACGAGGCAATTGAAGAAGATGAATGAAAAGGGACAGGATGTGTGGTCGGCGGAGGTACTGCGCACCCAATGATAAAAGGACCTTCCTGGTTTGCGGTATTGTAAGCGCGATGTTCTACGGGAATTCTCATTTCGGTTTCCTTGAGTGTAGAGACCGTTGGTATGCTTAGAGCACCACTGTGCAGAGAGGCGATGGTTATCTTCGGCGTGCGTTATGTGGGCAAGGAGGAACGTTTGCAGTTCGAAAGCCAATTGCCCCTGGAGGGTTTCGGGGCTTGACAATACTGCTGGGTGCTGGAGAATTTGTGCGGTAAACCGACGGAGCACAGTTCTGACACCCTCTATGGAGGGCGAGCCGTCTTCCTGGCCATGAAGCTGATTACTCTCCGTTGTTTCTGTTTCGTGATTGCCGTTAGAGACCTGGAAGCCATTTGGAGCCTGGGATATCGCATTGACTCCACTATGGCTATTGGTTGCTCCGTCGTGGGGATAGGGGCCATTTTTGGTCACAACTTGCCGGACAATGTTACGAATAACATCTAAATTGCCCTTGAAGTACCTTTCGACGATCCCTTCCATGTATTCATCCGCATGGAAGTTCAAGATGGATAGTACCATCATTTCATACAACACTAAGGGGCTAGCTTGACAGCCATCCAGCTGCGCGCAGATAAGCAAAGCAAGTGGTATGATAAACATGTACTTGTCCTTCCCTTTGGCTGTCCGAGGGAATATATTTGGTGGCTGGCGTTGAAGAGCCTGAATAGCAAAACTTGCCTGTATCTCGCAAACACGTAATAGATATGGCTCAACTTTAGAAAGTAGAGGTGTGCGTGCTAAGAGGTTGCTGCACTTTCTCATACCGAGCAATAGCTTGTCCACGATTAGGAATTCAGGACATCGGGACGAGGTTGGTTTCTCAGGTTGTACTGTTAACGGCAAGGTAACTAATGCAGAGAGACAGTACGCTTCGCTGAGCACACCTGAGCTATACGTTACCTTCTCTGTCCACAAATAATGGCCTTTGCCCCATTCGCTTCTGTTCGTGTGAAGGAATGATTTTCCTAAAGCTAGAGCAGCGATCATTTTACCCTTCTCGAGCTGTTGGACAAAGGGTAATTTTACCAACGATGATAAAGCCAAGACGCCGTAGGCTGTTACTTCGCAGATTCCGCCCCAAGAGCCATCCTTCCGTTGAGTGCGTAGTATTCGCATTAATATATGCAGAGATATCATGGATATCTCTTCGTGTAATCTAGGAGTGGTGTCGTAAACCCTTAGGGCTATATCGTAGTGTTGAAAAAGAAGTTCAAAGGCCCGAGCTAAGAGCATCATCCAATATAGCTCGTTTGAATGCTTCAAAGGCATGAGTTAGTATACCAAGGAACTCGAAGGCAATTAGGTAGGATATAGCACTAGTCTCACCCATTTTTCATTCACAACCCCCCTGAAGACCTCGTTTGTCAAGAATCGGGTGGCTTTGACTATCTGCGCCAAATGTTGAGCCCGATCTTCCCGTACCAAGAGAAGTATAAGCACATTGCAATTTGCGCTAAAACTTGGGTTACGTTCCCCTGGATATGTTATGAAATTGTCGCTGCTTTCGAACGCTCTGATGAGGCCTTCAATGTTGTTATCTTGTTGGCCGAGATAGTAGAGAGCTTTGAGTCCTCTGGCCGTGTCATCTGCATCGGGGAGTGTTCCTTGCGCTTTTTACTGATTATTAGTTGATCTACTGGACTGGGGAATCGGAACCAGATGTCTTACAGAACCCAAGAACACCTTTCTGTGTTCTAAGGGTTTCTTGAAGTAGGCGACAGAAGGCTGATGTCTCTGACTTGTCTATGGATACGCCAGCCGATGCTAACGTGCTGATAACCTAATGTTGGAAACACCCCCTTAAATATCAGTATCTGGTACGGGTGTGTATATGGTTTATACGCACCCAGCTAACTTCAAATATAGTTGTCGGCCATGCGCAGGGCACGCCGCCACTACCGAGATTATTCGGTCGATGTAGAACGTTCCTCAGATACAACTCAGCCTCATCGACCCAAGATGAGGTGTTCATTAAGTATGCAGCTGTAGAGCTATGATAGTGAGTAACAAGACCAAAGGATGTGGCATCGGAACATACGCTGGAGATGCCATCATCGACCCATTCGCGTCTCGCCAGTGATGAAGGGAATCAAAGTCGATATGGCCGATGAATGCCTCGAGGGAGTGATAGAGGGTAGATGGAGTCTGACACAGTGTCGAGAGCGGTAATCTTGCTAATTTAGCATCGCGTAGAGATCTCAAGACGCCAAGTTGTGGGAAAACAAAGGAGATGCCTTCTTGCTCAAGAAGATCCAAGAGCGAAACAACTAAGAGTTCAAAGCCCACTTGATCAGTCGAGTGCACGTCCCAGACATTCAACATCTGTCTCAAGGCTGCTTCAGCCTTCTGAATTCTAAATGATAAGTTGTGATTATCAGGCTTTATTTGCGAGTGTTTCTTCAATGAAAGTAATGCTGCAGCGGTGTTTAAAATGCCATCAGTGAGCGTAGCATAAGACTCCCAAGCGCCCGTGGGAAGCTGTTGGGCCAAGATAAAGTCAAAGCACTCTGTAAACAGCCACTCGCCATCCGGGCATGAAGCAGTAGGCTTCCGTATCATTGAGAGCCAGGCCGTATCATTGAGAGCCAGGCCGTATCATACACCGACGTTGACATGGTGCCGAAGCCTTCGCTCGTCGAGCACTGTGCTGCTAGATTAAAGAGGAGGGCTTTTGCTTGGTTAAGCAATGAAATATCCATGGCTTCTGACGAGGCTCTACCTCAAGAGTGTACGATAAAATTTACAGGATGAGGGGAGTGTAGATGGTCCTACCTAATGCTAGATTACTATACATTACGCCAACTAAACACTTATATCCAAGCAGCTCCCCCTGTATTCTCCTTTTCGGGGAGAAGTTATCGTGACCGGTCAGCCTACATTAGATACCTAGGTACCTACCTCCTCGAAATTGCTCACGTTGGAGATGTTTAGGATATGTAGGCAGAGGTTGGTGATGCACATTAATGTATCGACGTTCTAAGATTATTGTCACTTTCGGTGTATACATACGTACCAATATAAGTACCTAGGTAGTAACTGGTACCTACGTGTAGAAGTACCTGTAGGTTACCTTCCAGGAACGTACCTAGGTACACTACCTAGTAGGCTTATGACCTGTCATACTTACCTACATGTAGGTACCTAGGTACCTAGGGTAATACAACATTGAAGCAACAGATGCATATTAATAAAATTTCCCTTGCATTTAACAACTTCGTTTGTCTTTGTCTGGAAATGACCGCCTAGGATTAGGCTGTAGCCTGCCTTGAAAAAAAAAGAAATCAAGAATAAGAACTATCTTGTTGCCCAAGTTCGATTTATCAGCTTGGAGTTCAACATCTGCCACGATTCACACAAGACAGCCACTGCAGATCAAGATGGCAACCAACCCACCCAAGCCGATTCGCGTATGGATTACTCGTAAGTTCTCTCCCATATTGTTATTTTCGAGGTAGTGACGCTGACCACATGGCCTCCAGCTCCTGGACCTAACCCGTGGAAGGTAAACGATCACTGATGTTCCCTTTTCTCCCTACGAGCACAGATCGTGCTAAGTCTCTTGAAGGCCGTCTTCTTATTCGAAGAGCTTGGATTAAACTATGAGATCAAGTCCTTCCGCTTCGATGATGTCAAGAAGCCGCCATTCATCAACATCAACCCGAATGGCCGCGTCCCCGCGATTGAGGACCCCAATACAAACCTTACATTATGGGAGTCGGGCGCTATTTACCAGTACCTTATCGAGCAGTACGACACAGATAATCGTCTGTCATACATGTCCATCAACGAGAGACACCTATGCAATCAGTGGCTTCACTTCCAGATGAGCGGCCAGGGTCCCTATTGGGGCCAATGCGGTTGGTTCCAACATCTACACTCAGAGAAGATCCCATCGGCAGTTGAGCGTTACGCCAACGAGATCAAGCGTGTTCTCGGAGTGATCGAGGGTGTGCTAGCTGCTAAGCCCGCGAACGCTCAGTGGCTCGTCGGCGACAAGATGACGTTCGCTGACATGGCCTGGGCCCCCTGGAACTTTCGTCTCATCGAGGTGCTTGTGAAATCGTGGGATGAGGTGTGGGAAGGTTTTCCACACGTCCGCGCCTGGCATGAGAAGATGATTGAGCTCCCCTCGTGGAAACGGTGTATGGAGCATCGCGCGCGTCTCATGGATGAGCAGGGTCTTCAGTGGAATGGGGTTCCGAAGGGCATCGAGACTTTTACTGAGTATGAAAACAAGATTGCCGCCGGCGACGATACTACACCGAAGTAAATGGTTTACATCCTTTAGATATCGCGATGAGGCATAGTTAGTTGAATAGTACCTACGTATGATTAAATAAACTCGGTATGATCTATAACACACTGAGAGTCTGTTTTGGGGCATACATAAGTCAACTGAAACTTATGGGTTTATAGTGGGCCTTCAGCAGTAGACTTGTCTCCACTATAATTCTGCTGGTGGAGCGTCCCACAGTACCTAATTTCTCAGCCAATCAAATCTGTTTAAAAAATTTATGCTCATTGAATTTTCATAAGCACCTCTTGAGGTGTTTATTTCGACTTATTATTCATGTTTATAGCGCATTAAGCCCTAAAAGGCGCTATATTTATTAGGGCACATAGCGATAATATGCGCTATTATTACAGGGAGCTTACAGGCGTTAAAATATAGCGCATTTAGTAACTAAAACTGCCCTGTAATTACAGCGTGTATTGGTTAGGTACCTACCTAAGCAAAGTGATTGAGCTGTTCTGTTGATTGAACTGTTGATTGAACTGAACTGATGGAACTGTTAGAAGGTTTATGAAACTATTCATAACTTCGACGGGCCGACAACGTTGTGAATAGCTTCATGTAAATCTTCAGATAAGTCAGACCATAAACACAAAAGAGCTGATTAATACGGAGAATCGCGTTGATTGGTTTAAATACTAATGGAGAATGTTCCATAATTCAACCCGAATTCTGCAGACTTATGTACTACTTTTGTTCCAAATATTTATACGTACAAGTATCTACTTAAGTCTATCCCTTACATGTCCAGTCCGTCGGAAAATTAAGCGGGTAGAAGTAAGCCCCCTGTATTCAGGGGGTACATGTGTGGGTACTATCTTCGAACGAGTACTTGATCTTCCAATCAACAGAATATAATAATCATATCCTGCTTCTAAATTATCATTGTCTATAAAAGTTAACAGCCCTATTATTGTTGTCCTGTATCACACCGCATCATCTTGATCCGAGGTCATCTTTTCATTGCTATTTGTCGCAGGAGTCGGAGTTTGCTTGCTCTTTGTTGAGATCCATTTGCAGCCAAGTAGAATCAAGAATGTAAGAACTGGTGTTACTGCTGGGATGTACTGTCCGGAGTTAGCTTGCGTGTTCGGATACGAAGTTTTTGGGGAAGAGTGCTTACGAAAACTTGCGTGATAGACAAGCTATATTTCTGAATCACTGCCGGTAGATCAGAAGCACTCACAAGTGTCTGGATGTTAGTAACTCCAGAGTTAATGATCTCTTCCACTGTATCATTAGATACTATGGCCCCAAGATTCACTTGAAGTCGTTTCTGAAATAGGGTTTGTCCGATAGCCATAAAAATGGCACAGCTAGTTGAAATGATGGATAAAAGAGTAGAGGAACCAAGCGGGACAAGATCTTGCGGCAGTGAGGACTGCATCGCGATATGAGACTGGGAAACTAGATATTAGTAAAAGATCGTCGCAAACATAGGTATGTAGATGACCTACAAGATTAGTCGCTAATGAGTAGCCGATACCTCCGAAGATCTGGTATCCTACCCAATGGGCTCCGGAGATATCAGGGTAGATAGTTGTAAGTAGCCCACCGCCAATACAAACCATAGCTGCAGCGAAAAGCAGGAACGGGTTCCACCAACCCATTTGCGTGACCATCGCCGAGCCTATGAAAGCCGCAAGCACATCTGAAATTACCGTGGGAAAGAAGTTGATCCCACTGCTAATGGGGGAGGACCCCAAGACTCCTTGGAACCAAACCGGAAGATAGTAAATGATGATCTGAAATGGGCCATTGATAAAAAAGGAGGCAGTACACAGTAATGCCGGGTTTCGATTTATGGTGAATAGTCGCGGGGGAATCAGAGCGTCTTCTCCTTTCCAGTAGGTCCAACCCACGAAAAGAATCATGACTACGCCGAAGCCTACAAACAGGCCAATAACGACCGACGACGACCACGCATACTGAACGCCGCCCCACTGAAGTGCCAGCAGAAGCATAGAAACAGACCCTGCGAAAAAAGCGAAGCCAAGAATGTCAAGACTTTGCACCTTTTCCCATGCGGTCTTATCCTCGGTCTTTGTGCGCTTAATATGAACGAAGAGGAAGAATATGATGGCAGCAGCACCACCGATCGGTAACTATCATCCTCATCAACATTACTCCCCATTGCAGGGGGTGGGTTATGACCATACGTTGATATAGAAGCACCATCTCCAAGTAACATTCTGAGTTAGAGCGCCAGCTATGACAGGGCCTATAATACTCGCGATGGAAAACGTCGATCCCATGGCACCAGCCCACACCGCGCGTTTATGTAGTGGGATAATGGTGGTAATGATGGTAAACCCACCAGCGAGGACCCCTGAAGCCCCGAATCCGGTGACAACGCGACCGGCAATGAGAGCGCGTGAAGATGGCGATAACGCGCATACAAGACTGCCTAGCTCAAACACGAATAGGTAGACCAAATACGAAAGCTTCTTCGGGAACAATGTGTACGTCTTGCCAGCGAGGGGCTGGCTCGCGCACATGGCTACCATGAAGGCGGCGCTATACCAGCCGATGTCGCGCGTCGAGTTGAATTCGCTTGTGATGACGGGAACGGCCGTGGCAAGGAGATTGTAGTCCTAAAACTTTCAGCGAGAATGTTTCCCAGTCAACGCCGAGATCGAGTCTTACCAGCCCGATCAGAAAGGTGCAGAGACAGATCGATATGTGAATCAGGAGCAAGCGCACTCCCTGTACCTCGTTGGCGGGATCGATGTCTTCGCTGATGTCGGTTTTCGCGACACCCTGACTAAGAGATGGTGTTTGGCCCTTGGTTTCCGCTGTGACTGTGACGGGTACCACAACGGGAGGACTGCTAGAGTCCATGCTTCTCACGCTGCCCATGTTGCCTATGTTGTTGATGCTGTAGTGATGGTAATACTGTCATACTACATGAAGGTGGTGGGAGAGCTGAGGTCGAAGCGGAGGGCATCCATAAATTCGCTTGCAAAGATTTCGAGTTCAGAAATTGCCGACTCGTGGCCTTGCAGATTTGGATGAAATTTCCGAAGTCCATAATCAGGGGTTACACTACAGGCGGTAAAAGAATCGAGGCGTTGGTTATCACTTGAGGCTTTGTCGTCGCGATTAAACAACAGTACATACATGTAGGTATCTTTCAAGGCTGAGTACCTAGTACTTACTTTAGTATGTACCTACCTAGGTACCTATCTATTTCATAGACAAACTTTGATGCATCTCATGCAGTATGCATGCGGGTATGCGTGTAACGCTTATTGGACCCTTACCCCCTACCCTTACTGCCGTCATTCAACTACAAGAGCCTTATTGCTTTTTGATGTTGGAGCATGCTTCAAGGTTGCAATATAAGCCGCCAACGGTTTCATTTTCCTATCCGAATGCCAACATCCTACAAGGATATGGTATCTAGGTTCGATTCTTCATCCGTTAGAAGTGGCTGTTTTCATAGATAAGTAAATCTCGGTAAATCTCATTGGATAACTCAACCGGTTATCCACGTCAGATAATGCCGTTTACCTACGTGTAACAACCAAACGCCCTAAAGCCTTACACATCCAATGTTGTCTTTCAAGAAAAGGAAATAGTCGGTCCCGGACTGCTATGTTTATCTAGAACATGTTGTAAAATCACTTATGTTAGATCGCCCCACCACCCCGCTCATAACCTTAAATCTGCGGTCTGTGCGTTATTATACTAGACACTGTGCTGCCAGTACCGCTACCTACTAGGTAGTAGCCTAGCAAATACATCTTTTACTATTCTAACAATTTAGATTTATCAATATTTCAAAGGCGTGGCTGCGTGGCTGCATGGTTACACCAATAAAAACACCCACAATCTATCTCCCCAAAGTACCCACCCAGGGGTCTAGGGAATAACCTTGTTCAAAACGGGCACGCCCCTTTACTCTTCCGGCGTATAAGCATCTTATTCCAAGGCCAAGTAAAGAGAAATTCATGTACAGTGATATTCTTCGGCCGCTCAGCACCCGGCAAGAATTTGAATTCGTAATCAGTAAGTGCTTTGACAATGACCATTTTAACCACGACGCTTGCAAAGAAGCGACCCGGACAGGCTGTTTTGCCGTAGCCGAAGTTGAGAAAATTTAGCCCCGGAGACGAGAAGAGGTGATCATCAGTAGAGCCGGCCTCACTCTCACGCGCCGCGCGGTATGCACGCAGCCCGTCAAATGTCTCTGGGTTAGGAATCTTTGCCGGGTCATTCTCTATTGCATATACGGGCATGCAGGCATAGGTGCCGGCACGGATGTGCGTGCCGTCTTGAAAGGTGTACGACTCCTTGAACAGCCTCTTCATGCCTAGCGTGGTGGGGGGTGAAAGACGCTGAGACTCACGCATCACGCTGTCGAGCTTGCCTAGTGCATCGTACGGGTTGCCGTTATCATGCCAGCCACGTTCCACAACAGCCGCGATCTCATCCAGTAGTTCTACTTCTAGACCGGCGCCGGTTACGTCATAGAGCACGTTGACCATTCGCAGAAGAGTGGTGTGCACAGCTGCTAGGGCCACCATGACCAGTACGTGCCCCAAAGTATCCGCGCTGCGATCACGCCCCTTAGCGAGGCCGGTAAGCCAACTGAGTACGTTGAGATCCTCAACTTTGTCATCTTGCGGGTTCCAGGTACCCGCATTGTTCTTATCAAGAAGTTCCTGGATTTTAGGCGCCAAGAGCTTTTTGCCCTTACGAAGATGCCGCCAGCCCTCCCAATATGACGGGAGCAAGCGAGAAATAATGGGGTGCATCCATGTTGGAAAACAGCGCAGGACAACCACTGTTCTGAACACTGAGGGAAAAGTCAACTCGAGGTACAATGTTTCGGGGGCGTTTCATGGCCCGAGCTTACGATTTTCGGTGTACTCAACTGCGACGTGTAACCACTCTTTGTTATCACAGAACGCCGGTCCTACAATAACCTCGGCACCGACACGTGCGGAGATATATCTAAACGTATCGTAAGGATAGAACTCGGTCCAGTCCTCACTCTGTGGTATGTATTGAGAAAATGCTGCAGAGACCGCCTCCTCCATGCGTGGTAAGAGTAAAGGTAACCGCGGCGACAGCTTCCGCTGTACGATGGAGTGGTGAAGCCTATTCTCAAGAATCAAATCAATCCCCGTGAAGGAGCCCGTTAGGTCCTGGTTGAGCGCTGCTGTCGGCTCGGCAATGTGTGACGGTAGCCGGCTAACCTCCTCTAGTAGGGAGAGCGGCAAAACCATCATTTCACCCTCATTGCGGATCAGTTGGAACGCCGAGTTCTGGTTTTTCTCGTAACCCTCCTGTGAGAGCTCAGTTGCCTTCCAGGCATAAAGGAGGTTATGGATAAATTTAGGAGCATATGGAAATGGCTTTCCGACGAGAGGGTACTCCGCGTGCTTCCTAACAAGTTGTCTAGCTGACACTGCGTCCACTACGCAATAGGCGAGGAAGAGGAAAACTGAGACATAGCACAGATTCTCGACTGCGCCTCTCGATGGCGCTTCATTGAAAAAATGAAAATCCATGATAGCGAATATTGTCAGAATCTTGTTGCGTCGTAGGATCACTCCTTGATGAGCCGTCGGATTCTTAAAATAACGTATTGCGATGAAGGCAGCCTTACAGCGAGGAAATATTAACACTGTGCCTTGATATCACCCGTCTCCGTTGAAAACCCGGACCTTCATCCCTATCCGCGTATGTTGCTGTTCTCCGGTCTGGACCCTTGTATCGGGAGTATTATCACCTGCATGTAAGCGCTAGATTGACGGAGGTATGGAGCCGTTGGAGATGAGGCTTATTTGAAGTTAGGTACAAGGTAGGTAGGTAGGCTGCTTACGATAGGTAGTAGTTGGTTCCCCGGCATGTCGCGATAATGCATAGGTATGTGGGCAATTATAACAAAGCCTTGCTTTTCAAGATTGCAGCCTACATATGTGCTGCTTCAACGGAGTAGAATTAGGGCTGCTAAGGTCCTCGGAATTGCTCTTTCCAAGGAAAGTGAATATTAGCGAGAAGGGCGCTTGTGGCTGGCTGGCTGGCTTACGCCTCAAATCCCAGATGAGGTTTCAAGCATGCTCACCGGTATAGCAATGGATACGTACCTAAGTAGTGGCGGAGAGTCACTTGTAGGTTTTCCAATATTGCCTAGATACCTAATACCTACTAAGTATTCACAGCAGCCTGGTGCCTTGTTGATACCTAAGAAAGAAAAGTCATGTTGACAGCCAGTCGCTGTAATGCTTCTCAGTAAGCCAATCATAGGACTTAGTCCGTTAAGGTCTGCTAGAAGCTATAGGGATCCTGTTGGTTGCTAGCTCTAGGTAAGAGTACCTAGTTGTACTTAGTCGGGAACTCTTCGCGCAATATTGTCGTTGTTTCCATACCTTTTAGTTCCGCATCGTTCTAATCCTGGGAGTGATTTCCTATTTCAGCGCTAGGGCCGCAATTTTATTCGCTTAAGTGACTAAACCTTATATAGAGTTTGAACCTTACTCTTTTAGTAACTAGTGGGACTGGCCACCCTACCAAGACTTTTTAACTCAGGTACACATATTACGGAAAGGTCTAAGCTCGAGCCCTACCCTTTTTAAAACTATAGGTTTTTTAAAAATTCCTTCATACCTTTTACCCACCTACCAGCTACTCCAACCAACCAAAATACATTATATTAAAGCCATTTGCGTTGCAAGAAAGCGTTATAGCCCAGAAAATCATTCTGAAAAGAAACGTTACCCTCCAACCGTATCCTTATTATAATTTGAAATCGTTCTATCTACCCAGCGATTGACGCTGTGGTATAGATCCTGTTCTTCTAGTACCTTATACACCCGTAAAGACGTTGTAGAATACCTAGATAGGTACCTACTCTCTGTATACCAACACTTCGTTTGTGACAGAAATTTCATTTTGATGAATTGGCGGGACCATAGTCAGTGGTGCATCATCGCTGACTTTGCTGGATACCGATGCTTCCTGTTGTCTCTTGTCTGGCCAGTTCTCGAAATCCTGCAGCTCAACCTGTGACTCGGCTGCGTTGTTATCCCGTGGCACATTAGGAGCTGATCCCCGAGAACTCTTACGAGTATGGTTCGAGTTATTGCTTGCCAGACTCAAAATGCTTCGCACGCTGCGGACAATGGACTCGGGTGCACGACCTCCAGCTACCAAAGGTCCGTATGTGGGTAGGCATGAGGCTAGGATGGAGCAATTAGGCTCAAGCACCATGAAGATGTATTGTTTAGACTGGCTAGCTAGAAATCATCAACGTTAGATTACGTCCACGGTGAAGCCGATCAGGCGCTTGAACTTACCGACTTGATCTCTTGATGAGACTACCGAACGAATAGACTGGTCAAGTAACACGGTACGTACGATAGCGGCCACCACACAGAAGGCCCCAAGCCAGAAAATCAAAATTAGGGCAATCTTGCGCTCCGACTTCATATTGAGCCGTGATATCACTGGCAAGGGGAGACACAGGACAATAAGGTCCAGCGTGAAGCTGCTGGCCACCTGTCCGAGTCCTAGAGCTGTTGAGTCGAATCGAAAACGTACCGTAGTAAGAGGAAATGTGATAGGGTCGAGTTCGAGGAAGATAACAAAGAAAAAAACGAGGCACCAGAGACCAACGATGCCAATTGCTACCCACACGCATCTCTTAAATATCCGGGTCGAAAATATGCGCTTGTAGAAAATAAGTACAGCAATCTTGACTGCTGCGAGAGGGAATTGGACGTAACAAGACGAAATGAAAATCAACTGTATCCATCAATGACTGTAAGCGACCTCAAGCTTCAATTTTCAAACAGAAGTTGTCACATACCTCCAGGGAATATTCCGTTCCGGTGAGAAAATCGACATTGTAGTAATTGATTCCGGACTTAGCAGCATAGACCCAAACCAAGATACTAAGGACCAGAGTTAAGAACCAGGAGCCAATGACCCAATAGTCATCCGCATGAAGTGGCTGATGAGACTTCCGGTGGGCTAATATACGAAGCGCGACTGAGAGCGCCGATATAATTGGAAAGAGAATCGAGATGACGATTAAGCCAGTAGTGATAATAGAGGGATGGGGCGACGGCGGTAACTGATCCATGATCTCTATTGTTGTCAAACTTAATCTTGGGTATGATAGAGTAAAGATGCAGAGAAGGCTCGTGGTCAAGGTGAGGGGGGGGGTAGTCGCTATTTCTTACTGTCGCGATAAAATGGAGGCTCAATAGGTAGGTGAATAGGTACATACAATATGTCTTCGAACAGCAACGGGATGTGTAATACTAAGTCTCATGTAATAATATGCATAGAAACCTCCTACGACACCAATACACCCATTTTCTCTTTTGTGCGAGTCTAACTTTCGGTCAAGTCATTCATATTGATAGAGTGAAGCGTCTAGAGCCTTGTTGTCATTGTACCAGGCCATGATGCCTCTGCAGAGGGACCATAACGCTGCGACCTTGCATTAACTTGTGGAGGGTAGCTGCTACAGTTGGTTGCTTTGAGTGCAGCCCAATTTCCATCAAAGTGTGAGAATATATACATGTTGGAAGTTAGCTATGCCTCTGATTTGGTGATCATTTTCGATGTTACCTTCCATTGTTTGTCTTTAAATTGAATAAGTACCTACCTAGTACATACTTACTTACCTAGTACTTTGGTAAGCAGTTGGAGAAGCTGCTTGTCTAGCGCTACAAGTATTGGCTTATGACGCCTTTCCGCGCCTTCAATCCTGCGCTTTAATTAGGTGGGAAAAGGAGTAGGACGGCGGACCATAAGGACAAATCCGCCAACCCGCCAATTCAATTAATGTATTGAAAAGTATATTATATAAATATAGTGTATAATAAAAATACACTGTGTTTCGTAATTCAAGGATTAAAAGGCTTATAAATTATAATACGTATAAGTAAATATTTATTAAATAAATATAATAAGTTTTTTTATTTTTATAAAAATATTAAAAAAACAAGTATTTATTTAATAATATTATAATAATTATTAATTAAATTAAACTTTATTATATTTAAATATTTAATAAATAAATAAATATATAATTATTATTTATCGTAATATTAAAAATTATAATAATAAAAATAAATTAATTTAATTATTTTATTATATTATTTAAATTTTTAATTATATTAAAATAAGCGAAAATTTTTATATTTAAACGTAAAAAAAAAATAATTTAATATATTATTAATTTAAGTTTTAAATTATTATTAATTTAACGATTAATTAAGTAATTTTTCGAAAATAAGTAAATAAATAAAAAATATATTAAATATAAAAATAAAAAATTTTAATAATAACTTTTTAATAATAAAAAAAATAACTTTACGATTAACGAATAAAATATTAATTATTTAATGTTTTTTTTAAAAAATAAAACTTTATTTAATAAAGTTTTTTCGAACCCGGCTTTAATATTTTTTTTATTAACGTAATTTTTATTTATTTTTACTTTTATTTTTTATAATTATACTTTTATTTTTATTTTAATTTTTTAATAATTATAATTTTTTATTTTATTTTATATTTATTTAAATAATAAACGATCGTTCGTATATTTTTAATTTTCTTATTATTTACTTTATATAAATAATAATATAATTTTAATTTATTTCGGTTTAAAATATTTATATGTTTTTATATATTATTAAGAATTTTTCGAACGTTATTAAATGTAATTTAAATACGTTTTCGGTAAAAAACACGGTTTTTTTTCATTTTTATAACTCGAAATAATAATTAAAAAATTAAATCGCGGTATATTTTTAACGTTAATAAAAATTTATTAAATAAAATTAATATTATCGTTTATAATATCGTCATTATTATTATTATTATAATATAAAAAAAACGCGTTTAAATTAAAATATATAAAGTTTAAAAAATAATTATTATAATTAATTAAATTTTTTTCAAGTTTAAAATATATAAAATAATACATATAATTTCATGTTAAATTAAAAAACGTTATTTTTAATTAATTATATTTAATTAATTTTTAAAGTTAAATTTATATAAAAAAAATTATAATTTAATATATTATTATATTTAAATAAATTTTAATTTTTCCGTTTTATATTCGAATAATTTTATTTATATATATTAAATTTATTTATAATTAAAAATATTAATATTTTATAAAAAACGTAATTAAATAATATAACTTATATCGAGTTTTATTAAAACTTAATAATATTACGTAATAACGTATTATTAAAAAAAATACTTTAAATATATTATATAAAATTATAAATAAACGAACTTATAAAAATTAATATATTTATATAATTTTAACATTTAAAATATTAATTAATATAATATTAATATTATAAAAAATCTTTAAAAATAAAATATTTATTTATATAATGTTTATTATTTTTTAAAATAATTAAAACGATATATTAAATTTATTTATTTATATAATGTTTTATCGTTTATTAATAAACTTTTTATAATATTTAAACTTTAATAATTCCGATCGTTTATAGATATTATATTTAAAAATTAACGATTTTTTATTAATTTAAAAATTTAAAACATTACGGTTTTTACGTGGTTCGTTATTTCGATTTTTCTTTACGTTTATTAATTAAACGATTTTATTTTTTTAACGCGTTATTAAACCGTTTTTTCCGTTTTTAAAATTAATAATATTAATAAAAAATTAATTAATTTTTCGTTTTTTAATATTTATTTTAAGTTTTAATAAATGGTTTTTATAAAAAAATGTAAGAAAATTTTCGGTAAATACGTAATTATAATTATTATTATATTTTAAAGCGGTAATTATAATAACGGGGTTTATATTAATAATTAAATTTTAATTATTTAAAAAAGTTTTATTTTAAGTAATTAAACTTTATTACGATTTTAATAAAATAACGTTTTAAAAAGATTAAAATTAACGGGTAATTTTATTAAAAATGTTTTACGTTTCGTAAAAAACGAATAATATTTTTATATCGACGGTTCGTATTATATTTATAAAAATAAATGAGTTTTTTTTATTAAACGTAACCGGTTTTTTTCGTATAAATTTTTTTAAACTTTTTTTATTTATATTATTTATTCCCGGTTTTAAAAAAAAGTTAAATTATTTTTATCGTAAATTAAAAATATAAAAGTTTAAAAATTTATAATTTATAACGAACGATTTATTAATAAAATTAATTTATTAACGCATTATATAAATTACGAAACGCTCGGTTAATATAAAATTTTTTTAAAAAACATTAATAATAAATTAATAATAAAAATAATTTAATAAAACTTATAATTTTAAAACGTTTTAAAATAAAATTTTTCGAATTTTATTATCGCGTTATTTTAAAAATCGATAATAATAAGTTAAATTAATTTAAAATTTTTTTTTATAATATTCGATTTTTTATTAACGATAAAGTAAAGTTAAAATTTACATACGAATATGCCGGTTAACGTCGTATAAATTAACTTTTTTTATCGTTTTTAAAGAATAAATTATTTAAATTTTTTACCCGTTTTATAAGTGGAAATATAATAAAAACCGAAATACGAAAAATATAAAAATTACGGGAATTTACCGCGAATTATACGTGTAAAAATATATTAATTCGTTTTTTATATATAATTATAAAAATTTTAAAAATATTATTTTTAATATAAAACTTTAATTTATTTTAAAAATTTTTATTTTTTTTAAGTAAATTATTAATAATTATTTATTTATATTTAATAATATTTATTAACGAAATAATAATATAATATTTTTTTATTAATTAAAACTTTTTAATAAATTTAACGTAATAATTATATTTAAAAGTTTTTCGTTAATTAATTTAAAATTAATTTATAATATTAATATGAAATTAAATTTATAAAGTTAAATATTATTTTAAAAAAAAAATTAAAATGTTATTTTTTTTTAAATAATATTTATAAAAATAATTTTAATTAAATAAATTTAAATTTAATTTATATATTTTAAAATATTTAATTATTACGAATATTACTTTTATTTTATATTCGTGAATATAATATTCGTAAACGTATAAAATAATTTTTAAAATTATTTTATTTTTTTTTTATCGTATATTAATTCGTTTATTATAATATTTTTAATATATTTTTTTTAATAACGTACCATTTATTTAATATTTACGTATAAATATTATTTATATAAATTAAAACGTTATTATTTTATTTATTTAATTTATATTCGTTTCGCCCGTTACCGGTAAAATTAATTCGAAATTATATATATTAAAAAAAATTAACCGGCCCGTGTTTCGTCGTAAAAGATATGTTAAAATTATAGTACGTAATAAATTAAGTAATATGTAACGGATTCGATAAAAAAAAAACAAGTTACGAAATTAATAAATTAACGAATTTATTATGTTTTTTTTCGTTTTTACACTTATTTTTAACGGAAAAATAATAAAAATAATAATAAAAAAAATAAATTAAACGGTTTTATTTTAATAATTATAAGTAAAAAATGTCGTGTAATAAATTAAAGTTATTTTTATAAACTTTTAATAATATATATTAATAATTTTTTTTATATACGTTTAAAAAATCCATAATAAATAATGTTATTTTTACGATTAATTATATTATTTAAATAATATTTAAATAAATAAATAAGTTATTTATAATACGAAATAAACTTATATAAACGATTAATATTATATATAAAAATATTTTATAAACATTAAAAAACGAAAAAAATTTAATTTTTATTTTAAAATTATCGATTTAAATTTTATTATAAAAAAAATAAATCGTTTTATATTACGTTCGTTTCGTTTTATAATTATATCGATATTATTATATAATTATTTACCGCGCGTTATTATATAACGAATAAAATTATTTACTACCGATTTAATTATATAACGATTTATATTTAATATAAAAATATATATTTTTAATTAAGTTTAATTTAAATAAATTAATAAAAATAATTATATTATATTAATATATAAAATAAACATAAAAAATATATATAATAAAAAAAAATTATAATTAATTATAATATAAAAAAAAATAAGTTTAATTAAAAAATTTAACTTTTTATAAACGATAATTAAAATCGGTTAAAAAGTTTTATTAATAATTATAATTATAATTAATATATTTTTATATATTTTATAATAATTTAAAATTTAATTTAATTAAATCGTAACGAAAAAAAAAAAAAAAGTGAATAAATTAAAGAAATTTATCGTATATATTAAAAAAGAAATTTAAGGAAAAAAAAAAAAAAGTGGAAAAAAATTAAAGGAAAAAGTGTAATATTAAAAGCCCGAAGTTACGAAATAATAATTTAAAAATTCCGGGGGTTTTAATTAAGTAATATTATATTCGTATTACGCGGGAACTTTATATTCATAAATTAATATTAATAATTAACTTAAATAATAAAAAAAAATTAATAATTATTATTTTTCGTTAAAATTAATATATTATAAATTCGAATTAATTTTCGAGTTTTTAAAAATCGAATTTTTTAATTATAATTAAAAAAAAATAACTTATAAAAAAAAATCTTATATTTTTTTCGAAATAAATATAATTTTAATGTTAATTTACGTACTTTTTAACGATAATTTTAACGATAAAATTTTCGTAAAAATAAATTAAATATTAATTTTATTAAAGCGGAAATTCGTTAATTTTT